CATCCTTGATCCCTCCCTGTTGAGGGATTTCCACCGTCGCCATCCGACTCTCCCTGCTCCGCGTCCTCCTGGCCATCCCCGAGGCCAGGGTCGGCGCACTGCTGGAGCCGCGCGTCAAGGGGGGGGGGGGGGGGGTACTGTCACGACTTCCACAGAGGCTGCCTCCCCTTCTTGTTCGGGCAGGTTTCGGCGTTTGTCGTCACAGGCTTACTAGCTACTGCCGATCCCATTCTCATCACTCCACTTGTCATGTCTTGTCTTGTCAATCACACACACCTGGTGCTCATTCCCCTAATTAGTATGTGCATAAGTGTTCCCTCTGTTCCCCTTGTCTTTGTGAGTGACTGTTTCATTGTGAGAGCGAGTAGTTCGGTTGAGCTACTCTTCCATTTGTTATTGCCAAGGTGGAATATTTTCCTTGTGATCGTTTCGTTTTGACGTATGGTGCGTTTTATTTATGTAAACGGAATAAACTCTGTACTTCAGTGTTTTACCTCCTGCGCCTGACTCCTTCATTCACACCTCATCACAGTTGTCTGTGCCCAATAATGTTTGTACCATGTTTTGTGCTGCTACCATGTTGTGCTGCTGCCATGTTGTGTTAATACCATGTTGTTGTCATGTTGTGTTGCTACCATGCTGTGTTGTAATGTGTTGCTGCCATGCTGTTGTTGTCTTAGGTCTCTCTTTATGTAGTGTTGTGGTGTCTCTCTTGTTGTGATGTGTGTTTTGTCCTATTTTAATTTTTTTATCACGGCCCCCGTCCCTGCAGGAGGCCTTTTGCCTTTTGGTAGGCCATCATTGTAAATAAGAATTTGTTCTTAATCTACTTGCCTAGTTAAATACAAATATATATTTTTTAAAAATGGAAAACTAGCTGTTATTGGCAGAGGTTTGGAGCTCTCTTAGAAGGTCCTGTGTAGATATGGGAAACACTCTTTTCACAGCACTTCAATATCTAAGTGACTTTTTTGTAGCAGGTTAGGAGAACTTACGCAGCAGGTCAGGGTAATTAACATTACAGGTTAGGAGACTGAGGTTAAGGTTAGGAAAAGGGTTGGGTTAGCAAAAATGGTCTCCTAACCTGCTACAAAAATCACTTTGTATTGAAGTGCTGTGAAAAGAATGTGTCCCGTGTAGATATAGGTCTTGTTCCCCTGCTCAGACCTTGCATGCATCAACCAATGGTTGTGTGCCAAGTCATCCCCTGTGTCATCCACTGACAGATTGCTAAAACATATGATGTGGTTAGCTGACATGCAAAATACCTATCCAGGTGTTGTCAGATCTGGCATGTGTCAGCAACGCCTGGGCAGAGGAATGTGCTCTGCATTTTCAACCAGAACTATCAGGAAGTAGCTAACCCTGATATTTATTTTTGTACACTTTTACAGTGTTAGTTTCATCAGCTGTTGTACAATATGATGTAACATAATGTTGACTGCACTGGGCCATTAAAGGTAGGGAAACAAGTTTTCAGCATTCAAACTAGCTGCAGTCAGATTCAGCACCATGGACAGTGAAGATCGAAATACATATTTTTACATACACAAGAAAATCTGCAGGATAAAAAGCAATAAAATCAAACATTAAAATAAGTAAGTAGGCTATATTAAAGGACACTAAACATAAGGACAGACTAACCATGGAGAACACTAAACATGATGGCAGACTAACCAGGGAAGTGAACTAAACAGAGGTTAAAGTTAAGACAACAGAGGATCTGGGTAAGCCTGTGTGAGGAAGTGTATCTTTAGTGTGGACTTGAATAGTAGACAAGTAGGCTTAGGCTATTTTTATACTGTAAAAAAAATGCATAATTTTGTAATTTTCTATTTGTTTGAATGTTTTCCCAGATTCATAGTGTTATGCAGCCCAGGCCTATCTAGCCTACTGCATAAATTGTATTTGTTAGCTCACAGCTTCACATGATGACGTTGGCAACAGAAACACTTAAAATCAGTGGATTATAGTTTGAAAGTAATCTAAACTAATTTCATGTCAAAAGGATGTGCAGGTGATCGAAATCGATGAAGAAGACAAGGTAATTCTAGTGAGTTAATTAAATGACACGGTGTAGCCTGTCAGCATTGTAGGCTACTGCCTCCACCCAGAGGCCTGGGCTTAAGTGGCACTGGCACAGGTCAATACAGGCACTTGCCTCTGCACTGAAGGAGCCAAGGGACGAGTCCTGGTTGCAGCTCTCACTTTCTCCCGCTACAGTATGGCCTACAATAACCTATTTGGTGGGGTTTGGCAGCCAATAATAGGATTTCATTGAAAAGTTGGTTTTGATTGTGACTAAATCAAAGAATAGAATGATATTGAAATGAATATTATTAACAAATATTTCCTAGAAGATGTTGACTAAAGTCTGAGCTTTTGGGTTAGACCTAAGGCTACTTGGCTTATTAAAGTCCTACATGTTGTACCTAAATAAACCCACAAGAGAGACAATTTAGCAAAGACAGGACCACATGTTTCTGTGTTTTGACCAATGATTGGTTTTGACCAGCCGAGAGTGATGAAATGATTGGCAGTGCCCAGCGTAATTGTTTGATTGAAGGAGTAGGGGAATCGAAAATGTTTGACGGGGAAATTTCTCTCAATATTATTCCTACTGAGTGCACTCCTCCCCCCAAAACGTTGTGATGTCATTAAGGTCTAGCATTCCATGATGTAGTATGTAGCCCTAAATTACAGTCCCTGCCTGCAATATTGTCCTCACTCTTGACTTGAACTCAACTTGAATGTAACTGACACAGACAAGGACATGCTTTTCGAGATATAAAATAGCTTGAATGGATGAAGAAATGGTAGGCTAAATGCTAAATGAATTGGGGGAAAGTACAAAATTAAAAAGTAATCTAAGCTGATAGTATTTCTTGCAAAAAGCTATAACATATTGCAAAACAAATTTACCGTTCTCTATAAATCAAATCACCAGCTTAGCTCTGATATGGCTGTAGCTCTATTTATGATGTCATCTGCAAGGATCTGCTCTGACATTGACCTATTATTACCTATTGGAATGTCTGTCCTTCAGGTAGTACAGAGGGAGGATGATGATCCTCAGAGGGAAGGAAAGGAGGTTGTTGAGGAAGAACTGGTGGCCCCGCCCAAGAAGGGATGGAAGGTAAGATGGCAGGAGTGACAGAGCACATAGGCGTACTGGGCTGCTCTCTGCACCTGATAGCAGGCCAACCATAGAGATCTACAGTATCTATCTCTACGATAATAACACACCATTTTCAAAACGTGTTTTAAGGGCTTTCTCAGAGTAGGAGTGCTGATCTTGGATCAGTTTTGCATTTTAGATGATAATGAATAAGATTATTTGGGCAAGGTTGAGCCCACTTCTTATCTGATGCACTTCATGTATACAGGCCCTGGTGTAACATGTCTGCCATCATTTGAGATCTGGAATCTGTTCTGTTCTATCCTAGGCAAAAAGGAAGAGTAGTGGCAAGAAGTCAGGGAAGCAGGGCACCGACAACGATGCAGGTCAGAGATTTAGCTCTGTAGTATTACATCGGTTCTATATTCTGTCTGTGATGTGCAGGTTGTGTTATCAATTTTCAATGAAACTGTAGTCTACTGTAATCAGTAAGAAAGGTTACATAGATAGCTTTATTCAAATAGGCCTATTATAAAAGCCCAAAACAATTAAATCAGAGTATTAAAGATAAAACGTTTGATTTCTCTTTAATTTCCTTCTACTTCCTCTACGGCTATCACATCTTTAGTCTCCAGGAATAAACACCTGGACAGAGGATCTGTAGTTGACCTCCTGGAGATGAAAGCTGTTAAACCTGCATTCGGCCCAGGCAACAATGATGAGATGGAACACTCCTACCCAATCCTCATCTCATTCCTGATGAGTAAGTTTTTCTGTAACCTCACATGTTCAACATTTATGAACTCTTATGCTGTGTGAACTAAACACTAACTAAATCACTTTTTTTTTATCTTCTAGGCAGTGGCAAGTGATCTACAAAGGACAAAACAAACTGTAAATTTCTCCATCTGCTTTTGACCTTTGATGTGTCATTAATCTGTTGAATTCAGAGAGAGGGATTAGCCATCAAGTTATATTCTGTTATTCATGTTCATTGCTCTCTCAGACTTCATCCAACTTTGAATTCAGTCACAGACAAGAATAACGATGTTGATAAAATGTATTCTGTTCGATCTAGAATACTTTACATCACAGTTCCATTGACAAGCCTGTTTTTGTTCTGTGATTGTGTAAGACAATTGTAACCTTCATCACACAGACCACCCTGCAGATCCTGCTGCAGGCCCTAGCCCGCGTACTGGGGTTGACAGGCTTTGATGAGGACGACACTGACTCACCCAAGAGGGGTGGCAGTGCAAGATCCTTCGCTGCCTTTGATCAGAAAACACTGGAGCTCATCCAGGAAGTTCAATATCTGGCGAAGAAGATGTATAAGGGCGACACAGGGACTCAATGTCTCAGGTCCTGAGCACCATATTCCAAGAGGTATGTTCCCCTCAAGGTTTTCATGTTTACTTGTATGGATTTCACCAAGCTCATCTATCCCAGTTTGTTAGCCAATGCATTTTACGCTATCTAATGTATTACAGAATATAATGTATCAACCTTTGAGCAGATTTGAATTAATGAGCATGAAAAGGGATCAAAAGGACATGTAAATATGTAGATATTTAGAATACTAAAATTACAGTGCTTGATCGATTTGCCAAGTTCAGACAGGAAATATCATGCTTTGCTTGTTCGTTTTAAAGTTCCCAGACCTCAGTGAAAGTCCACCTGGGAATGCCAGAGGACAGTATTATCAGAAGTGTCCACAAGTAACTTTCTGAAAATGAGATTTGTCTTCCTGCCCACCTAAGCTGACCGTTGGTCTTATCAAGGAGGTGGTCGAACAGCTTAACTCAGCCCTCTCTGTGACCATCAGCAGAACCATTTCAGGGTGGTCCTCCCTTATTGCTTCTGGTGCCCAGGCCGCTGAATGATGGTCAACATGGTCCAGAGGTTTTTTAATTATCACGCCACTCCAGAGGACCAGAGCTCCACCTCTGAATTAGATGTTGAGTCGTGCATTCCACCTGCAACGAAAGACGTGATGACTGTTATCGCAGACATGGTGGATAAATTGGAAAAAGAAGATCCGGAATCGGCTAAGGTGCTTCGAGAAGTGGCTGTGAAAGTTAAAATGTTGGCATCTGGCAGTGACCTTGCAGTGGAGCACCTGGATGCTGAAGACTCTTCTGTTCCAGAGGAGCTGAACATAATATTGTCACGTCTACTCCCGCTCCTCCCCTCAGGTGTTCGATGTCGCCAGTTTACTAACCACCGGTCCTGGTAACCATCATTACGCACACCTGCGCTTCATCATGAGGCACACCTGGACTCCATTACCTCACTCATTACCTCCCCTTTATCTGGCACTCCCTTATGTTCTTTCCCCAGGCAGTATTGTTTCTGTGTTTCATGTCAGACGCTACTCCTATGTTGTATCGTTCCATGTTATTTGTTATATTAAACTTACCACCTGCACCTGCTTCTCGACTCCCAGCGTCTACGTTACAGAATACTGCCTCACAAAATGGAAGCAGCAGGCAATCAGAACATCTCCCAGATGGTTGACCAGCAGGGATACCTACTTCGTCAACACCACGACCAGCTGGCGCAACTGGGGACGGCTATGGAAAAGGTTCTTCGCAGTGTTCAACGTCTCGAACATACCCGAGAGGCGTTGCCTTCAACTAGCGGAGGATACTCTACCACCAGTCGACCCAGCAAGCCAGCACACCAGCCCATTCAGCAACCAACCCAGGTCAGCGATGCCCGTTTGTCCCTCAAGGATAAATATGACGGCACCCCATCTAAATGCCATGGCTTCCTACTACAGTGCTCCCTCTACTTTGCACACCAGATGGGAGCCCCCACCACCGAGAGGTCCAGGGTTGCCACGGTTATTTCTCTGCTGACTGGGCGGGCGTTGGAATGGGCCACAGCCGTCTGGGAGAGAGGATTTGTATGAGGGGTTCATGGCTCTGTTCAGAGGTATCTTCGATCATCCACCGGAGGGCAGATAGCGGGGTGAGTGCCTACTTCAACTATGGCAGGAGGACCAGACTGCTGCCGAGTACGCGCTCACCTTCCGAATAGTAGCAGCATCCAGCGGATGGAATGAGGCGGCGCTTCGTACGCTATTCAGAAGAGGACTGTGCGAGGAGGTCCAGATGGAACTGGCCTGTCGAGGCGACAACCTCTCCTTGGACGCACTCATCGCGATGGCCATCCGTCTGGATAACCTACTTCAGGAGTGTCAGCACTCTCATCACTTCTCTCCCTCCCTCAGTGAACACTTTGGATCAGAGCCAGAACCCATGGAGGTACGGGTCACACGCCTTCCCGCGGCAGAGCGACGCTTTCCCGTCCCATGTGGTTCCACGTCGGTTGAGAGTCCTGTGGTTGCCCTTCAGCCTAACATCCCGGAGGTATACCAGGACCTGCGGGAGGTATTTTCCAAAACCCGCGCCACCTGTCTCCCTCCTCATCACCCCTGGGACTGTGCCATCGACCTGCTTGCAGGCTCTGCGCCCCCCGCGCAGACACATCTACCCTTTGTCGGTGGCTGAAACCAAGGCCATGGAGGAGTACATCCAGGAGGTGCTCCAACAAGGTTTCATCCGCACGTCCACTTCTCCTGCGTCTGCAGGCTTCTTCTTCGTGGCCAAAAAGGATGGAGGGTTACGCCCGTGTACTGATTACAGAGGACTCCAAGTACCATCAGCCATCAAACAGCTCCGCAGGGCCCAGTTCTTTACCAAATTGGACCTGCAGAGTGCATACAATCTCATCCGCATCCGGGAGGGGGATGAATGGAAGACAGCTTTTAGCACGATGTCTGGTCACTACGAGTACTCGGTGATGCCATTTGGCTTAGCCAATGCTCTGTCAGTGTTCCAGGCATTCATCAACGAGGTGTTCTGGGACATGCTCGGACGCCAGGTGGTCATGTATATCGACGACATCCTGGTCTACTCGGCTACCTTGGAGGATCACATCGCTCACGTCCGAGTAGTCCTGGAATGCCTCCTGGCTAACCAACTGTTTGTCAAAGCTGAGAAGTGCCAGTTTCATTAGGAGGCTGTCTCCTTCCTAGGCTACCAAATCAGTCCGCAATGAGTGAAGATGGACGTCAAGAAGGTAGATGCGGTCAGGTCATGGCCAGTCCCAACCACCATAAAGGGGTTACAACGGTTTTTGGGGTTTGCCAACTTCTACTGCCGTTTCATCAGGAACTTTAGCTCCATCGCCGCTCTTCTCACCTCTCTTCTCAAGGGTGGTCCCCATAGGTTGGTGTGGTCCAGCAGCTGACGAGGCCTTCCGCCTACTGAAGGGACGTTTCACCTCTGCCCCATTGCTCAAACACCCAGATCCCACAATACCCTTTCTGGTGGAGGTGGACGCTTCAGAGGTGGGCGTGGGCGCACTTCTGTCTCAACGACAAGGTAATCCACAAAAATTGTATCCGTGTGCGTATAACTCTAAGAAACTGTCCCCTGCAGAGACGAATTTGACTTCACGCTGACCTATCGCCCAGGTTCAAAGAACACCAAAGCCAATGCCCTGTCCCGTATCTACGATTCGGGAGAGGGTCCTGTCCAGAGTGCACCCATTATCCCTTCCTCTCGAGTTGTAGCCCCTGTGGTCTGGAGCGTAGATGTGGACATTCGCCAGACTCTGGAGAGGGAGCCCGCACCCACTACCTGTCCTCCTGAACACATCTACGTCCTTGGTGTCCCTAGTCTCATCTATCCATTGACTTTGTCACTGATCTCCCCTCCTCTGACGGTTTCACCACCATTTTGGTGGTTGTGGATAGATTTTCCAAATCATGTCATTTCATCCCTCTCTCTGGTCTCCCTATTGCTCTCCAGGTTGTTGAGGCACTATTACGGCAGGTCTTCCGTTATTATGGCCTTCCGGAGGACATCGTCTCCGACCGTGGCCCCCAATTCACATCACGGGTATGGAGAGCCTTTATGGTGAAGCTCGGGGTCACATTCAGCCTCACTTCCGGGTAAAGGCCTCAGTCTAACGGGCAGGTGGAGAGGATGAACCAGGAGCTGGGGAGGTTCCTGAGGAGTCACTGCCAGGACCGGCAGGGAGAGTGGGCCCGATTCCTTCCATGGGTGGAGTACGCCCAGAATTCGTTACGTCAGTCCTCCACCGGGCTGACTCCCTTCCAGTGTGTTCTGGGTTTTCAGCTGGCCCTGGCTCCGTGGACACCGGGCCAGACTGAAGCTCCTGCAGTGGATGAGTGGTTCAGGCGCACAGAAGTGTGGAGCGAGGCTCACGTGAGGCTCCAGCGCGCCGTCCACCGTCAGAAGGAGCAGGCAGACCGCCACCGCAGTGAGACTCCCGTATTCCATCCTGGGGATCGTGTCTGGCTCTCTACCAGGAACCTCCCACTCCGCCTGCCCTGCAAGAAGCTGAGCCCCCGGTTTGTGGTGCCGTTCAAGGTTCTCCCTGGAGTGTCAACAAGGTGAAGTATAGGTTACAGCTTCCCAGTGACTACCGTATCTCACCTTCTTTTCATGTCTCCCTTCTCAGGCTGGTGCTTCCTGGTCCCCTGGCTGATGCTGTCCACCACGACACTCCTCCGCCTCCCCTGGACATTGAGGTCCCACCTATGCCGTAAGATCCCTACTGGACTCCCGACGATGTGGGGGTCGGCTCCAGTACCTGGTGGACTAGGAGTACGGCCCAGAGGAGCAGTGTTGGGTTCAGGTGGAGGACATTCTGGATCCCAACATCACCCAGGATTTCCATCTTCGCCGCCCGGACCAGCCCGCTCCACGTCCTCGGGGCTGTCCCTCTGGCCGGCATCATCCTGAGGCTGGAGCCGCTTGTCGGGGGTGGGGGGGGGGGGGGGGGGGGGGGGTACTGTCATGTCTACACCCGCTCCTCCCCTCCGGCGTTCGATGTTGCCGGTTTACTAACTACCGGTCCTGGTAACCATCATTACGCGCACCTGGCATCATCATGAGGCACACCTGGACTCCATTACCTCACTCATTACCTCCCCTTTATCTGGCACTCCCTTAGGTTCTTTCCCCAGGCAGCATTGTTTCTGTGTTTCATGTCAAGACGCTACTCCTATGTTGTATGTCAAGACGCTACTCCTATGTTGTATCGTTCTATGTTCTTTGTTATATTAAACTTACCACCTGCTTCTCGACTCCCAGCATCTACGTTACAAATATGAACATCTTGTAAAGCAATGACTCAAAATCTTGGCACTCTACTGAGTGCGAAGTTAAAGACCAAAGCCTCAAAGGCTGTGAGTGAAATTATTGTGAGAAGGTTTAGGAGCGGTATCTCTGGTATGGTTCAACCTTCTCATTAGTTTAGTACCACTCCAAGCTTGATGAATGCATATGGCCCATCTGACAGGAGCCTTGATTCTGCAGCCACTGGGCTCATACAGACCAAAGAACATTCTGAGGCATCAAAAATAATTGATAACTTTGTTGAAGATGTCAAGGACATTGTGCAGCATGCTGAATTAGATCAGCCAACACTGTACGACAAAGCGGAAACCCTTCCATGCAGCTCGTAGACTCTGCGACAGGCTTCAGGCAAAGCTGAAGACATTGTTCCTCAGAATGGGTGGAGCTCCAGTCCAAGGGGAATAACTTATGGAGAAAGCTGACTCCAGTGTTCTCAACTGGCTTACCTGGTTAAATAAAGGTGAAATAAATAAATAAAGTGCTGTGCTTCTGGAGCACACTGATTCCAGTGATCTGCCTGTTTCAATCCTGAGCTTGCCTTCACCATGTAGGAGTGAATCACCTATTTCAGAACGCAGTTTATCTTCTTTATCTGATGGACGTGATTAAACTGGCTCTGTAGAAGAGAAAACACCAGAGCAACCTGAAACCAGTAAGAGCAAGGTAATACTGCAACAGGTCAACTCAACTAGACTTGGTGCTCTCCGTAAATACCAAAGTGAGAACTCTCAACCATTATTGTCTCTCTGTGATTCCAACATGGTGCCCTGCACCAAAGAGGTCTTGTCCCAGGTTGTGGCCATGTGTACAGTGAGGGAAAAAAGTATTTGATCCCCTGCTGATTTTGTACGTTTGCCCACTGTCATCGAAATGATCAGTCTATAATTTTAATGGTAGGTTTATTTGAACAGTGAGAGACAGAATAACAACAAAAAAATCCAGAAAAACGCATGTCAGAAGTGTTATAAATTGATTTGGATTTTAATGAGGGAAATAAGTATTTGACCCCCTCTCAATCAGAAAGATTTCTGGCTCCCAGGTGTCTTTTATACAGGTAACGAGCTGAGATTAGGAGCACACTCTTAAAGGGAGTGCCCAGAACTACACAGGAGGATCTTGTCAATGATCTCAAGGCAGCTGGGACCATAGTCACCAAGAAAACAATTGGTAACACACTACGCCGTGAAGGACTGAAATACTGCAGCGCCCGCAAGGTCCCCCTGCTCAAGAAAGCACATATACATGTCCGTCTGAAGTTTGCCAATGAACATCTGAATGATTCAGAGGAGAACTGGGTGAAAGTGTTGTGGTCAGATGAGACCAAAATCAAGCTATTTGGCATCAACTCAACTCGCCGTGTTTGGAGGAGGAGGAATGCTGCCTATGAACCCAAGAACACCATCCCCACCGTCAAACATGGAGGTGGAAACATTATGCTTTGGGGGTGTTTTTCTGCTAAGGGGACAGGACAACTTCACCGCATCAAAGGGACGATGGACGGGGCCATGTACCGTCAACTCTTGGGTGAGAACCTCCTTCCCTCAGCCAGGGCATTGAAAATCAAAAACACATGGCCAAGGCAACAAAGGAGTGGCTCAAGAAGAAGCACATTGTCACGATCGTTGAACGGAGTGGACCAAGGCGCAGCCTTGAAGGCAAACCTACTTTATTATCTATAGTGATAACACGAACAAAACAACAAACGATACATGCAGTCCTACGGTACAAACCAAACAGAACAAGATCCCACAACTACTGTGGGAAAACAGCCTGTTTAAATGTGGTTCCCAATCAGAGACAACCAGCAACAGCTGACACTCGTTGCCTCTGATTGAGAACCACTCTGGCCAACATAGAAATAGAACAACTAGAATAATTAACATAGAACACAAAACACATAGAATCTACACACCCTGGCTCAACATATAGAGTCCCCAGAGCCAGGGTGTGACACACATTAAGGTCCTGGAGTGGCCTAGCCAGTCTCCAGACTTTAATCCCATAGAAAATCTGTGGAGGGAGCTGAAGGTTCGAGTTGCCAAACGTCAACCTCGAAACCTTAATGACTTGGAGAAGATCTGCAAAGAGGAGTGGGACAGAATCCCTCCTGAGATGTGTGCAAACCTGGTGGCCAACTACAAGAAACGTCTGACCTCTGTGATTGCCAACAAGGGTTTTGCCACCAAGTATTAAGTCATGTTTTGCTGAGGGGTCAAATACTTATTTCCCTCATTAAAATGCAAATCAATTTATAACATTTTTTACATGCGTTTTTCTGGATTTTTGTTGTGTTATTCTGTCTCTCACTGTTCAAATAAACCTACCATTAAAATTATAGACTGATCATTTCTTTGTCAGTGGGCAAACGTACAAAATCAGCAGGGAATCAAATACTTTTTTCCCTCACTGTAGGTCAGAGGTGGCAGATTTGAAAAACACATAATCTGTTGCTAAGAGTTGCTCTTACAACTCCCTTGAAGTCTGTGACTTTTTGGATGCTATCATGTCTTATCTAGAAGACATGCCTGTGTCCGGTTCCTCAGTGTTGGAGGGATTAAGAGATACTCCAGCCTCAGTCATTCAGAAACGCTCCAGTGAAGAGTTCCAGATTAACGCTACCAACAAAGTGCGAAAAATACTGATTAAATCAGTCAGTAGCTTTCCCAGCAAAGTCAGTTCCAGCCAGAAAGATTCTCAGATGTTGCCAGCAACATTAACAATTTTCTCGAGGCATACCGATTCAACTGCTTTTGAAATCGTTGGATCAATTACAAACGACATGAAGAGCCTTTTCCCACGCACAGAGTCTTCTACTACTGTATGGCAGGCAGACTCTATGCTTCAACAGACTGATGAGAAAACCTCAGAGTACACTGAGGCCACACCCGAAGGCTCCCAGTCTGGTGTGGAAGTATCTGAGAAGAAGATCTGGACAACTGCAAAGACTATTTACCACAATGTGGAATTATTTCACATGGCAAAAGCAAGCCAAAACAACAAAGGCTCAAGCCAAAAAGACCTTCAGACATATTCTGGTTTCAATTCAGAAAGAGCTGTCAAAACCTGACCAAACGGTGACTGCAGGAGAGCTTTCACAAATAGAGAATGTGGTTGGAATGATATTGGAGGACGTTGAGAAGGTGAGCAGTGAATGTGGTGAGGAACTGGTCTATCAAACACCAGAGCGGTCTTCTTCCTCGTTGTCGTCCTCATCTGCCAGATCACTCCCATCCCTTCTGAATTACCAGAGAATACTACTCAGCCCATTTTGAGATGCTCAGTCATCGACATGGGCAAATCTACTAAGCCAAAAACATTGGTGTGTGATGCCAGGGAAAGCATGTCTGCAATAGTGGATACCATCATAAAGGAGGTATATTCAGAGGAAGAAGGGAAGGTTGCATCCCAACCTGATCAAAAAGCTGTAATAACAAGACTAGAGGAGCTCATATCTCAGGGTAGGATTGGTGCTCTCTCCCGTGATCTTACTCACCAAGTCCACCGCATCATTTCTGAGAGCAACTTGACCCCTTTGGTTCTGACAGTGGCGGCTGGAAAGAGTGCATCCGATACAGTCTTACGAGCTGAGTCTTTGAAGCGCCTCCTGCTTCCTGCTCTTGTGCCCTCTTTAGTGTCAATTAGTTGGGCTCTGGGAGTCAGTGTGACGGCTAGTGTATCTGAAGATAGGATTTCATGCTCTTTGTCTACATCAGCATTTACATTTTTACATTTTAGTCATTTAGCAGACGCTCTTATCAGAGCGATTTACAGTTAGTGAGTGCATACATTCTGTCTGTTTACCAAAGTAATGGTAAGCCAGGTCATGGACTCTGTGGTTTCTGATGCACAAAGCAGAGGGTCATCTCCAACCAGAACTGTAACTGATATAGGCAGTTTACTGAGTGGTAAGTCCTCCTCTCTGCCATCTTTCACCGCCATCAGCATGGCAACAAGTGAGACCTCCAATGCTGCACGAGGCTTTGAGGCCAACATAGATGCTGAAGAAAGGGATACCACCAGTTGTTCCAGTGTAGCTCAGAGCATTGTTTGTGATCAGATGTCAACCAGCCCAGATGTTGTCAAAGATGTCTCGCTTTCAGCCCCATCCTCTGATAACTTAGGCGGTGATGATGACTTCACCGGCCTCATCAGCATGTTAGTGGTGGGACTTCTGTCAAAAATCCAAACCCAAACTGATCTGTACCCATTTGACATCACACGCACGTCACAAAACCTGATTCCAAAAGTTATAGCTGCCTTCTGTGCATGGTCAGGATGCTCTGAGAACCAAGCTTATCCGAGAACTTGAGGATTCATAAAGTATACAGCACCATCTACAAACATCTGTTGAAGGAGTTTGGCTCAGAGAAGATCCTCCAACTGGCCGTGTCAACTCAGGACTCTACATTCAATAAGATTCTTGTGAAGTCATTGAGCAAGGAGCTTCTCCACAGTTGTAACTAGGCATCAAGGGCAGCCTCAAGAACATATTTTGAAGCCACCTGGCCTGAGGTTCTTCCCATGGATGAGGATGTGAAGGCTACCAGAGGGAAGCTGTCTTTCCTACAAAGGCTTACCAGGCTGAAATTAGACTTAAAGGTACACCAAACTTATTTAAATTTACAATTGTGTCAATGTGAGTAAACAATGCTATTTGCGAGAAAATGTAAAACCATCCATTAATTCTAAAACCATTTATAAGTATTGTTGTGCTGGTGTGTAAGATGTGATTGTTATTACCATGAGGTTGTTCCGCTGTGACTGTTGTTTTGACATGTCTTCCTTAGCCATTTAAGATGGGTAACAAGAAGGATTCCAAGAAGAATTCCCGCCACTCTGAATACAAAGACCAGACTACTGCTGAAGATAGCATGTGTAAGTCCATGTTTGAAATATTGGTGTAATAAATATTAAACCCTATATACATTATATATTATCGATAGTGATCTCTTATGTAAAATGAGTTCTAGTTTCCAAACCTCAAGATCATGGTTCTCATTTATTTGTGGACGTTATGTTGAGTTGAAACTGAGAATACAATATAACATAATTTCTAAATTAAAGTGCATGTCAACTCTCTCTCTTCTGTAGTGCCCAGAATAGTGGCACATGCTACCCAGTCTGGACTCCCAGAGGATCTTCCCTCCACCTCTCAACAGGAGAAGCCTCGCAAACGTCCCTTCTAATCAGGATGTTTTCCGCAATCTCCATAGGCCTATCCAAGCCATTCAAACGGTCTTCAAAGCAGGCTTAATACAGCGATTTCCCCTAATACAGTAATATTTTAATTGAATTGATGGCCTTTGTCTTCATTTGTGTTCCCCCATTAACACATTTGATTAGGAAATACATGGTAGTCTATTATGCAGTGATAGTCACGTTGTATGCTAAACAGAGTAATGTTGTCCTGAATACTGTATAGAACATGCCTATACACACACACACACACACACACACACATTCACACACACTGACCCTGGCATTAGTGTGATTAATGGAACAGTACTTCAGATATGTCCCACAACCAACATTCAACCATATATCAATGATTCAGTGTAAAATACATGTACTGTAAAATAAACCATACTTAATTTACAACTAATAAAATAATGTGACAAGCGAATCAACTGGTTTAATTTCTCAAACAGAAACACTTACATTTCTATTTTCTGTGGATAGCCTACATTTACATTTTCTGTATGCTAGTGTGACCTTTGACCTGTAGATGGTAGTAAAGGTATACTTTTGCTGCAGATCCACTTCTACAGCGCAAACCTTTCTGGACAAATAGCCTACACATTTGCCCCTAGCGTGTGTGTGGCAAAAATAAAGAATATTGCAGCACGCTCTGTAGCACTGCACAGCTATAGTTTTATCAAATGCCAAATGTACCTGCAGCATGCTACTGGCTACAGAGGCTTATCTGAGTGACTTGTGTTGTGAGAAGAGAACCTGAATTCAAACAAGAACTCCTGGATGTCATTTTATAATATTGTTAAATATTTTTAGTAACATATGGTAGCATACATGTTTCACATGGTAGCAAGTCAAGCTAGCTAGTTATATGTTACATTATATTGCCAATGTTTGTGTGAATCCTCTTTTCTCCTGCCTTCCCCATCAACAAGCGACGCACGCGCATCTTTGCTCAGCAATCTCCTGTCCCCATCGGTTTCACTGGGAAGACTTCCGGTGGTGTGTCATGGCGGCATGGTAAAGCTTGCTCAAAGGGAAAAATAACCAACCCGTACTGTCTTCTTCAGACAGTGGTTTTGGGACTTATTTCGGGTTTAACATCGCCACGAACGTCCACATTCGTATTGGAATTGCAAGCAGTCATTCGCGGTTTCCATCCGCTCGGACATGGCGGCACATAAACCAGTGGAATGGGTTCAGGCCGTGATAAATAGATTCGACGAGCAGGTAATATCGTGTATATGAGTTGGAAGTGGGAGTAGTTAGCTAGCTAATCTTTTGTAGATGGCTTGTGTCGGTAGCTAATTTATTTATGCAGTTGCCTGCTTTCTAGTAGTGTACAGTGGGTAGGTAGCTAGCTAACTATAGACAAAGTAACTACTACGTTAGGACACATTTTTATATCTGTGGTTTGGATGATATGTAACAAACGTGCAAGTTTCCTTTTAGTTAACTAGTAAGCTACCCATTTAACTAACTAGCTAAGATAGCTAACTAGTCAACTAAACATGTATTTTCATGTTGCGTAGATTTTGGGTGTTGGTATAGCTCGGACTGTTAGGAGAGGTTGCACACAACGGCTAATTCCGCCAGACAATTGGGGAAAATATGTCTCTACCAGCTAGCAACTCATATAACTACCTAACTAACTGTAAACAAATGAGAGGTGTGACTCCAACATGCACTGATTGAAATGAAAGGTCTGAAATTCAGTACTCTAACAGTGGCACCTTGTTACTAGTTAAACCATTTTTTTATTAGCTTTGAGTCAGCTGAACGGACATATGCATCCCTCCCTGTTATGTCACATGCAGTGAAAAAAACGAAGAACACACACACACTCGTTGCATGCTGTCAGCCAACAGTCATGTTACTGTCTGTCTGAGGAATGTGGGTTTGCAACCTGGCCATGTTTCTGCTCTGAGTTAAAGCCTCAATACTAAGATAAAAAAGCAACATGGATCTGAACAAATTGACAGACATCCGTTTTTGTTCAATACTTACTATTATAATTACTACCTCCTTAAAATAAGATATTAGTAGTTTGAGTTTCTGTCTCAAACACAGATTTGAGCGTGCTTGTGGTCACCACAGCAGAAGTCTACAAGGCTCGCCCAACAACCACAGCTTGTGGGTGACATTGGCAAGGCAATTAACTGTGCTTGTTTTAAGGAGATACTGCTAGTTTTGGGGTGGAATTTTCCTTTAATTGCCAGAATCTATCTTTTGGTATTTGTTTCATTAGTCCAGTGTTGACGTAGTCCCAAAATGTTTTGCTTGTCAGCAATCAAGTTTTCAAGATACACTATATATACATTTTACATTTTAATCATTTAGTAGACGCTCTTATCCAGAGCGACTTAGTTAGTGAGTGCATACATTTTTCATACACAAAAGTATGTGGACACCCTTTCAAATTAGTGGATTCGGCTATTTCAGCCACACCCGTTGCGGACAGGTGTATACAATCAAGCACACAGCCATGCAATCTCCATAGACAAACCTTGGCAGGAGAATGGCCTTACTGAAGAGCTCAGTGACTTTCAACGTGGCGCCGTCATAGGATGCCACCTTTCCCACAAGTCAGTTCTTCAAATTTCTGTCCTGCTAGAGCTGCCCCGGTCAACTGTAAGTGCTGTTATTGTGAAGTGGAAACGTCTAGGAGCAACAACGGCTCAACCGCGAAGTGGTAGGCCACACGAGAACGGGACCGGCGAGTGCTGAAGTGTGTAGTGCCTAAAAATCGTCTGTCCTCGATTGCAACACTCACTACCTAGTTCCAAACTGCCTCTGGAAGCAACGTCAGCACAATAACTGTTCGTCAGGAGCTTAATGAAATGGGTTTCCATGGCCGAGCAGCCATGTACAATGCCAAGCGTTGGCTGGAGTGGTGTAAAGCTCGCCGCCATTGGACTCTGGAGCCGTGGAAACGTGTTCTCTGGAGTGATGAATCACACTTCACCATCTGGCAGTCCGACGGATGAATCTGGGTTTGGCAAATGCCAGGAGAACGCTACCTGCCCCAATGCATAGTGCCAACTGTAAAGTTCGGTGGAGGAGGAATAATGGTCTGGGGCTGTTTTTCATGGTTCGGGATAGGCCCCTTAGTTCCAGTGAAAGGAAATCTTAACGCTACAGCATACAATGACATTCTAGATGATTCTGTGCTTCCAACTTTGTGGCAACAGTTTGGGGAAGGCCCTTTCCTGTTTCAGCATGACAATGCCCCCGTGCACAAGGCGAGGTCCATACAGAAATGCCTTGTCGAGATCTGTGTGGAAGAACTTGACTGGCCTGCACAGAGCCCTAAACTCAACCCCATCAAACACCTTTGGGATGAATTGGAACGCCAACTGCGAGCCAGGCCTAACCGTCCAACATCAGTGCCCGACCTCACTAATGCTCTTGTGGCTGAATGGAAGCAAGTCCCCGCAACAATGTTCCAACATCTAGTGGAAAGCCTTCCCTTAAGAGTGGAGGCTGTTATAGCAGCGAAGGGGGGACCAACTCCATATTAATGCCCATGATTTTGAAATGAGATATTTTTGGTCATGTAGTGTATATAACTTTCAAAATACAGCATATGCTAATGTGGGGTACTGCTACAGTATCCCTTTAAGGGTGCCAAAGATTCCTCTAATGAACTTAAGATTGTGTGTAAATAATTGGGTCAGGTAGTCTAGCCAGTCCATCAATAGTTTTTGCACTGTCTGTTGCCCCTAACTGTTTCTCATCAGGAGTCATTATCAGTCAACATTATCATATTGTAAGATCAAGGTTGTAAAATACTCCAGCTGACTTGTTGGACAGTTTATGTTGTTGCTTGAGAGCTGGTATGTCTGTAGAGCAGCTCAGGGTCTCAATTTCATCCATTAGAAACTGAGCTTTGTCTGTTTTGGTCATCAAAGACCACCGCCAAAGGGACTGAAACAGATGGTTCTGTTGGGATGGTTCTTGTAACCATGCTGCAGTGCAAGCAATGCTGCCAGAAACTCTTCAGCTTCTTTAGATTCCTTTGGGTGAAAACTGTTTTACAAATAAACTTGAAAAGGGTTAGGCCTAGTTTAGGCCTACCAGAGTTTGCACTATGCAGGGGTTTGGATTTAGCCATCGCACACTGTGCAACTGCCCTCCTTTTCTTTGCCTTTTGAAAGGAAATATCAGCACTTTGTGTGCAGTTTGTGTGGGTTCTGGCCCTCTGGTTTCAGAGGCAACAGAGGGACTCTGTAGCACAGAGTGGTGATTGTACCCAGGCTTAGCGGCTCTGTTAGGCTTATTACAGTTTGATGAAAGTATAATAAAGGTATTAAATCCACCTTGTGTTGTTAAGACTATTTAGAAGCCTCTAAGTCAGGCATACTCAAGTACTATTTGAGAAGGTCCGGTCACACAAATGTCCAAGGTGTCAAAGGTCCGGATGGATAATATAATCGATCTGTGTAATAACAAACCCCCAACTCGCAACCCATGCGACCCCAAACTGTTCACACCCCTCTTGTTGGCGGAGAGAAAATGTTGCAGTTTTAAAGCTAATTTCCCGCAATTCTACAGATTTTGCATGGGGCAGAGATTTTGTTGCTGTGTCCCGGGTGGCGCAGTGGTCTAAGGCACTGCATCGCAGTGCTAGCTTTGCCACTAGAGCTGTGCCACTAGAGATCCTGGTTCGAATCCAGGCTCTGTCGTAGCTGGCCGCGACCGGGAGACCCATGGGGCGGCGCACAATTGGCCCAGCGTCGTCCAGGGTAGGGGAGGGAATGGCCGGCAGGGATGTAGCTTTGTTGGTTAGTGCATGGCGTTTGCAATGCCAGGGTTGTGGGTTCGATTCCCACGGGGGGCCAGTATGAAAAAATTAAAATAATGTATGCACTCACTAACTGTAAGTCGCTCTGGATAAGAGCGTCTGCTAAAATGACTAAAATGTAAAAAATAATGTTTTAAAGCTAATTTCCTGCAATTCAATGCATTCTATGTCTTATGTGTGTTTGTATGATACCAGGGGTCAAAGCCCAACCGAGTAAAAATAATAATAAAATAAAACCATTTGGGACCTGCGGTCCGTATTGACCCCGTTCTGGGTCCGTATCCGGTCCGCCAGTTGAGTATAGGGGCTCTATGTCATAGGATTGTATGTGTTGGCTTTATGAGGGGGGAGTTCATGGTCAGAATCTGATTTTCTTTGTGAACCTTGCTTATTTTGCCCGAAAACCTACCCAGTGTCCAGAAACAATGAAAGTGTTGTGAACATTGAACAATAAGTCTAAATCACTGTTGTATGCAACTTCAGATTCCTAAATTGTCTTGGTTGTAATGCATGTCAAAAAGCTACCCCAGAGAGGAAGACAGAGGTTGGTGGATGCCAATGTGATGTAGTAGATTAATGAGAAAGAAGAACCTCAACCTAGTAGTATTGGTCGTCACATCATCAGCCCAGAATCGCCATATTTCCTTTCACGAACTCGGATACCTCCTGCACCTTGACCTGTTGCTTCGGCCTGTTGTTTCCAAAGTTTTACTTTGTTTTATTTGTATTTTGTTCATAAGTGTTTGTGTCAACACCTGCTACCAACTAGCCAGCTATTTAGCTAGATAGGTTGCAATGGAGCCTGCTTCGCCTGGAATAGCTAACGAACGTTTCAAGCGCTGTAGAAGCTGTGTTTATTACGCTCTTGTCTGAGACAATATTGACAATCCCGAGTTCCAATACAGCAATTGTTTGCTAGCGGTGGATTACAGGAATGAGGTGGCTATGCTTAGCAAGCAAATCTCAATTCTGCGCAAACTTATGGGGAAAACGCAAATTGGAACTTTACCGTTCTCAGCTCCTATGGCTGGACGCCGCTCGGGCCTGATGAACGTTTCCCCGCCTTGTCATCTGTCCCTATCCGAATAGCCTGTGCTAAATGGAACTTGCCTGCCAAGGAAGTCGTCTCATCTGTCTCTCCTCCCCCATCCTGTAGTGAAGTAGATGGAGAACAGCAAGAAGATTGTTCCAATCAGCGCTGGTCCCATGTCACAAGTCGTGGAAACCGAAGGCAGCGGCATGCTGCTAAGCTGACGGGAGTGACTGTGAGATGTTCAGAGCAGATTAACATAAGGAATAGCTTCGCTGCACTGGTGCCTCCTCTCTCTGGATCTGACTGGGCACTGCCTGCTGTGGGATGTCTGGACTTATCGCTGGGAGCAGCGGGCGTATACGCTCCTGCTTCTCGTGGGCCCGTGAAATGTTCAACGAATTATGTGAGGGGTATGAATCGGCAGATTTCTCCATTCCCTTCTCCGGACATTTTATTGGGCAGTTCAATGGTGAGAAATGTCTCAGTCCCTGGAGCAAAAACGTTGTGCCATCCAGGAGCACAAGTACAGGACATCAATAGGCTGCTCCCAAACATTTAAAACCAGCAGCAGACAATTGTGTCTATCATAGTTCATGTGGGATTCAATGACATTATGAAGGGCAGTTCAGAACAGCTGAAGCTGGATTTTAAAGAACTGATTGGGTCACTGCCTGACACCAACAAACGTCCCATAATATCTGGCCCTCTGCCCTCCCTAAATATTGCCATTGAACGTTTCAGCACACTTTTAGCCCTGCATAAGTGGCTACGAGACTTGCAGCTCTCTGGGTGTAACATTTATTGACAATTTTGATACCTTCTGGAAGCAAAGCTCGTTTTATAAGGAGGATGGGATCCACCCAAATCATTTGGCTTCCTGGATCCTTTCACAGCATTATAAGGCAGCATTGAGACAATTACTTATCAATGACCCCAGCTCAGTTAATCCCTACCATTGTGTCGCTGAGTTGTCATAATACTTCAGCCAATATACATTATCCCAGGGGCCTTGGAAGACATGGTGTAAGTAACCTAATTGATGTCCCTCTTACTGCCCTGAATGCCTCTGCTGATCCCACAGCTATTGTATGCAGTAATCATGTGTCTATGATCCAGAGTTATACTGTTAGCACTGAGGCGGTGTGCCCTAGTAGGAAGTCCACTGTGTGCAGCTCACCCTGCACTAATATAGATAACTACTTTTGCTAAGCTTCCCAGTAAAGCAATGAAAACAATCAAGCATCCCAGAAAAGTGCTAAAAATAGCCCACGTTAACATATGTAGCTTAAGAAACAAGGTTCATGAAATCAATAATTTGCTAATAACAGATGACATTCATGAAACTCACTTAGATAATGCCTTTGATGATACAATGATAGTAACACTGTCAACAAGGCAGGTCCTGCAGGCCCTAGTGTTGTTGCACCTGGACTACTGTTCAGTCGTGTGGTAAGGTGCCACATTGTAATTGGCTCAGAACAGGGCAGCGCGGCTGGCCCTTAAGTGTACATGGAGAGCTGACATTAATGATATGCATGTCAATCTCTCACGGCTCAAAGTGGAGGAGAGATTGACTTCATCACTACTTTTTTTTAAAAGAGGTATTGACAAGCTGATTGCGCCGATCTGTCTGTTTAAACCAGGGGCGCAACTTTCACTGAGGACGTGGGCCACATTCTGAAATTGCAGTTTTGCCCCCCCCCCCCCACCCCCCCCAGTTTTATCATTGGAATGTGATACAAAACGAGGCAACGGTGTGCTTCAGGACCATGCGGACGCCTCTGAGCGGTCGGGTAGGCTGTTTGGAGTGTTTATCTGACCCCCCAAAAAAATCTTACAAAGTTATGTCCCCCCCCCACTTCTAAAACCAAAGTTGCACCTCTGGTTTAACCTACTAGCACACAGCTCGGACACCCATGCATACCCCACAAGACATGCCACCAGAGGTCTCTTCACAATCCCCAAGTCCAGAACAGATTATGGGAGGTGCACAGTACTACATAGTCGTAGCTGTACTCCCTGTAGCCAGAACCCTAGAGCAGCTGAGTTGTCGAAAGAGGAGATGCCTCCAGTGAACAACACTGTTCGAATACTGATGTTAAGTTATACATTATGTTAAGTTACTGTATATTCATGTGACAAAATATTTTATGTAAGTCATGGTTAGTAGAACGCTCTAAACACAGTTATAGGCTTGATTGATTTTCCGTTTAATAAGAGAACGTTTCGATCCCTTCTTATTTAGTGTCACTGTCTGTTTATCTTGATAAGAATTGGTCAGACAGACATACAGTATCTCAACATTGTCTCATCATATGGTCTTTATATGGTGTCCCTTCCATGAATGAATTGATGGTATTCTAATAGAAAGGCCCTTGTATTCACAAGAAAATCATTGAGTCAAATGTTTTATTATGTTACATAAAAAATTATACATAATTCATCTTTAATGCGAATGGTCTAAACTTCCCATAGAGGGACAAAAACAGTTATTTTCCTGAAAAATAGGCCCCACTTTAATTACATTTTTTTTCTTAGCACAGTCCTCTCATCCAATGTTCCTCTCCTTCCCCCTGTTTACCCCGATCATGTAATCTGCACACAGTGCATTGGTGTGTATGTATACAATGTCAATCAGCTCTGCCAAAGTCCAAAGGGAAGAGATGGCTCCATGACCTTTTAGGAATTCCAATCCCAGCCTGTGAAACAAAGTGCTTACTGTCTGTGGTCCCAGACGGACAGTCCCTGAGCTGAACTGGATGTGAAAGATATGAAGCAGGGATGGGCCAGTGTGGACTGTGTGCACTCCCGTTCAGACGCTTGACTACTTTCTTACCCTCTGTCTTGGGACTTACATTCCCAGGCCCAGGTTTCTCCCTGAGGGGTCCCAGTGGTAGAGAGGATCCCGATAATAAGCAGTCATAGGCCTCTTCCTTACCATGGATGCAGGTCTGAACGTAAGTGTTTCCTCAACCATGATTAGGCCTACAACGGTGTAGTCTCACGTTACCATACTCCCAAGCCTTGTTCGTCACTTGGCTGTTGAGGAAGCCTGGAAGTGGAAATGGAGGCTAACAACATCCTGGCTCTGTTGCCCCACGCCTACACAGTAACCTGAAGGAGAGTCAGAGCCACATCAGGGAGGAGTGCATCATGCAGAACAGCTCACTTCTCATTTCTGCTGCTGCTTACGGCTCATTAACACTCCAGGCCTGATGTGCTCTGCATAAGCACTAGCCAGCCACACCCCTAGGCAAGCTTACAGGGCCTCCTCCTGCCCACGAGGTCTGGCCCAGCTGTGTGTGTGATGTCTGTGTGAATGTAATGTCTGTGTTCACACAGATGTAGCCTGCAGGTGTACAGCTGTGGGCGTACGCTAGAGTTGTGGCAGGGCGAGGTTCTTCTTAGCACAGGGCTTCATTGTTCTGTGACTGCAGGACGTCTGCTCCTTGCCCTTCGTCAGGTGTCGTAGGTGTCCTCATAGCGCGAGAGGTGTGGCATGGCACTTCTTGTGTAAAAATGTTTAATGTAGATATGTCTAGTGTGGATATGTCTTGTGTGGATATGTGGATGTGTGTAGTGTAGATATGTGTAGACAAAGGATAAGAACGTGAAACCATGGCTTCATGTACAGTACCAGTCAAAAGTTTGGACACACCTACTCATTCCAGGGTTTTTCTTTATTTTTACTATTTTCTACATTGTAGAATAATAGTGAAGACATCAAAACTGAAATAGCACATGGAATCATGTAGTAACCAAAAAAGTGTTAAACAAATCAAAATACATTTTTTCAAAAAGCCACCCTTTGCCTTGATGACAGCTGGGCACACTCTTGGCATTCTCTCAACCAGCTTCATGAGGTAGTCGCCTGGAATGCATTTCAATTAACAGATGTGCCTTCTTAAAAGTTAATTTGTGTAATTTATTACCGTCTTAATGTGTTTGAGCCAATCAGTTGTGTTGTGACAAGGTAGGGGGGTATACAGAAGATAGCCCTATTTGGTAAAAGACCAAGTCCATATTATGGCAAGAACAGCTCAAATAAGCAAAGAGAAATGACAGTCCATCATTACTTTAAGACATGAAGGTCAGTCAATCTGGAAAATGTCAAGAACTTTGAAAGTTTCTTCAAGTGCAGTCGCAAAAGCCAACAATTGCTATGATGAAACTGGCTCTCATGAGGACCACGACAGGAATGGAAGACCCAGAGTTACCTCTGCTGCAGAGGATAAGTTCATTAGAGTTACCAGCCAGTTCATTAGAGTTACCAGCCCAAATAAATGCTTCACGGAGTTCAAGTAACAGACACATCTCAACATCAACTGTTCAGAGGAGACTGTGTGAATCAGGCCTTCATGGTCGAATTGCTGCAAAGAAACCACTACAAAAGGACACCAATAAGAAGAAGAGACTTGCTTGGGCCAAGATAAACGAGCAATGGACATTAGACCGGTGGAAATGTGTCCTTTGGACTGGAGTCCAAATTTGAGATTTTTGGTTCCAACTGCCGTGTCTTTGTGAGACGCGGTGTGGGTGAATGGATGATCTCCGCATGTGTATTTCCCACCGTAAAGCATGGAGGAGGAGGTGTTATGGTGTCGGGGTGCTTTGCTAGTGACACTGTCTGTGATTTACTTAGAATTCAAGGCACACTTAACCAGCATGGCTACCACAGCATTCTACAGCGATACGCCATCCCATCTGGTTTGGGCTTAGTGGGACTATCATTTGTTTTTCAGCAGGACAATGACCCAACACACCTCCCGTCTGTGTAATTGCTATTTTACCAAGAAGGAGAGTGATGGAGTGCTGCATCAGATGACCTGGCTTTCACAATCCCCCGACCTCAACCCAATTGAGATGGTTTGGGATGAGTCGGACCGCAGAGTGAAGGAAAAGCATCCAACAAGTGCTCAGCATATGTGGGAACTCCTTCAAGACAGTTGGAAAAGCATTCCAGGTGAAGCTGGTTGAGAGAATGCAAAGAGTGTGCAAAGCTGTCATCAAGGCAAAGGGTGGCTATTTGAAGATTATCAAATATAAAATATACTTTGATTTGTTTAACACTTTTTAGTTTACTACATGATTCCATATGTGTTATTTCATAGTTTTGATGTATTCACTATTATTCTACAATGTAAAAAAGTGTAAAAGTAAAGAAAAACCCTTGAATGAGTAGGTGTGTCCAAACATTTGACTGGTAGTGTTATTCTACTAGGCTTGCTCAAACCTGCTGCATATATGGTCCACTGTCTAACACGTTCACCCGTGGCAAGACACGCCTGTGACTTTAGAATGACACATGCTTTTTTCTTTCTCCTTAGCTTCCCGTTAAAACGGGACATCAGAACAACCACACCAGAGTCAGCACAGAGCACAACAAGGAATGTCTTATCAACATCTCTAAGTACAAGTTCTCCCTCGTCATCAGTGGCCTCACGAACATACTAAAAAATGTGAACAACATGGTAAGTGGAGTTTTTAACGTAGCTGTTTATTTGACTTTAGCATGAGTAATGGGGATCACTACATTACACGTCATCAACCCTACCTCCTGGAAGGCATGTGTATTGTGTAAACACTCCAAGTCAACTCAAGTGTAGGATGCACACAATGGGCTGGAAGTGGTGTTTGCTGAATCACTGTGTCCTCTGTGTCGATAACCTCTCCTCTCTCAAGCGTATATTTGGGGAATCAGCTGAGAAGAACCTCTACCTCTCCCAGCTGATTATCCTGGACACACTGGAGAAGTGCCTGGTGTCGGTGAGGAAACCCCCATACACTCTGCATCCACTGTATCCCTCCTTACATCACCTTTAGTTGGTCTGCTAACTTATCCCCATACAGTTGTTTGTGTGTGCTTGTGTTGAGTATTTCTCCATTTTAGTTTTTAGTCCTCCCAACTCAAACAGGTTTCTGTTGATTAATTGAATATTACCAGTCCAGAGCACTGGCTCAAAATATTGGTCTTATTGCACCAATATTCTAAAATGCTATGGGTCTTCCAACACAACGCCAGCATTACATTGGTTGGATGTATCCTGGATGCCCCTGTTCTGTCTCTGCTTTTTCCAGACAGACCTCTGGTAATACACTTAAACCCCTTCCTTCAGTCGTTCTTTCTCTTCACCTCTGAAATAGGTGCCTCTGCTCTGTTCTGCGACGGTGCAGCAGAAGATTATATTTGCAGGTGTTTCCTCGACTTTTGTTAGTGCTTTCACAGCCTCCAATGGGATAGCCGGGAGTTTCCTGTATAGGTTTTTCATTAGTGCATGTTGTCAGATGGAAGCCAGCTGCTCCCCTCATGGACGCTATGGAACACTCGTTTGAATTTTTGAGATCTTATGTTTTACACATTTTTAAGTGTACTAATAGCCTCATTTTGTATTAGACTATTTCCTACATACAGTGAGGGGAAAAAAGTATTTGATCCCCTGCTGATTTTGTACGTTTGCCCACTGACAAAAGAAATGATCAGTCTATAATTTTAATGGTAGGTTTATTTGAACAGTGAGAGACAGAATAACAACAAATAAATCCAGGAAAACGCATGTTATAAATTGATTTGCATTTTAATGAGGGAAATAAATATTTGACCCCTCTGCAAAACATGACAGTACTTGGTGGCAAAACCCTTGCTGGCAATCACAGAGGTCAGACGTTTCTTGTAGTTGGCCACCAGGTTTGCACACATCTCAGGAGGGATTTTGTCCCACTCCTCTTTGCAGATCTTCTCCAAGTCATTAAGGTTTCGAGGCTGACGTTTGGCAACTCGAACCTTCAGCTCCCTCCACAGATTTTCTATGGGATTAAGGTCTGGAGACTGGCTAGGCCACTCCAGGACCTTAATGTGCTTCTTCTTGAGCCACTCCTTTGTTGCCTTGGCCGTGTGTTTTGGGTCATTGTCATGCTGGAATACCCATCCACGACCCATCCCTGGCTGAGGGAAGGAGGTTCTCACCCAAGATTTGACAGTACATGGCCCTGTCCATCGTCCCTTTGATGCGGTGAAGTTGTCCTGTCCCCTTAGCAGAAAAACACTCCCAAAGCATAATGTTTCCACCTCCATGTTTGACGGTGTGGATGGTGTTCTTGGGGTCATAGGCAGCATTCCTCCTCCTCCAAACACGGCGAGTTGAGTTGATGCTAAAGAGCTCGATTTTGGTCTCATCTGACCACAACACTTTCACCCAGTTCCCCTCTGAATCATTCAGATGTTCATTGGCAAACTTCAGACGGGCATGTACAGTGGGGAGAACAAGTATTTGATACACTGCAGATTTTGCAGTTTTTCCTACTTACAAAGCATGTAGAGGTCTGTAATTTTTATCATAGGTACACTTCAACTGTGAGAGACGGAATCTAAAACAAAAATCCAGAAAATCACATTGTATGATTTTTAAGTAATTAATTTGCATTTTATTGCATGACATAAGTATTTGATACATCAGAAAAGCAGAACTTAATATTTGGTACAGAAACCTTTGTTTGCAATTACAGAGATCATACGTTTCCTGTAGGTCTTGACCAGGTTTGCACACACTGCAGCAAGGATTTTGGCCCACTCCTCCATACAGACCTTCTTCAGGTTTCGGGGCTGTCGCTGGGCAATACGGACTTCCAGCTCCCTCCAAAGATGTTTTATTGGGTTCAGGTCTGGAGACTGGCTAGGCCACTCCAGGACCTTGAGATGCTTCTTACGGAGCCACTCCTTAGTTGCCCTGGCTGTGTGTTTCTGGTCGTTGTCATGCTGGGAGACCCAGCTACGACCCATCTTCAATGCTCTTACTGAGGGAAGGAGGTTGTTGGCCAAGATCTCGCGATACATGGCCCCATCCATCCTCCCCTCAATACGGTGCAGTCGTCCTGTCCCCTTTGCAGAAAAGCATCCCCAAAGAATGATGTTTCCACCTCCATGCTTCACGGTTGGGATGGTGTTCTTGGGGTTGTACTCATCCTTCTTCTTCCTCCAAACACGGCGAGTGGAGTTTAGACCAAAAAGCTCTATTTTTGTCTCATCAGACCACATGACCTTCTCCCATTCCTCCTCTGGATCATCCAGATGGTCATTGGCAAACTTCAGACGGGCCTGGACATGCGCTGGCTTGAGCAGGGGGACCTTGCGTGCGCTGCAGGATTTTAATCCATGACGGCGTAGTGTATTACTAATGGTTTTCTTTGAGACTGTGGTCCCAGCTCTCTTCAGGTCATTGACCAGGTCCTGCCTTGTAGTTCTGGGCTGATCCCTCACCTTCCTCATGATCATTGATGCCCCACGAGGTGAGATCTTGCATGGAGCCCCAGACCGAGGATGATTGACCGTCATCTTGAACTTCTTCCATTTTCTAATAATTGCGCCAACAGTTGTTGCCTTCTCACCAAGCTGCTTGCCTATTGTCCTGTAGCCCATCCCAGCCTTGTGCAGGTCTACAATTGTATCCCTGATGTCCTTACACAGCTCTCTGGTCTTGGCCATTGTGGAGAGGTTGGAGTCTGTTTGATTGAGTGTGTGGACAGGTGTCTTTTATACAGGTAATGAGTTGAGAACAGGAGGGCTTCTTAAAGAAAAACTAACAGGTCTGTGAGAGACGGAATTCTTACTGGTTGGTAGGTGATCAAATACTTATGTCATGCAATAAAATGCAAATTAATTACTTAAAAATCATACAATGTGATTTTCTGGATTTTTGTTTTCGATTCAGTCTCTCACAGTTGAAGTGTACCTATGATAAAATGTACAGACCTCTACATGCTTTGTAAGTAGGAAAACCTGCAAAATCGGCAGTGTATCAAATACTTGTTCTCCCCACTGTATATATGCTTTCTTGAGCAGGGGGACCTTGCGGGCGCTGCAGGATTTCAGTCCTTCACAGCGTAGTTTGTTACCAATTGTTTTCTTGGTGACTATGGTCCCAGCTGCCTTGAGATCATTGACAAGATCCTCCAGTGTAGTTCTGGGCTGATTCCTCACCATTCTCATGATCATTGCAACTCCACGAGGTAAGATCTTGCATGGAGCCCCAGGCCGAGGGAGATTGACAGTTCTTTTGTGTTTCTTCCATTTGCGAATAATCGCACCAACTGTCGTCACCTTCTCACCAAGCTGCTTGGCGATGGTCTTGTAGCCCATTCCAGCCTTGTGTAGGTCTACAATCTTGTCCTTAACATCCTTGGATAGCTCTTTGGTCTTGGCCATGGTGGAGAGTTTGGAATCTGATTGATTGATTGCTTCTGTGGATAGGTGTCTTTTATACAGGTAACCAGCTGAGATTAGGAGCACTCCCTTTAAGAGTGTGCTCCTAATCTCAGCTCGTTACCTGTATAAAAGACACCTGGGAGCCAGAAATCTTTCTGATTGAGAGGGGGTCGAATACTTATTTCCCTCATTAACATGCAAATCAATTTATAACATTTTTGACATAAATAAATATATATATATATATATATATATATTTTAACCTTTTTTTATTTTTGTTGTTGTTATTCTGTCTCTCACTGTTCAAATAAACCTACCATTAAAATTATAGACTGATCATTTATTTGTCAGTGGGCAAACGTACAAAATCAGCAGGGGATCAAATACTTTTTTCCATCACTGTAAGGGTGAGCTACAGGTTTTAAAAGCAGTTGTATGCAGTCTGTCCCAGTATGAGGCTGCCAGTTTGACCCCAGTAGTTTTGGAAATTAGCCAATGGGAGCACTGGTGAATCCCAGGGTGGGACATGCTGTGGTTGTGCCACTGAGCGAGGCACTTAACCCACATACATGTATTGCATATCCAGCTGTATAAATCCAAAATAAGTGAGAAGTTGCCTCTGATAACCTTAAAATCACTCCTCGTTTTCTCAGAGAACCTAAAGAAGCCAGCCTGCACACACACTCTTTCCTCTTATCGTCTTCCTTCTCTTTTTCTCTCTATTCCTCTTCCCCCTGTCCCCCCAGCAATCGAAGGACTGCCTGCGTCTGGACGAGACCATGCTGGTGAAGCAGCTGCTGCCAGAGATCTGTCACTTCATCCACACGTACCGCGATGGGCACCAGCACGCTGCAGAGCTCCGTGCCTCCGCCTCAGGGGTCCTCTTCTCCCTCAGCTGCAACAACTTCAACGCCGTCTTCAGCCGCATCTCCACCAGGTAATGCTGATCCTGAGGAGCTACAGAGTGTGTTGGCTAATTCATTGTCAGTATCACTGTGTTAATGAGCAGTTGATCAGGTGTGTTAGTACAGGAATAATACTACGATGAATGATGCGTCTAGCCATAGAGATCTGGCATTTATAAAATTATACTGATTGGCCCAAAGGGGGTGCTATAGTAATCAACCAAAATTCCAAAATTACACTGATTGGACCAATCAACTGAAATTCCAAACTTTGAACACGCATATCTCTTGTCCTGTTTGAGCTATTGTCATGGAATTTGGTTAATATATGCAGCCCCTCATGAGCAACACATTTCTAACGAGGACCTACACTACCGGTCAAAAGTTTTAGAACACCTACACATTCAAGGGTTTTTCTTTATTCTTTCTATTTTCTACATTGTAGAATAATAGTGAATACATCAAAACTATGAAATAACACATATAGAATCATGTAGTGTTAAACAAATGAAAATATATTTTATATTTGAGATTCTTCAAATAACCACGCTTTGCTTTGATGACAGCTTTACATAAAAATAAAAAAAATGTTTTAGTCATTTTAGCAGACGCTCTTATCCAGAGCGATTTACAGGAGCAATTAGGATTAAGTGCCTTGCTCAAGGGCACATCGACACATTTTTCACCTAGTCGGCTCGGGGATTAGAACCAGCGACCTTTTGGTTACTGGCACTACGCTCTTAACCACTAAGCTACCTGCCGCCCTCAATAGCTTTGCACACTATTGGCATTCTCTCAACCAGCTTCATGAGGTAGTGACCTGGAATGCATTTCAATTAACAGGTGTGCCTTCTTAAAAGTTAATTTGTGGAATTTCTTTCCTTCTTAATGTGTTTGAGCCAATCAGTTGTGTTGTGACAAGGGGGGGGGGGGGGGGGAGTATACAGAAGATAGCCCTATTTGGTAAAAGACCAAAAAGACCAAATAAGCAAAGAGAAACGACAGTCCACCATTACTTTAAGACATGAAGGTCAGTCAATCTGGAAAATTTCAAGAACTTTTAAAGTTTCTTCAAGTGCAGTCGCAAAAGCCATCAAGCGCTATGGTGAAACTGGCTCTCATGAGGACCGCCACAGGAGTGGAAGACCCAGACTTACCTCTGCTGCAGAGGATAAGTTCATTAGAATTACCAGCCTCAGAAATTGCAGCCCTAATAAATGCTTCACATAGTTCAAGTAACAGACACATCTCAACATCAACTGTTCAGAGGGGACTGTGTGAATCAGGACATCAATAATAAGAAGAGACTTGCTTGGGCCAAGAAACACGAGCAATGGACATTAGACCGGTGGAAATTTGTCCTTTGGTCTGGAGTCCAAATTTGAGATTTTTGGTTCCAACCGGCGTGTCTTTGTGAGACGCGGTGTGGGTGAACGGATTATCTCTGCATGTGTATTTCCCACCGTAAAGCATGGAGGAGGAGGTGTTATGGTGTGGGGGTGCTTTGCTGGTGACACTGTCTGTGATTTATTTAGAATTCAAGGCACACCAGCATGGCTACCACAGCATTCTGCAGCGATACGCCATCCCATCTGGTTTGGGCTTAGTGGGACTATATATTGTTTTTCAACAGGACAATGACCCAACACACCTCCAGGCTGTGTAAGGGCTATTTGACCAAGAAGGAGAGTGATGGAGTGCTGCATCAGATGACCTGGCCTCCACAATCCCCCGACCTCAACCCAATTGAGATGGTTTGGGATGAGTCGGACCGCAGAGTGAAGGAAAAGCAGCCAACTAGTGCTCAGCATATGTGGGAACTCCTTCAAGACAGTTGGAAAAGCATTCCAGGTGAAGCTGGTTGAGAGAATGCCAAGAATGTGCAAAGCTGTCATCAAGGCAAAGGGTGGCTATTTGAAGAATCTGAAATATAACATATATTTTGACTGGTTTAACACTTTTCTGGTTACTACATGATTCCATATGTGTTATTTCATAGTTTTGATGTCTTCACTATTATTCTACATTGTAGGAAATAGTAAAGATAAAGGAAAACCCTTGAATGAGTAGGTGTTCAAAAACGTTTGACCGGTAGTGTATGTGTTTTTCTGCTAATTAGACTTTTTGTCCCCCAACAAACTTTGAACAAGCATATCTCCTGCCCCGTTTGAGCTACTGTCATGTCATTTTTTTACATACATGCATTTCCTCATGAGGAACAAGTTGCCCATAACGACCTATATAATTTCGGTACTTACAAATAACATTTTCTTCATCTTTTAAATTGGCGCTGGCTGCATCCATATGCCGCACATCGTGCCATTGTAAATTGTGGACTGGACTGTGGATCTGTCTCAGTCCGTACGTACATTCGTACAGCCGTACGTTTGTCACACGCGACATCTCAGACAGCACTGGCCTGATTTCGAAGAAACTTGGGTGAATGAGGCATCTTGCCATAGAGATCCGGCATTTACAAAATTATACTGATTGTCCTAAGGGGGGGGTGCTATAGTAATCAACTGAAATTCCAAACTTTGAACAAGCATATCTCCTGTCCCCTTTCAGCTATTGTCATGTAATTTGGTTCATATATGCAGCCCCTCATGAGCATCAAGTTTCCCATAACAACCTATATAATTTCAGTACTTTCAAATGAAATGTCTTTCCAGACAACATACAGTGCATTTGGAAAGTATTCATGCCCCTTGACTTTTCCACATTTTGTTATGTTACAGCCTTATTCTAAAATGGGTTAAAAAAGAAATAATCTCATCAATCTACACACAATACCCCATAATGACAAAGCGAAAACAGTTTATTTTTAATTTTTTTGTTATAAAAAATAAAAACAGAAATACATTATTTACATAAGGAGTCAGACCCTTTGCTATGAGACTCGAAATGGAGCTTAGGTGCATCCTGTTTCCATTGATCATCCTTGAGATGTTTCTACAACTTGATTGGAATCCACCTGTGGTAAATTCAATTGATTGGACATGATTTGGAAAGGCACACACCTGTCTGTATAAGGTCCCACAGTTGACAGTGCATGTCAGAGCAAAAACCAAGCAATGAGGTCGAAGGCATTGTCCGTAGAGCTCTGAGACAGGATTGTGTCGTGGCACAGATCTGGGGAAGGGTACAAAAAACATTATGCAGCATTGAAGGTCCCCAAGAATACAGTGGCCTCCATCATTCTTAAATAGAAGAAGTTTGAAACCACCAAGACTCTTCCTAGAGCTGGCCAAAATTGAGCAATCGGGGAAGAATGGCCTTGGCCAGGGAGGTGACTCTGACAGATCTCCAGAGTTTTTCTGTGGAGATGGGAGAACCTTCCAGAAGGACAACCATCTCTGCAGCACTCCACCAATCAGGCCTTTATGGTAGAGTGGCCAGACAGAAGCCACTCCTCAGTAAAAGGCACATGACAGCCCGTTTGGAGTTTGCCAAAAGGCACCTAAAGGACTCAGACCATGAGAAACAAGATTCTCTGGTCTGATGAAACCAAGATTGAACTCTTTGGCCTGAATGCCAAGCGTCACGTCTGGAGGAAACCTGGCACCGTCCGTACGGTTAAGCATGGTGGTGGCAGCATCATTCTGTGGGGATGTTTTTCAGCGGCAGGGACTGGGAGACTAGTCAGGATCGAGGGAAAGATGAACGGAGCAAAGTACAGTACAGAGAGATCCTTGATCCTTGCGCTCAGGACCTCAGACTGGGGTGAAGGTTCACCTTCCAACAGGACAACGACCCTAAGCACACAGCCAAGACAACGCAGGGGTGGCTTCGGGACAAGTCTCTGAATGTCCTTGAGTGGCCCAGCCAGAGCCCGGACTTTAACCCAATCTAACATCTCTGAAGAGACCTGAAAATAGCTGTGCAGTGATGCTCCCCATCCAACCTGACAGAGCTTGAGAGGATCTGTGAAGAAGAATGGGAGAAACTCCCCAAATACAGGTGTGCCAAGCTTGTAGCTTCATACCCAAGAAGACTCGAGACTGTAGTCGCTGCCAAAGGTGCTTCAACAAAGTACTGAGTAAAGGGTCTGAAGATTTATGAAAATGTGATATATTTGCTAACATTTCTAAAAACATGTTTTTGCTTTGTCATTATGGGGTATTGTGTGTAGGTTGATGAGGGGGGGGAAAAACTATTTAATCCATTTTAGAATAAGGCTGGAAATGTAAGTGGTCTGAATACTTTCCGAATGTGCTGTACGTTGGAATAATTGTCACTAATTGAGACAAGGAGGATCTCCACATCATTCGTCGGGGACAACATGTTTACTGTAGACTTGTTTCTATCTGCAACATTCTGTAAGTTTCACATCATTGATACACTCATGTCAGTTTCCTGTCTTGAAGGACGACGGGATGATGTCAAAAAGGCTACCTCTTATCCCTCTCTTCCACCCCTGCTTCTTTCCCTCCTTTCTACTGAGAAACTGTGGTAGAATAAAATCTCTGGATATCATGTGTTTGACTGGACGAACTTGTTCCCTGGCAGTGTCTAAGAGAGTCCTTATCCATTGTGTTCTCCCCCAGGTTGCAGGAGCTGACAGTCTGCTCAGAAGACACTGTGGATGTCCATGATATAGAGCTCATGCAGTACATCAACGTGGACTGCTCCAAACTTAAAAGACTGCTTCAAGGTAAGCTACTCACTCAATTCCCTGTATGTCATACTACATGGATTTTTGAACTCCTGGATTCTGTGTATTTTGATGTTTATTTGCTAATACTCTATTACTTTTCACTACATCCTCTCAGAAACTGTATTAAAATTCAAAGCCCTGAAGAAACCTGCCCAACTTGCTGTCATTAATAGTTTGGAAAAGGTTTGTGCTCCAATATATTTATATTCAGTGCTGCTGTTTTGTGTTTATGAAGTTGGTGTATGATTATATTTTTCATGGTTTTCACTACTGCAACCTCTTGGCTGTTGGTGAAATGTTTCAAATAACATGTTCCACTTTGAGAACATCACTATGCAGGTTTCCATTGACCCAGGTTTATTCGACAACAGAAATGTCACAAAAAAACATTGCAAAATGTGTAATGGAAACAGCACATTTTCTAAAGATCTACAAATGATGATGGAAACAATGATGGAAACAATGTTTTTCAAATAAATGATGATTGCCGAATCATTTTAAAGGTATGCGGGGCACATGATGCCAGACAAGTAACTATAAAGCTCCACTACACATTTAATTGCTAAATCAATTTCTTTACTATAAAAATGTTTCTTTGCAGGACAAGGATTATCCTTACTTTCAAGAAGGCCTGAATTGCTTCGACTTGCTTTTCTGGTTGGCTGAATGCAAGTTGCACTATCCAATTATTTCAGATCTACAGGAGTGCAAGTTTCACCATGGCACGGACCGTTGCAATACGTTGCCACATGATAATTATTACAATAATGCATATATTAGTCAATTCTGGCTTTTGCGGGCTACCTGACACATGAAACAGATGGGTGGGAGGCTATACAGGCTGTCGCCAGTTTATTCATGTGCAATTTGCCTAAATGGATCATGGAAACACTTCAACCACTTCATGGGGGGTGTGACGTCATTACGTCCAACTGTTTTTATCGACACAAGACAGTTCAATGGAAATGCACCGTAGCAGGCAGTTGATCTATTTTCTATGCAAACGTTCTAAATTTCGTCAAAAAATCACTGGACAAGTTCATGGAAACATAGCTACTGTCAATTCAATCCCGTTCTGGAGAGGACAGTGTTAAATGTCTTTGTTCCTCCGTAGGCCTTCTGGAACTGGGTGGAGAACTACCCTGATGAGTTTACCATGCTCTACCAGAGACCACAGACAGACATGGCCGGTCAGTATTCTCAATAGCCTTGTGTTGGACTGAAACAGAATGCAGATACTGTGTGAAATGTGAAATGTGAAATCTCAAAATGGACTCAAAGGGACTGTAGGGAACAGATAAGGACACTCAAGAAGTTAGGTGAGTTTAGGGCTATCTCACTCGTGTGTGTCTGTGTCTGTATGTCTTTCTGTCTGTCTGTGCATGCCATTTAGATGCTGCGGAGAGGCTGTTTGACCTGGTGGACAGCTTTGCTGAGAGTGCCAAGAGGAAGGCAGCGGTGTGGCCTCTACAGATCATCCTCCTCATCCTCTGTCCCGAGATCACACACATCATCTCCAGAGAGGTGGTGGAGGAGAGCAAGGCCAACAAGGTGAGATGAGAGAACACATACACACGCTGGGATGAAATAGGTAGTGTGACTGATAGTTACTTTCTCTCTCTTGCTACAGAAGCTATTCCTGGAGAGCTTGAGGAAGGCCCTAGCAGTCCAGGGGAGTAGCAAGCCACTAACAGAGAGTGCAGCTATCGCCTGTGTCAAACTGTGCAAGGCCTCCACCTACATCAACTGGGAGGACCACTCAGGCATCTTCCTCCTGGTGCAGTCCATCGTGGTGGACCTCAAGGTCAGAAAAACTAACCACTCTGTCGCCATCTGGGGGCTAGGGAATGCTACAGCAGTGGTTTCTGGGTTTTATGTTAGTCATTTCTGTCGTGGAGTAAAATTGACAATGTCCTTTCTTTATAGAACATTTATATCTACAACGACCTGAACGGTAAACCCTGATTGATATGCCTACGGCTACCCCTTAGACCTTTGAAGTGCAACTTTTGTGCTAGTGCTACCGCTATGGAGCTATAACAATTTTGCTAATACCTATCCAATCCTCTCAGACCTAAACAAAGCCCCTTGCGGTAGGGTTAATTGTGAAATTGGTCCTCCTCCTCCTATCTATCCCATCAGGCCCTGCTCTTCAACCCCAACAAGCTCTTCTCTCGCGGGGCAGGCAGCCAGAACGCAGACGTGGACCTCATGATCGACTGCTTCGTCTCCTGTTTCCGTATCAACCCTCACAACAACCACCACTTTAAGGTCAGTCAGTCTGCTCAGCTCAGTGCATCAGTAGAGAAATGTGCAGAGCATGTCTGAATGATGCTTTACCTCCGTGTCAAAGCGGCCATTTTGACGAAACATTGTGTCTTTATTAATCTCCTCAGGTCTGTTTGGCCTCCTCCTCCCCCTCTACCTTTCACTTTGTCCTGGTCAACTCCCTGCACAGGATCATCACCAATGTAAGTGTGTACTGTCTCCTCTAATACTTACTACCAAGTTCAGTCTAAGTGCAATTGATAGGACAGTGTTGATCTCATTGGCCTTTCCCACAGCAGTGCAATATTAATGATCTTCTCTTCTCTTCTATCCTCTTCCTCCTCCTCTCCTTTAGTCTGATCTGGACTGGTGGCCTAAGATTGATGCAGTGTACTGCTACTCTGGAGAGCTGCGACTAATGTTCTCAGACACTCTGAGCCGAGTGATGCAAGGCCTTCACACACACGCCCCACTACGCATGACGCCGGTGAGAAAGGGACCAGACACGCGCACATTCACGCTCACTGTCACACCAATCGTTTGAAACCCACATACCTTTTGTTTTCCTGTATAAGCCAACCTCTTAGGAAAATGATGTCTTAGTGACTCCTGACGTACGTTACAACTGCTCTCTCTGACAGAGTCTGTCATTTAAAGAGAAGATGACCACCAGCCTTAAGTTCAAAGAGAAAACCACAGATCTGGACACACGCAGCTACAAGTGCCTCCTCCTCGCCCTGGTCAAACTCATCCACGCCGACCCCAAACTCATGCTGCACGTAAGTCTGACACCAACCACCACATACATACTGAGACAATGTCCCTAGGCTCTGTTTGACTAGTTACACACCCACCACGCCCAATGTGCTGCTCTGGATCTCCTGAGCCTGCTTCCCCAGGTTCTACAACACACACACACACACACACACACACACACACACACACACACAGACAATGTTACACTTGTGTGTATGTTTGTGTTTCCTCTCTGCCCCTGCATTCACCCATACATGCATGTTTAACATTGTGTGTGTGTTGTAGAACCCGGGGAAGCAGGCTCAGGAGATCCAGAGCAGCACAGCAGAGCTGATCGCAGGCCTGGTGCAGCTGGTGCCCTTGGTCAACACAGCCCAGCTCTCCCAGGAAGCCATGGAGGTCAGTTTACACTCCTTCTCTCTTACACTCACTCCATCCACTCTGCTTCTTTATTCTTTCCCATTCTGTCCATTTCAACTCTACTACCTAGCATTGAATTGTCAACTTCAAGTAAGGCACATTTCTCTCTGTCTCTGTCTCTCCCTGCCCAGGCGTTGCTGGTGCTGCACCTGCCTGAGACCATTGAGCTGTGGAACCCTGAGGCCCCCATTGAAACCTTCTGGGACATCAGGTACAAGGACATGGTTTAGTTCTGGGTGCTTTTCAGTCCAGAGATATTCCATGTAGACAGACACACTGGTCATGGATTCAGTAGTAGTCACAGTCTTTAGGGGCATGGATTCAGTAGTAGTCACAGTCTTTAGGGACATGGATTCAGTAGTAGTCACTGTCTTTAGGGGCATGGATTCAGTAGTAGTCACAGTCTTTAGGGGCATGGATTCAGTAGTAGTCACTGTCTTTAGGGGCATGGATTCAGTAGTAGTCACAGTCTTTAGGGGCATGGATTCAGTAGTAGTCACTGTCTTTAGGGGCATGGATTCAGTAGTAGTCACTGTCTTTAGGGGCATGGATTCAGTAGTAGTCACTGTCTTTAGGGGCATGGATTCAGTAGTAGTCACTGTCTTTAGGGGCATGGATTCAGTAGTAGTCACTGTTTTTCGGGGCATGGATTCAGTAGTAGTCACAGTCTTTAGGGGCATGGATTCAGTAGTAGTCACTGTCTTTAGGGGCATGGATTCAGTAGTAGTCACTGTCTTTAGGGGCATGGATTCAGTAGAAGTCACTGTCTTTAGGGGCATGGATTCAGTAGTAGTCACTGTCTTTAGGGGCATGGATTCAGTAGTAGTCACTGTCTTTAGGGGCATGGATTCAGTAGTAGTCACAGTCTTTAGGGGCATGGATTCAGTAGTAGTCACTGTCTTTAGGGGCATGTGTTGAGATTCCATTGGGCTCTAACACCGGCCTATCCCATTGCAGCTCCCAGGTTCTCTTCCTGATCTGTAAGAAGCTGATTGGTCACCAGATGGTGAACAGTACAGAGGTGTTGAAGTGGCTGAGGGAGATCCTTATCTGCAGGAACAAGTTCCTCCTCAAGAACAAGGTGAGGTCAGGGACTCTAACCTCACATGAGATTAACCATTGAGGGCTAAAAAGCACTTTCAATGGAGAATCTCCATTAAACATAATTTTTAGTCTAGGACTAGGCTTAGGTCTGGAAAACCGTCCAGAGTGTTTTGCAGTTTCATGTATAAAAGTCAAATGCATGTGTTCGACATGTCTGAATGTGTTTTGGACATGTCTAACTCCTCTCTGCTCCTCCAGGAGGGTGTCACCCAGGGCAGTGGTATCCCCATCTGCAGACAGGCCCAGACCAAACTGGAGGTGTGTCTATACATGTTCCTGTGGAGCCCTGACGCCGAGGCCGTGCTGGTGGCCATGTCCTGCTTCAGACACCTGTGTGAGGAGGCTGACATCCGCTCTTCCGCTGACGAGGTGCCTGTCCAGACCATCCTGCCCAACTACGCCACCTTCACAGAGTTCGCCTCTGTCAGCAACATGATGGCCACCGGTCAGTAAAAACACGGTGTTTTGTAGACCACTTTAACGTGGTCTGAGAGTCACTATATAGGCCAAAGGTTTCAGAAAATGACTCCCACTACGTGTTCCACTATGTGTTTGGTAGGACGCTCCACCCTGCAGAAGAGAGTGATGGCCTTGTTGAGAAGGATAGAGCACCCCACTACAGGAAACACTGAGGTGTGAAAGAATAGAGAAACATTAAATACAGTTTATCCTTGCTTACATCCCTCTAGTATTTCTGACTTATACCTTGGTGTTTCCATGTCTCACCCCAGGCATGGGAGGACACGCATGCAAAATGGGAGCAGGACACCAAACAGATTCTAAACTTCCCCAAAAACAAGGTGGAGGATGGTCAGGTAAGAGCACTTCCATTATAGGATTTAGTAGTGTTTCACCGTTAATAAAAAAAACACAGGGAAACACTGCTCCAAACTCTCTCTCTCTGTCTTCCCCTGCAGGAGTGGATCAACATGACAGGCTTCCTGTGTGCTCTGGGCGGGGTGTGTCTGTCTCAGCGCAGCAAGCCCTGCGGCCCTGCCACCTACAGCCCCCCCATGGGCCCCATGAGCGAACGCAAGTACTCCATGGTCTCTGTGGGCTCCTGTGAGGTCTCCAACGCTGCAGCTGGAGCCTCAGCCACCTGCTCCTCCTCTTCTGAGACCCCCCTGGGCAGGTTCCTGGACCGCCTGCTGGCCCTGCTGGTGTGTGGTCATGAGAGGGTGGGTCTGCACGTCCGCACCAACGTCAAGGAGCTGCTGGGCCTGGAGCTCAGCCCGGTCCTCTACCACATGCTCTTCAACAAGCTCAGGAACAGCATTGGACGCTTCTTCGACACACAGGGGCCGGTGAGTGGATGGGCTGGGGAGGAGGATGGGGCACGTTAACCAATGAGTTTAATTGTATTAGCATAGAAAATCATTCTGGGAAGTTTTACAAAGGGATGGTGACTTTTGCTGATTGCAGCACCCTGCCTGAACTAATGTCAAATTTGATTAGTTCATTATAAAACATTGATCCGTTGACATTAGCAGGAATGTAGTTAAGACTGATTTCATTGATTTGTCTCTGTACTATTGCAGGTCCCCATCAATGACACTAACACCCAGTTTGTGGAGCAGACCATCGCCATCATGAAGAACCTACTGGACAACCATGCTGAGGGCAGCTCAGAGCACCTGGGACAGGCCAGCATAGAGACCATGATGCTCAACCTGGTCAGGTGAGAGACACACTCACTCACTCACTCACTTACTCTCTCGGCTTATGAAATGCCTAATCAGTTGTCCATCTTCAGGACCTTATTCAGTCTTATTTCACCCCCCAGGTACGTGCGTATCCTAGGCAACACGTTGCATGCCATCCAGATGAAGACCAAGCTGTGCCAGCTGGTGGAGGTGATGATGGAGAGACGAGACGACCTGTCCTTCTGCCAGGAGATGAAGTTCAGGTGAGACAGAGACAGCACCCCCTCTTGGACAGACCTAAACACTAGCCAAACTAGCTAAACGCTACTTAAATTGTTAGTCAGCAGTTCAAACCAAAAAGTGTCTCCCCGCCCCTGTTTTGGTAAAAAGCTGAGGGATGGGGCTGGAGAAATATAACCGCTCTCATATTCATTGACAGAGCTATGGACTGACCATCCCTGATATAAAAATTATAGTTTTAGCCATGTTTTGAGGCCGTATAGTGTTTGTTTACATTTACTTTGTTTACAAACATTGGAGTAAAACAAGCTTCTATTTTGGGTTCTGATGGGGTACAACAGTTGAACTAAGCTCATGAGGCATTTATAAGTTATATTCTTCAAGAATCAATGTGTACATATCATTCATAAGGTCAAAAATGGCTGTAGCAAATGCTGATTGCACCTTTAAACGCTACCGATATGAACCCCTTTTTTGGGGGGGGGTTTACGATCTTTGTTAATTCAACCCCTCACCACGTCTCTTCCAGGAACAAGATGGTGGAGTACCTGACAGACTGGGTGATGGGCACCTCCAACCAGGCTGCTGATGACGATATCAAGTGTCTGACCAGAGACCTGGACCAGGCCAGTATGGAGGCGGTGGTGTCTCTGTTAGCTGGCCTGCCTCTACAGCCAGAGGAGGGAGACGGGGTGGAACTGATGGAGGCCAAGTCACAGCTCTTCCTCAAGTAACTACAACATGGTTTCCTCATTTAGCTGACACTCTTATCCAGAGCGACTTAGTTAGCTGTTGCTGCTCTTCGACTTTCTGTTTACTGTGCATGCTGTAACATTTCCACACACAGAAAACCTATATCTGTGTTTTCTGTATAGTAGTAAAGGAATACATTAACTTAAATGTGCACATAATTTGAATCCAAACTGCCTGTTAAGTGTTCTGAACCCTGCTTTACCCCCTGTACCCAGGTACTTTACCCTGTTCATGAACCTGCTGAATGACTGCAGTGAGGTGGAGGATGATGGCCAACCGGTGGTTGGGAGGAAGAGGGGCATGTCTCGACGCTTGGCCTCCCTCAGACACTGTACTGTCCTGGCCATGTCCAACCTCCTCAACGCCAACGTGGACAGCGGACTCATGCACTCTATCGGTGATCTACTGTAGCAGTAGTGATTCTCAACCTTTTATAGTGCCAGGAAGGCTATAACATTAGTCCTTCCATCTGCTAAGGACCATAGCTTCCAAAATGAACAATCAAACCTCAGTTAAAATGTCCCTGTATCCTCTGCCACCCTTCATCTTTCTCTTGTGCCCTTTCCCTCTGTCTCTCTCGCTCTCTCCTCCCCCCTCCATCCATCCTTCTCCAGGTCTGGGCTACCATAAGGACCTGCAGACGCGGGCCACCTTCATGGAGGTTCTGACTAAGATCCTCCAGCAAGGGACAGAGTTTGACACACTGGCAGAGACAGTGCTGGCTGACCGCTTCGAGAGGCTGGTGGAGCTGGTCACCATGATGGGAGACCAGGGAGAGCTGCCCATCGCCATGGCACTGGCCAATGTGGTGCCAGGATCCCAATGGGTATGTACGAAACACAGCCCTAGGTCATTTTTGGCTAGTCTTGGGGTGACCAACCTTCACATTGAAAAGCACTACAATAACACACCTGTTTCTGTTTATCAAGGTGCTGATTTATTAGTAGAATCAGACATGTTACTGCATGGCTGTAGCTCCCCAGGAAAAGGGTTGGCCACCACTGTGCTAGTATGAGAATGTGAGGCAGTAGTTATAGAAAGTGGTTGAAACATGTTTGTGTATTTTAGTTTTTGTGTGTGTGTGTTCTTCAGGATGAGCTGGCCCGTGTGTTGGTGACGCTGTTCGACTCTCGCCACCTGCTGTATCAGCTGCTGTGGAACATGTTCTCCAAGGAGGTGGAGCTGGCTGACTCCATGCAGACTCTGTTCAGAGGCAACAGCCTGGCCAGTAAAATCATGACCTTCTGTTTCAAGGTAAAACCACATTTCTCTTCCATACAGACAACTTTAAATGGTAGAACCTGAAGCACTCACACCAAGCCTGAAAATGTAAATGCATTTTAACGTTGAAATTCTTTGTGTCAGGTGTACGGGGCGGCGTACCTACAGAAGCTACTGCAGCCTCTACTTAAAGGGGTCGTCACCACCCCAGAGTGGCACAACATCAGCTTTGAGGTGGACCCAACCAGGTAGGAACAGTCACCGGAAGCATTCCACCAGTCAGTTTGACTGTGGTAGCCTGGTGTGGTGGTAAGGGATAGCGCATCGATTTGAGCAATTATGCTGGGTAACCTTATTAAATGGAAGTTACCAAAGCAATTCTGACTTTTTATTTCAATCATGAATGACAGTTGTTGGACTCTCTCTATCCTCTCTCACTTCCCCCCCTCCGTCTCCTCTCTTTTTGTCCCCTACCTCCCTTCCTGCCACCCTTTCTGTAGACTAGAACAGTCGGAGAACCTTGAGGAGAACCAGCGGAACCTTCTCCAGATCACAGACCGGTTCTTCCTGGCCATTATCAACTCCTCCAGCGAGTTCCCTCCGCAGCTACGCAGTGTGTGTCACTGTCTCTACCAGGTAGGGTCATATCCCACCCCTGGCCTCAGGCAGCTCTCTGGGTGGGTGGTGTGTGCTGCTGTCACCTACACCCTCTCAAGCCACTGGCTTCCTTCTTCCACACTGTGACAATAATGGCACTAGGCCACAGCTCTCACTCTCTCTAATACACACACACTGGCACAACCTTCTTACTTTCCTCAGACTTTCCACTAACATTGCCGCTATACGTACTCTGCCCTCTCTTACATGCTCGCTCTTCATGTACTGTGACAAAACAGATAGAGGGCTGTCCCTTCAATGGTGGTAGTTTGAAAAGGGGGAACATATGCAGCTGAATTAACTGGCTACAGCAACATCAAGACACCACAAAGCAGCTAGTGTGTCCCTACTCGCAGTCACCCAACCTCTTACACACAGACACACCTCCGTCTCTATTAAACCTAACTTTTCCATGAAAGAACACCTCTGTATTGGCACACACACACCCCTAGCCTATTTCCTGCTGTTTCCATCTGCATGTCTGATGAGCCGACACTGCTGCCCTGCTGCTCTCTGCTTCCACCAACACTGACTTTCTCCCTACACTGACTTAAAGCAACACATCAGCTGTTTCGATATCTCAATGAGATGAACGCAGGGCGCTTTGGAACCACTAATGTTATTTTGTGGGACACAACACCAAAATCTCACAGAACGTGAAGCTTATACATATCGATCTCCCTTCGCTCGATACACTCCCATACTACTACCATTGTGCTAAAATCTGCCTGTAAAAATCATGCACCTGCGCACACACACACACACATGCTATGCTGTTCAGTAGTAGGGCTGTGCCGGCGGATGCTCTTGTGTAGCTTCTGTGTGTGTGTGTGTGGCCGGTGCTGTGACCTGTTTGTGCTCATCTCTGTTCTGTAGGCTACTTGCCACTCTCTACTGACTAAAGCCACAGTTAAAGACAGAAAGGAAAACAAAAAAGCAGTAAGTTCAGCGAACTTTTTCCTCAGCCACTTTATTTTAAAAAGCAAAAATGACTTTTTGTTGCATTTTTTAAAATATGATTTATTTGTATGGTTCAAGTCTGTGTACAGCCTTCTCTTAAAATCATTGTACTAATACAGGCGCCAACTTAGTTGCTTCCATTTTCTATTAACAACTCCAAGAAACCAGTGCGTTCCGTTACACCAGGGATGTCAACCTTGTTCCACGGAGGGCCTAGGGTCTGCAGGTTTGAGTTTTTTCCTTTCAATTAAGACCTAGACAACCAGGTGAGGGGAGTTCTTTACTAATTAGTGATCTTAATTTGTCGATCAATTACAAGGGAGGATCGAAAACCCGCAAACACTCGGCCCTCAGTGGAATGATTTTGACACGTGCGTTAGTCGTTCTTTCTTTCTGTGCTCCAGACAGATGGGATTGGAATGGGTGGAACAGTGTTTGTCGGAATGTTTCTAGAGGCTGAATTTGGCTGCAGTGGACATTAACAGATCCCCAGGGTGACAGTTTTCTATGGTGCACTTCTTTCTGTGTTGCTGCAGTGCATATGGAATGTAGGCAGTAGTAAAGTATTTGTACCAACAATATTATAATATGTTGTAGAACTATAAAGGTTTTTAAGTGGCTTTGCAGAGACATAGTTAGCTTGCTGGGAAATGTTGGTTGCCGGGGTCTCTTGTCTCTCTCTCTCCCCTCCCTCATCGCCCCTCCTGTCGCTTTCTGTAGTATACAGAGTAACAGACTGCAGAATGCCATTTTGCTTATTGATTGCAGTGGTATTATTGTCCATTGTATTTGGGCCATATATAGGGCATATTTGAAATTGGTTTATTGCACTTGCACCAATGATTTGAATCTATAGGCCTAGGTGAAGTGAGGATTGTCAGATGTTTTTTTAGGCTGGTGAAATTCAACGTCATTTGTCACCCCTTATTTTTTTCTGTCATTGTGCTTTAAAGTGGAACTGACAGCATTTTAAACTACTTTGCAGATATGAAACAGAAAGATAATCATATCAGTCAAAAATATCTAAATCGCAGTTTATGCTACAAAACCAACTTTAGAAAAGGTTTTAAAAATAGTTAATTTTTTACTCAAAATTCCATGACGTACAGTAAGGCATAGTTGGCAGAATAGATGGATGCAATTCAATGCATGATTCATATATACACTGAACAAAAATATAATACACCATGTAAAGTGTTGGTCCCATGTTTCATGAGCTGAAATAAAATATCCTAGAAATGTTCCATACGCACAAAAAGCTTCTTTCTCTCAGATTTTGTGCACACATTTGTTTACATTCCTGTTAGTGAGCATTTTATCCATTGTCAAGATAATCTATCCACCTGACAGGTGTGGCATATCAAGAAGCTGATTAAATAGCATGATCATTACACAGATGCACCTTGTGCTAGGGACAATAGAAGGTCACTCTAAAATGTGCAGATTTGTCACACAACACAATGCCACATATGTCTCAAGTTTTGAGGGAGTGTGCAATTAGCATGCTGACTGCAGGAATGTCCACCAGAGCTGTTATAATTAAATGTTCATTTCTCTACCATAAACTGCCTCCAACGTCGTTTTAGAGAATTTGGCACAGTGTAACTAAGGCTGGGAATGTCAATGCAACCAAACTAGCAAGGGCAATGACGGGGCTAAAAGGCTAGCGTACATGTGTCAAACTCAATAGGACACACAAGCGAGTATAAATGAGTCAACAGTCTACTTTATGAAATTACAGCCTGATGCGCTCGCATTGGTGAATTCAACTTCAGTTGCGCTGCTTTCGTCTGTCCGGTTTACAGCGTGCAGCGGAGGGAAAGTGTACAGACACATGCCACAGTCCTAGCTAGGCTACTAAAATGTTGCAGTCTGGCTTCGGTTTTTAATAAATAACCAAAAAACAAAACCTGCAACAAAACACCAGGCAAAAGAGAAACATGTAGGCCTATTACAGCAACATTTGAGTAGTAGCCTAGGCGGCTGGCTACTCAACTACAATACATTTTGAGTGCACCATACAGCATTGCTGAATTCAACCGCAGCGGTGATCAGTCCAGTGCAAGAAAAATGTTTTTAAACATTACAACGACCAATAGCTACGTTTTTGTTATTTGGAGTTATTAAATAATTTTTGATTAGGGTCACAGCATATTATGCACATCTGCAAGCACAGCAGCAAAGGCTGGACAAATATGATGTATCTCTTTTGTTTTAATATGTTAATTCCATATACAGCATCCTATGTATATAAGTGGACATTATAAAGGGACATATTTTTTCTAAGAAAACAATGACAGTTGCACGTTTTTTTGTAAAAACAAATGGCTATGTCTGGCCTGCGATTATTATTTTTCCGATATGGCCTTTGCGCTGATTGAGTTTAACCCCCCTGGGCTAGCGTACCTATTTATATAGCTAGCTATTTACTTAGCAAGCTAAAAACGCTGAGCATAACGTTAGCTAGCTAGGTAGCTAGCTAGCTGCTGGGAGGATGTCATGTCATTGGAAGAGTGGGTGAGTGACCGACTTTCCACTCATATCATTTTTCGATGGCTACAGCTAGAGATGCAGGTGTCAATAAATGTGAATCGCTTTGCTAGCTTTGGCATCGATCAAATGGGCGGGCAGGCAAGTTCCCATTGAGTTGTCAAAACGTAGGTTGGGACAAAAATGCTTTGGCAGGCAAGCTGCAGAAGGACGAGCAGGCTACTATTCCCCATCGTTTATCAGTGCAATTTTGACGGCCAACTAGCTGAAAGTTTGTTCACTCGTCAGATTTGAGCTCATCTCACTCTGGCTACCATTAGCTGTTGATCTTGTTGTTGATGTGCATAGGCACTGAGGGAGAGAGGGCCTACCTTTTTCATGGTTGTTTGATCAATAGGACTAAGTTCCCAAATGTAAGAGGATCCCGTGGTATTTACATATTTGTAGAAATCCATTCAGGTGTATTTTGTGGCTTTTGGCGAATGCACTCTAATAATCTAAAGTCGTGCTGTTGCTACTGCCTGTAAACACAGTCCAGTTCAAAGTTAGTGATTGCAGGCCCATGTGGCAAATGGCTTATTTGCATATACATTTACGTTTACGTCATTTAGCAGACGCTCTTATCCAGAGCGACTTACAGTTAGTGCATACATTATTATTTTCATACTGGCCCCCCGTGGGAATCGAACCCACAACCCTGGCGTTGCAAACGCCATGCTCTATCAACTGAGCTACCTCCCTGCCTGCCATTCCCTCCCCTACCCTGGACGACGCTGGGCCAATTGTGCGCCGCCACATTGGTCTCCCGGTTGCGGCCGGCTACAGCAGAGCCTGGATTCGAACCAGGATCTCTAGTGGCACAGCTAGCACTGCGATGCAGTGCCTTAGACCACTGCGCCTACTGTAGCTCTAATTGGCTATGGCGCACCGGTCTGCCTAGACACCAGTCTTGGACAAGACGGAAATATATTTGTTTTTATTTACTGCAGTGCCTATTAATTGTCCAACAGCAGGGATGCTTTCCCACTCTATATTGCTATAGAATTTTCACAAACGCCTTACTATACGTCATTCCCAAACATTCTATGAATTTATGAAAATGTGAAAATTACCATACTTAAGTGCTTGCTTGTCAGAAAATGTAAAACATAATAATAATTATCATATTCTTCCTGGGGGTGTAAATGAACAGATTTTAATAATATTTTATGTTGCTAAAATGCTGTCAGTTCCACAAAAAACAAGCTCTTGTCCTCTCCTGCTGGCATTTAGTTTGTTTCTTTTTCAAAGGCTTAATTTTCCTCTAAGCTTTAATTTAAAATGTCTTCTCTTAGCTACGGAAGTCCAGAAAGGAGGACGTGAATAAAAATAATTCCCTTGTTATGTCGATCACAACTTATTTATCTCATGATCACTACATAACAAAAGTGGTTTTGTTGAGATTACGAGATAATCAAAAATACCATGCATTGTCCATGAATTTGTTCAGATGCACAATAAGCACGTCATCAAGGAGCCCTGTGGCTGTGTTGATCACAAATGCCTTGTGGGGCATTTAAGCCCTGAACGATGCCTGACAGGCAGCACTGTCTCCCAGGCTGTGTGCCACCCCCAAGGCCTTAAATGCTCCACGATGGCTTAGCTCCTGCACAAGCTCTTAGCTCAAGGTAAGGGACATTTTAGCTTGCTAACATTCTAATTTATAAACTGATAATGATCTCCAAACACAAATTAAAGCATGATGTTAACATAATATGTATTATCCCTTAGTGTAGCAATCAATAAAAACGTATGTGCTGATCCACCGTGGGCTCTGCTGCCTCAGCCACACAGTCAATCTATCATCAATACGTCCACTCCTTTTTAACAACTTTTATGTCGTGATCATGAGAAAATTATCTTGTGATCTCGACAAAACAACTTTTATGTAGTGATCAGTAGATAAATAAGTTGTGATCTCGACATAATGAGGGATTTTTATTTTATTCATACAGTGCATTCGGAAAGTATTCAGACCCCTTGACTTTTTCCACATTTTGTTATGTTACAGCCTTATTCTAAAATGTATTAAATTACAAATGTTCCTTATTCATCTACACACAATACCCCGGAATGACAAAGCAAAAACAGGTTTTTAGAAATCTTTGCAAAATGTATTAAAAATAAAAAACGAATATACATTTTACATAAGTATTCAGATACTCAGTACTTTGTTGAAGCACCTTTGGCAGCGATTACAGCCTTGAGTCTTCTTGGGTATGACGCTACAAGCTTGGCACACCTGTATTTGGGGAGTTTCTCCCATTCTTCTCTGCAGATCCTCTCAAGCTCTGTCAGGTTGGATGGGGAGCGTCGCTGCACAGCTATTTTCAGGTCTCTCCAGAGATGTTCGATCGCGTTCATGTCCGGGCTCTGCTTGGGCCACTCAAGGACATTGAGACTTGTCCTGAAGCCACTCCTGCGTTGTCTTTGCTGTGTGCTTAGGGTCGTTGTCCTGTTGGAAGGTAAACCTTCGCCCAAGTCTGAGGTCCTGAGCGCTCTGGAGCAGGTTTTCATCAAGGATCTCTCTGTACTTTGCTCCGTTCATCTTTCCCTCGATCCTGACTAGGCTCGCAGTCCCTGCCGCTGAAAAACATCCCCACAGCATGATGCTGCCACCACCGTGCTTCACCATAGGGATGGTGCCAGGTTTCCTCCAGACGTGACGCTTGGCATTCAGGCCAAAGAGTTCAATCTTGGTTTCTTCAGACCAGAGAATCTTGTTTCTCATGGTCTGAGAGTCCTTTAGGTGCTTTTTGGCAAATTCCAAGCGGGCTGTCATGTGCCTTTTACTGAGGAGTGGCTTCCGTCTGGCCACTCTACCATAAAGGCCTGATTGGTGGAGTGCTGCGGAGATGGTTGTCCTTCTTTAAGGTTCTCCCATCTCCACAGAGAAACTCTGGAGATCTGTCAGAGTGACCATCGGGTTCTTGGTCACCTCCCTGACCAAGGTCCTTCTCCCCCGATTGCTCAGTTTGGCTGTGTGGCCAGCTCTAGGAAGAGTCTTGGTGGTTCCAAAGTTCTTCCATTTAAGAATGATGGAGGCCACTGTGTTCTTGGGGACCTTCAATGCTGCAGAAATGTTTTTGGTACCCTTCCCCAGATCTGTGCCTTAACGCAATCCTGTCTCGGAGCTCTACGTACAATTCCTTCGACCTCATAGCTTGATTTTTGCTCTGACAGGCACTGTCAACCGTGGGACCTAATATAGACAGGTGTGTGCCTTTCCAAATCATGTCCAATCAATAGATTTTACCACAGGTGGACTCCAGTCAAGTTGTAGACACATCTCAAGGATGATCAATGGAAACAGGATGCACCTGAACTCAATTTCGAGTCTCATAGCAAAGGGTCTGAATACCTATGTAAATAAGGTTAAATATATATATATATATATATATATATATATATATATATATATATATATATATATATATATATATATATATATATATATATATATATATATATATATGGCCTGATTTATAAAGGCATCCTGGATGAGAAGCCCCCACCCAGGATAGAGGCCTGAAGCTGATGTCCAAGGTAAGGTTAAATATATATATATATATATATATATATATATATATATATGTATGTGTGAGGGAGGGAAAAAAGTATTTGATTCCCTGCTGATTTTGTGCGTTTGCCCACTGACAAAGACATGATCAGTCTATAATTTTAATGGTAGGTTTATTTGAACAGTGAGAGACAGAATAACAACAACAAAATTCCAGAAAAACGCATGTCAAAAATGTTATAAATTGATTTGCATTTTAATGAGGGAAATAAGTATTTGACTCCTCTGCAAAACATGACTTAGTACATGGTGGCAAAACCCTTGTTGGCAATCACAGAGGTCAGACATTTCTTGTAGTTGGCTACCAGGTTTGCACACATCTCAGGAGGGATTCTGTCCCACTCCTCTTTGCAGATCTTCTCCAAGTCATTAAGGTTTCGAGGCTGACGTTTGGCAACTCGAACCTTCAGCTCCCTCCACAGATTTTCTATGGGATTAAGGTCTGGAGACTGGCTAGGCCACTCCAGGACCTTAATGTGCTTCTTCTTGAGCCACTCCCTTTGTTGCCTTGGCCGTGTGTTTTGGGTCATTGTCATGCTGGAATACCCATCCCCGACCCATTTTCAATGCCCTGGCTGAGGGAAGGAGGTTCTCACCCAAGATTTGACGGTACATGGCCCCGTCCATCGTCCCTTTGATGCGGTGAAGTTGTCCTGTCCCCTTAGCAGAAAAATACCCCCAAAGCATAATGTTTCCACCTCCATGTTTGACGGTGGGGATGTTCTTGGGGTCATAGGTAGCATTCCTCCTCCAAACACGGCGAGTTGAGTTGATGCCAAAGAGCTCGATTTTGGTCTCATCTGACCACAACACTTTCACCCAGTTCTCCTCTGAATCATTCAGATGTTCATTGGCAAACTTCAGACGGGCCTGTATATGTGCTTTCTTGAGCAGGGGGACCTTGCGGGCGCTGCAGGATTTCGGTCCTTCACGGCGTAGTGTGTTACCAATTGTTTTCTTGGTGACTATGGTCCCAGCTGCCTTGAGATCATTGACAAGATCCTCCCGTGTAGTTCTGAGCTGATTGCTCACCGTTCTCATGATCATTGCAACTCCACAAGGTGAGTTCTTGCATGGAGCCCCAGGCCGAGGGAGATTGACAGCTCTTTTGTGTTTCTCCCATTTGCGAATAATCGCACCAGCTGTTATCACCTTCTCACCAAGCTGCTTGGCGATGGTCTTGTAGCCCATTCCAGCCTTGTGTAGGTCTACAATCTTGTCCCTGACATCCTTGGAGAGCTCTTTGGTCTTGGCCATGGTGGAGAGTTTGGAATGTGATTGATTGCTTCTGTGGACAGGTGTCTTTTATACAGGTAAAAAGATGAGATTAGGAGCACTCCCTTTAAGAGTGTGCTCCTAATCTCAGCTCGTTACCTGTATAAAAGACACCTGGGAGCCAGAAATCTTTCTGATTGAGAGGGGGTCAAATACTTATTTCCCTCATTAAAATGCAAATCAATTTATAACATTTTTAACATAAATATATATATTTTTTTTAACCTTACCTTGGACATCAGCTTCAGGCCTCTCTCTATCCTGGGTGGGGGCTTCTCATCCAGGATGCCTGCCTCTAAGGGCGACACGATGGCATATATATATGTGTGTGTGTATATATATATATATATATATATATATACATTTGCACAGATTTCTAAAAACCTGTTTTTGCTTTGTCATTCTGGGGTATTTGTAGATTAATAAGGAAAAATTGTAATTTAATCCATTTTAGAATAAGGCTTTAACAAAATGCGGAAGAAGTCTGACTACTTTCCGAATGTACTATATGTCCTCTCTGGACTTCTGTACTTAGCTCTTTCCATCTTCCTCTGTCTCCCTCCCTCTTTCTTGCACTCTTACTCTCTAACTCTTTCTTTCTCTCTCTTGCTTTTTTCTTTCTCTCTCGCTCGTTCTCTGGCTGGCTTTGAGAAGGGTGGTGTGAGATCTTCTCTGTCATGTCGTACAAGCATCTAACTTTCTAACTTCCTTTTCTTCTTTTGTGTTTTCTCTCCACTCTGTTCCCACCCCTCCTTCTCTCCTCCCTCCCCATTGTTCTCCACCGCCCTCCTCTTCCTCCAGGTGGTGAGCCAGCGTTTCCCCCAGAACAGTATAGGGGCGGTGGGCAGTGCCATGTTCCTGCGCTTCATCAACCCTGCCATCGTGTCGCCCTACGAGGCAGGCATCCTGGATGAGAAGCCCCCACCCAGGATAGAGAGAGGCCTGAAGCTGATGTCCAAGGTATGGGTTGGGTCTAAGGCACTGCATCGCAGTGCTAACTGTGCCACTAGATCCTGGTTCGAATCCAGGCTCTGTCGCAGCCGGCCGTGACCGGGAGACTCATGGGCGGCGCACAATTGGCCCAGCGTCGTCCAGGTTAGGGGAGGGAATGGCCGGCAGGGATGTAGCTCAGTTGATAGAGCATGGCGTTTGCAACGCCAGGGTTGTGGGTTCGATTCCCACGGGGGGCCAGTATAAAAATAATAATATATGTATTCACTAACTGTAAGTCGCTCTGGATAAGAGCGTCTGCTAAATGACTAAAATGTAAATGTAAAATGTGCTTCCATCTTCCTAAAATAAGCACCTAATGACAGTAGTGGCTTTGACCGAAAGATGTTTTATTTTTTTATTTATGACCTTTTATTTTAATTAAGTTGCTCTCTGTTTTGTGTTTTTCTCTCTGTCCTCAGATCCTCCAGAGCATTGCCAACCACGTGTTGTTTACCAAAGAGGAGCACATGAGGCCTTTTAACGACTTTGTGAAAAGCAACTTTGATGCAGCCAGGCGGTAAGCTAGGTTGAAGATGACAAAGTTTAAGACAACCGGATACTAATACAACTCTTTGTCACAATGGGACCAGCTATGGTAGTTAGCAACGGTGCTGGTAGTTAGCAACAGCGCTGGTCCCAGATTTCTAACGACGTCTTAACCTGTATATTTTCCAACCTAGGTGGTAAGAATTTTAATTTTAATACCAAAAAAGCGGATAAAAGCACACACTGCTCTATTAGTATCCTGAAAAGCAGGAACTGATCGGAGTCCCGACTTTCTGTTATGAAGCTGAGAATTACGTACCTGGTCTCATTTTCTAAAATGTTACAGATATTTGTAATAGATTTCCAGTTCTGACCATTCACTCTGTGATCCCTCTGTATTGTCCTATAGGTTCTTCTTGGACATAGCGTCTGACTCTCCTCCCAGTGACTCAGTCAACCACAGCCTGTCCTTCATCAGTGATGGCAATGTTCTGGCCCTCCACAGGCTGCTTTGGAACAACCAGGAGAGGATTGGACAGTACCTCTCCAGCAACAGGTCAGTAACACACACGCATACGATGTGTCACCAGTCATCATGTTATTATGTGCACTACCAGTATAGCCCTCTGAGTCTGACAGCGGTCTCTCTCTCCCCTCTCTCTTCCCATTCCATAGGGACCACAAGGCAGTGGGCAGGCGGCCATTTGACAAGATGGCCACCCTCCTGGCCTATCTAGGGCCCCCCGAGCACAAACCTGTGGCCGACACCCACTGGTCCAGCCTCAACCTCACCAGCTCCAAGTTTGAAGAGTTTATGACCAGGTAACTGTTCTCCTAGTGTAGAGTTAGTGTGTAAAATGTTCTAAGACATTAAGGATGCCAGCAGTTAGTGAGTGGAGTTGATTCAGAAGCATTCTGGTGTCCGTTTGTCCCTGATTTCTAGGCACCAGGTCCATGAGAAAGATGAGTTCAAAGCCCTGAAGACCCTCAACATCTTCTACCAGGCTGGCACCTCCAAGAATGGCAACCCTCTCTTCTACTACATTGCTCGCAGGTAAGACCTGGCCAAGGAGTGTATGTTGCTGTCTACATATATTATTAGTATTATAAACCAGCTTGAAAAACATATTAACTTTATCAACACTTAATGTCAGGGAAGCTTCCTCTGGAAGTTGACAGTCGTATATATTGGGCCATCCGTTGGTAGGGAGCGGGTTGTGTCCCTTAAATTTTGAGCAGTGCTGACGGCCAAGCTGTAAAGACAAGTTGGGGTCATGGGGAGGACCCAGGTAGGTCCATTCACTCAACTACAGAATGCTTTATGGGGCTACATATCATAGCCTCTTAGTTCCAGCTCAGCTGAAGAGGAGGGCTACCCTGTGCCTCCTTCCCAGGCTGCTGCACACTGTTCTGGGGGAGTCAGGACGGCTGGGCGAACCAGATTTAGAGTTACCCTATACCTCTGTCTTTAAGGTGTGTGGTAGGAAGGGAGTATAGTGGAGGGAATTCTTAAAATAGTGGACAGAGGGTCAGTTTCTGACCGAACGGTCAATGAGGTGTGACAATTTCAATACCCAGAGGAGAATAGTTTGGTTTCATTTCGTTATGATAACTTTCAACTATTTTAAAGACCTTATAAAGAGCAAAGGTGTTTGTGTGCATGCACGTAAGGGGCTTAAGTACTTGCAAGCCCTCCTAAATAACACCCAAACCAAGCTGATGCCAAGGTGTAAAGATTAGTTATCTCAGACACTGACTCATCCAAACCACACGTACAGTAAATGCATTCTGAATGTTTTCCTTTTCGGTCTTTATATCATAGAAACCATAAAATGCAGCAGCATCTGTCAACATAACGGACAAGCAGTATAGACTACATGGAGTAGAGCATTCATGTTTCCACATCGATAGAGTATTATTAGTCATGTATGTGTATACATTTGCCTAGATATTATTTGTATGCGAGTTTGAAAGATCTAGCCATACAGCACAACTACACTCTGTAGATGGTTGGCAAATTGTTGAAAGGTGAGAGAGAATACACATTATATATTTTTTTTAGGCAGTAACAGTCGAACATTGTTCTTTAAAACAAAACTTTCTGGGTCAAACGTACGTAGGGTTAGCACTCTCCAAAATTCATCAAGACTTGGCTCTAGTCTCTTTAGAAGGCTTTGAAGGCAGTCACCGTGACTAAAAGGTTCAAGGCGACTACAGAATACAGGATCTGTGTGTGGAGTCCGTGGCCTCTGCTCCGCGTGCTTTTTGTGTTGGGCTTCTTTGTGGCGGAGCGCGGGTGCCCCGTTGTGCTTGTGCGTGTGAAGAGGCCGTGCGAGGGGGTGGAGGTGAACACGAACAGTGTCTGGTCCCCCGAGCCATTGGCCACCCCCCTGTCTCCATGCATCCCAGGTTCCAATAACGCAGACTTAGCCAGGTACCCAGAAGTGGCGACTGCAGCCCTAGCCGGTGGGAGGCCTCCACGGCCCAGCTCTCTGGCATCAGCCCCCAGCGGAGGCTCTGTGTAGGATGCAAAGTGCCACTCCTCTCCTGGAGTTGCCAGATGGGCTTGCCCACAGGTTGGCCTAGTGTAGCAGGGGCAGCCCAATACGGCAGCGCGGGTATGTTCGGCCCAGAGCAAGAGCCGTGTGATGTTGTCCTCCTCCTCACAAGCCCAAGGGTTATCCCCAAGAGTCAACAACTCAAGCCCCTCCAACCGGTCAAACACCCCCTCCGGCACCCAGGAGAAGCGATTAGCTTGCAGGTAGAACCTCCTCAGCCTGGGCAGCCGGTCCAACGACCCCAGGAGGATCTGAACCAGGTAGTTGTGGGACAAATCCACAATCTCCAGATTATGAGGCATGTTGGTGGGCACGGTCCAGAACCGGTTGTGACTCAGGTTGAGGGTGTGTAGGCTGGGCAGGGTGTTGTTGATGAAGACCACCCTCTCCAGCTCGTTGGCTGACAGGTCCAGGACCCGCAGGTTCCAGTGGTAGGCCGTGTCGTTCTTGTCTAGGGCTCTGAGCTGGTTGCCGGCGGCCCGGATGTCCCACAGGGCCCTGGGCAGGCCGGAGGGGATGCGACCCAGGAGGTTATAGGACAGGTCCAGGGTACGCAGGTGGGCGTAGTGGCTGAGCTGGCCCTCCAGACCACGAAGGCTGTCGGGAGAGAGGGGGGAGGTCAGATGTTAGTTTTGATTCTATTTGACACAACACTAAAGACGAGAAAATACAGAAAACATCCTGCGGAAGGGGATAAATAAAAGATCCCTGTGGAATTGTTAGTTTAAATCAAACCACATACTGACCAAACATGAATTGCTAGAGTTTCATCAATTGAATGTAATTATTAGGATTCCCTCCCTGCTGATTCTGTCTGGCTATTAGTCATGTTGCTGCTCAATCTCAGAACCCAGACGTTCAGAGCTAGGATCCAACCTAACGAGGATGAGAAGGAAGAGGATGATGAAGAGGAAGAAGTTGTCTTCCTACCTGTTGTGTGAGAGGTTAAGGAAGCGGATGTTGTGCTGCAGGCCTGGGGGCAGCTGTGAGAGGTGCCGTGAGGAGCAGTCCACAACACGGTGGCCCCGACTACAGGAGCACACAGAGGGGCAGATGGACAGGACCAGCCCCCCCAGCACCCCTGACAGGAGCAGCAAGAGGAGGCAGGCCAGCGGGGCGCGGGGGAGCATGGTGAGGGCTCTGAGAGAGGGAGAGCGATGACACAGTGAGAGGAGACACTGGACTGTACCCAAGGACATAGAATCTGCAACACTTCTTTGCTCCCACGATTTATATAGACTCACAAATGGAAGGGCACAGTTTTGATCCTGTATGGATCTTCGTCAAAACCATCACTCATTCACACACATCTGTAGAATAATAATAATACTGGCAGTTAAATTCGCTACCGACCCCATTAGCATTTAAATATTGATTAGCAATAGCTCACTTAAATCCATTCCTTGCTAGCTTTTCCAAGCACCAATTACCAGGAGCTTTAAGGGATACTTCGGGATTTTGGCAGTGAGGCCCTTTATCTACTTCCCTAGAGTCTAGGGCTTACCCCATTTTGTCGACTGGTCAATTGTTTGGTCAATAGGCTGTTGGTCGACCAAGATCTTTTTTGTCGAGCAGTGGCAAATATACTTAAAAAGAATATGTCACACGAGACAATTGTCTGATTCACGCCTGTCTCAGTGGACTAATCCATTGCGGAGGCACACCAGTATCACCAGTAGTACATTTACCGTTAATTCCCATAATTTCTCATCTACAATGTTTGTTTGGATACGGTAATTTCTGTTAATGCATTCAATATATTACTATTACAGTCTTAGCGTTGTTATTGTAGGAGTGGACATGTTGTTTGCAGAGCGCCCAACCTGGGCTACAAGTTTGGGTTTATTTCATTCCATTTACGAGTTGTCAATGTTTGGAGTGGTCCTGTCAATGTTGAGTAAGGACACGCACCTGATTATGCATAGAAGTAGGCCTAGGCTACCTGGCCTGCGCGCAAATGTAGGCTAAATGTGCCCATTTGGGGGATCTGATACTATTTCTGATTGTCATCACTGTGTAGCTTTTCAAAGTAATTTTTTCTTCACATCAAACAGTGAGTAAACGTAGTCTATTTTTACATCCATTGAGAATGACAATAGTTCCTCAATGTAGCCTATTTGAAAAATCTTACCACCTTTCGATAACCACTCAGCATGAAAGGGGAAAAAGATGTCATGCTCTGGTCCGGTGGAAACGTCATAAAATAGGCCTGCCTGATTACTTCTTATCCCTTGCGCAAATAGCACAGGCCGGACCAAGTTAATAGTTGATACAATGTTTCAAGTTCCTTGCAGACAGGCCCATGCATAGCCAATGTGATTGCAGGCTGCAATGTTTTTATTTGTTAGCTTTATGTAGGTTATTTTTACATATTGGCAATGGCAATAGAAGTTACTTTTAGATTTGTATCATTTTCATTTAGAAAGTATTTTGATTAACCATATGACATTGATTTTGAAATATGAAGACTTTATTATAAATTAAATGAAACTGTTCCACGTAAATGTGCATATGAAAATCATAACTGGCACGCAGATCAGTAGAAATGGTAAGATAACTTAGCACTTCAAATAGAAAAGGGTGTCGACCGCTGGTGTAGCCTGGCAACTTCAGGAGCATAACGCCAGAATCTGTGAAGGCCAGCAGCAGGAGGAGGAGGGTTGGGAACAGGTTTTTGTCTTCTGGTTAGGCTATATTGATCTCTGGTTCCATCTTTAGTAATTAGTGTCTTAATTTTAAATTGCAGTGCTTAAAGCATCAGACTAGCTCAGTAGCCTACATATACAGTGGGGAGAACAAGTATTTGATACACTGCCGATTTTGCAAGTTTTCCTACTTCAAAGCATGTAGAGGTCTGTAATTTTTATCATAGGTACACTTCAACTGTGAGAGACGGAATCTAAAACAAAAATCCAGAAAATCACATTGTATGATTTTTAAGTAATTAATTTGCATTTTATTGCATGACATAAGTATTTGATCTCCTACCAACCAGTAAGAATTCCGGCTCTCACAGACCTGTTAGTTTTTCTTTAAGAAGCCCTCCTGTTCTCTACTCATTACCTGTATTAACTGCACCTGTTTGAACTCATTACCTGTATAAAAGACACCTGTCCACACACTCAATCAAACAGACTCCATCCTCTCCACAATGGCCAAGACCAGAGAGCTGTGTCAGGGATAAAATTGTAGACCTGCACAAGGCTGGGATGGGCTACAGGACAATAGGCAAGCAGCTTGGTGAAAAGGCAACAACTGTTGGCGCAATTATTCGAAAATGGAAGAAGTTCAAGATGACGGTCAATCACCCTCGGTCTGGGGCTCCATGCAAGATCTCACCTTGTGGGGCATCAATGATCATGAGGAAGGTGAGGGATCAGCCCAGAACTACACGGCAGGACCTGGTCAATGACCTGAAGAGAGCTGGGACCACAGTCTCAAAGAAAACCATTAGTAACACACTACACCGTCATGGATTAAAATCCTGCAGCGCACGCAAGGTCCCCCTGCTCAAGCCAGCGCATGTCCAGGCCCGTCTGAAGTTTGCCAATGACCATCTGGATGATCCAGAGGAGGAATGGGAGAAGGTCATGTGGTCTGATGAGACAAAAATAGAGCTTTTTGGTCTAAACTCCACTCGCCTTGTTTGGAGGAAGAAGGATGAGTACAACCCCAAGAACACCATCCCAACATGAAGCATAGAGGTGGAAACATCATTCTTTGGGGATGCTTTTCTGCAAAGGGGACAGGACGACTGCACCGTATTGAGGGGAGGATGGATGGGGCCATGTATCGCGAGATCTTGGCCAACAACCTCCTTCCCTCAGTAAGAGCATTGAAGATGGGTCGTGGCTGGGTCTTCCAGCCAGGGCAACTAAGGAGTGGCTCCGTAAGAAGCATCTCAAGCTCCGTAAGAAGCATCTCAAGGTCCTGCAGTGGCCTAGCCAGTCTCCAGACCTGAACCCAATAGAAAATCTTTGGAGGGAGCTGAAAGTCCGTATTGACCAGCGACAGCCCCGAAACCTGAAGGATCTGGAGAAGGTCTGTATGGAGGAGTGGGCCAAAATCCCTGCTGCAGTGTGTGCAAACCTGGTCAAGACCTACAGGAAACGTATGATCTCTGTAATTGCAAACAAAGGTTTCTGTACCAAATATAAAGTTCTGCTTTTCTGATCTATCAAATACTTATGTCATGCAATAAAATGCAAATTAATTACTTAAAAATCATACAATGTGATTTTCTGGATTTTTTATTTGATTTTTTTAGATTGTCTCACAGTTGAAGTGTACCTATGATAAAAATTACAGACCTCTACATGCTTTGTAAGTAGGAAAATCGGCAGTGTATCAAATACTTGTTCTCTCCAGTGTAGTTGACTATATATGGAAAAAGTTTAAAAGTTATGACCAATTGATTGGTCTACAGAACAGACAACTCTCGGTTGACCAATACATTTTTTTGTCGGGGACAGCCTTACTAAAGTCAGATGAACAAGTGGATACCATTTTTATATCTCTGTGTCCAGTATGAAGGAAGTTAGAGGTAGTTTCGACAGCCAATGCTATCTAGCAATAGCGCAATGACAGGATGTCTATGGGTATCTGCTGGCATGCTAGTATTCCAACATAGATTGCTAGACAACGGCAGTTGGTGGATTATTAGCTACAGTATCACCCTTATTCATAACCTGCCTAGTTTCCCCCCAATGGAATCTCTGTAGAATTGATTTAAGACCTTGTCTGGAGCTGCTGCTGTTTTGCGATAGCCTTTGATGCATAGCAACAGCCTCCCAGATGGGAGAGAGGCAGTATTAAACACAAGGACACCGCAGTAAAACACTCCACACTGTGGTTCTGCTGCCCACAGAACAATCTGTCAGAACAGGTGCCATCATGACTGGGAACCAGCTGGGTGGATTGGGCCTTACTAAACCCAGAGCCCTCTCCTCTCTCATATCACTCTCCTCTCAATAGTTTCCATTCACGTCATTGACACCCATCTGACATTTGTAAGAGTATAACATTGTAACGCCAGGCTATATGCTAACTGTCCTGGTTGAGTGTCAGACTGATAGACCTAATAGCTTTGATGCAGTTTACAAGGGCCGGCAAGCTTGAAGCCTTGCCAGCGGGTAGGAGCTCGGAAATACTGCAGTGAGAGCCGGCTGAATTCATTTAGGGTGGCACACACACACTCTCTTTATCCCGTGCGCGCACACACACACACAAACGGTTGTGTTGTGTCCTGTCCTCTCTGCACCCTGTCTTCTGGCACAAATGACTGGGTATCTGGGGACAGCGTGTGTGTGTGTGTGTGTGTGTGTGTGTGTGTGTGTGTGGGGGGGGGGTATTAAGAAGAGCTTGCCAAACACATCAGTGTCGCAGGTTAATAGCGTTACATAGTAAGCTGAAAGCTCTAGAAACGTCTTCAGGTCATGGCATACTGCAAGTTAGTCTGAGGTTGCATTTAACCTGTATAACAACAGTTGCAATAGTAGCATACCAAATATCAAATACGTTTGAAATTACATCAGAATTACAGAAATATGTTGCTTTGACTATAGAAATATTGCCCAAAAAATTAATGTTAGAATATTGGAGGCCGTGTGTACATCTTTTACATTTACATTTACATTTTAGTTCTTCCATGTGTCCGTTAATTGTGTTAAGTTGTGTAACACAATTGTGTCAATCGGTGTATAAGTGCTTTCAAAACAACATCAAGTCATTTCCTCAAAGGAGCCGATCGGAATTTGCTCCATAAATAAGCTGCAATATCTAATGGAGATGGAGTAGGTCTCTAATGAGAAGCAATAGACTGACATCGACAAATCACCCCGCTGCAGTCCACTGAGCTTATGTGGTACAGAATCAGATACATCACTGCTCTGTGAAGCACTGTGTGTGTCCAGTCATGTGCGCATGTCTTAGCATGTACACCTGTCTCTCCTACCGTTTTCTCTCCATGCCATTAGTCACTCACCTGATCCTCTGTCGCTTCAGTCTGTCATCTCTAGTCGCTCTTTTCTTCCCCTCTCCTTCCCTCGGCCAGCCCTCTCACTCGCTCCCCCCTCCCCAGAGTGGAGAGAGTGATGGTCAAATATGGGGGGTGTTAGTTGTCATTATTGTTGCATCTTTTCTATTTTCTCTCTTTTGGGGTCTTTTTCCTTTCGTTCACTGTCTTCCTCACTCGCACTCTCGCTTTCTTTTTTCTCCCTTGCTTTTCTTCCTTCTCTGGTTAAGGTGGACCTCGCTTCCCTACTCCCTATCTCCCCCCTCTCTCTCTCTCACTCTCTCACTCTCTCTAGTGCTGTGTTTGCGCTGGCCAGTGGTGGGCAGTCTCTCTCGTTCTGTCTCAAAACCCTCTTCTGGGTTTTGGCGTCCTCCTGGCATGCCAGAGCAGGGTGCCCTCGATAGCGCCAGTCAGCCTCCACCGCTCCTCAGCAGGCTCCTGATGCAGCACTGTGCTCAAGGAAAGAGCAGTCTGAAAGGGAGAGAGAGGAGGAGGAGCAAGGGGGGAGGGAGAGAGGATTGCAGCACAGTGCTGGCCCTCTCTGCTGCTGATAAGGTGGGGGTGGGGGGGGGGGGTGGCTGTGGTGACTTCCCCTCGCTCTCTTTTTCATACACATAACAGTGCATTCGGAAAGTATTCAGACCTCTTGACCTTTTCCACATTTTGTTACGTTACAGCCTTATTCTAAAATGGATTGAATTGTTTCCCCCCCCCCTCATCAATCTACACACGATACCCTTTTAATGACAAAGCAAAAACAGGTTTTTATAAACCCCCCCCCCCCCCCCCCAAAAAAAAAAAAAAACAACAACACGGAAATATTACATTTACATAAGGATTCAGACCCTTTACTCAGTACTTTGTTGAAGCACCTTTGGCGGCGATTACAGCCTTGAGTCTTTTTGGGAATGACGCTACAAGCTTGGCACACCTGTATTTGGGGAGTTTCTCCCATTCTTCTCTGCAGATCCTCTCAAGCTCTGTCAGGGTGGATGGGGAGTGTTGCTGCATAGCTATTTTCAGGTCTCTCCAGAGATGTTCGATTGGGTTCAAGTCCGGGCTCTGGCTGGGCCACTCAAGGACATTCAGAGACTTGTCCCGAAACCACTCCTGCGTTGTCTTGGCTGTGTGCTTAGAGTCGTTGTCCTGTTGGAAGGTAAACCTTCGCCCAGTCTGAGGTCCTGAGCGCTCTGGAGCAGGTTTTCATCAAGGATCTCTCTGTACTTTGCTCCGTTCATCTTTTCCTCGATCCTGACTAGTCTCCCAGTCTCTGCCGCTGAAAAACATCCCCACAGCATGATGCTGCCACCCCCATGCTTCACCGTAGGGATGGTGCCAGGTTTTCCTCCAGACGTGACGCTTGGCATTCAGGCCAAATGAGTTAAATCTTGGTTTCATCAGACCAGAGAATCTTGTTTCTTATGGTCTGAGAGTCCTTTAGGTGCCTTTGGCAAATTCCAAGCGGGCTGTCATGTGCCTTTTACTGAGGAGTGGCTTCCGTCTGGCCACTCTACCATAAAGGCCTGATTGGTGGAGTGCTGCAGAGATGGTTGTCCTTCTGGAAGGTTCTCCCATCTCCACAGAAAAACTCTGGAGATCTGTCAGTCACCTCCCTGGCCAAGGCCATTCTTCCCTGATTGCTCAATTTTGGCCAGCTCTAGGAAGAGTCTTGGTGGTTCCAAACTTCTTCTATTTAAGAATGATGGAGGCCACTGTGTTCTTGGGGACCTTCAATGCTGCAGAAATGTTTTTTGTACCCTTCCCCAGATCTGTGCCTTAACACAATCCTGTCTCGGAGCTCTACGAACAATTCCTTTGACCTCATAGCTTGGTTTTTGCTGTGACATGCACTGTCAACTGTGGGACCTTATATAGACAGGTGTGTGCCTTTCCAAATCATGTCCAATCAATTTAATCTATCACAAGTGGAGTCCAATCAAGTTGTAGAAACATCTCAAGGATGATCAATGGAAACAGGATGCACCTGAGCTCAATTTCGAGTCTCATTTTAAAGGGTCTGAATACTTACGTAAATAAGGTATTTCTGTTTTTCTATTTTAATACATTTGCTAAACAATTCTAAAAACCTGTTTTCGCTTTGTCATTATGGGGTATTGTGTGGAGATTGATGAGGGAAAAACTAATTTAATCAATTTTAGAATAAGGCTGTAACGTAACAAAATGTGGAAAAAGTCAAGGGATCTGAATACTTTCCGAATGCGCTGTACTTAAACAAACATGCTAACTCATTCTAACGTGGGCTGTTCACTGAACGTTAGCGCCTCTCGTGTTCCACTTTCACATGTCCTCGTAGTTATGTTCCGTTTCCCCTTCCCTCCCATTACACACACACACACACACACACACACACAGTTCCCCTGAAATCCCTGTAGTACTGTACTGATACAACAGGCCTGCGGCTGCTGCTATCTGGCAGGGTGACATTGTTCTGGCTGAATGCGTATGGATGCATAACACACACACTGTCCCCTGACAGCAGAGCTACAGCGCATTCAGAAAGTATTCAGACTCCTTGACTTTCTCCACATTTTGTTACGTTACATCTTATTCTAAAATGGATTAAATTGTATTTTTTCCTCATCAATCTACACACAATACCCCATAATAACAAAGCAAAAAAACGTTTTTAGAAATGTTTGCACATTTATATAAAAAAGACCCTTTACTCAGTACTTTGTTGAAGCACCTTTGGCAGCGATTACAGCCTTGAGTCTTCTTGGTATGTCGCTACAAGCTTGGCTCATCTGTATTTGGGGAGTTTCTCACTTCTCTGCAGATTCTCTCAAGCTCTGTCAGGTTGGATGGGGAGCGTCGCTGAACGGCTATATTCAGGTTTCTCCAGAGACTCTTCGATCGGGTTCAAGTCCGGGCTCTGGCTGGGCCACTCAAGGACATTCAGAGACTTGTCCCGAAGCAACTCCTGCATTGTCTTGGCTGTGTGCTTAGGGTCGTTGTCCTATTTTAGAATAAGGTTGTTACATAACAAAAAGTGAAAGGGTCTGAATACTTTCAGAATGCACTGTATCTCACATCACATGTGGCACCTGCAACGGCTGGCTGCCTCCACCACCCTCAGCAGAAAATTAGCACTGTTTTGGTATTAACGGTACTGTTTTTGTCTCAACGTCCTCCATTTCGGCTGCCTGCAAGGAGGCACCCTGGCAGTCTGTAATAAGAACAGCTTGTTTTTGGGAATGTGCTGAGCCATGAATAGGTGTTCTGTGACTAGTGGCTCTGTTTTACAGCCAATGTTGCTGCGGCCATATTAATAAAATCCTAGTTTTTATTGGGTCTGTATTGCTGTCATTCGATTACTTGAGATTTTGAGTGAGGTGATGGGCCGGGTGCCACTGGAGATTTAGATTGTAATTATGTTTTTAAAACAGCACCTCGTGTATTAACTTATGTGCCCACATGCCTATACCCTGTTTGGTTCTGGAGGACCTCTCGCTCTCTCTCGCCCTCTCTCTCTCTCTCTCAAAAGGAGTCATTCCTTCATAGTTTGGCAGATTGTGTCTGGCCAATGAAACAGTCCTCTCTGTCGCAGGTTTGGGGCTTCTCTCATGGAAATACACACACTAAGCATAACATCATGCTTATTGTTCAAGGCATTCCAAACTTAGCATCACAGAACTGCTCTGTTCTGCAACTAGCCGTAAGCAAGCAGTGAATTTTTCATTCTGCACTTCTGCCCTGCTACTGCTGACAACATCATTCAGCGACTAGCCAGCATGAATTGCTGGCAGCAGTCACCATTCACAATTCTCCAGAAAAAAATTCAGCAAATGAAACCCAGTAAGAAAGACCCTCCATAGTGCAGTGCTTGGTGCTAGCATGGCAACACCAGACCACGCAAAGTGTGAAACTCTGATGTGTTAGTTCCGGGTGTTCAACCAGTAAGCTGTGAGAGTCTGTGATGCCAAACTAATGTGTGCTATTCACCTCAGATCATTAGATGGGATCACTGAAAATGACTGTAATATCTGATTGCTATAATTCTGTCATGTTGAAAGCTTTGTTAACAAGTTGAAGGATCAAGATAATTTCATACACAAACCACAAGTGTTTTGTACGAGGGAAAAGGTGTTTTCACAAAAGGTTTCCCACCTTGCAACCTACTTGAGTGTGAAAACCAACTGTAGTCACAGCACATGCAATTGTTTTAGAGTGATAAGGACAGAGAAAAGTAATATTTATAGTCATATTAAAAGTCATACTTTTACAATAGATTGTCAAGATAGTAGAAAGAATAGACCTTTGTTGAGACGAACAAGGCATGGATTCTGTTTGTGTTGCAAACTGAACAGACCGATGGTGGGGAAGGTTCACCCCCGACAGGACTGATATGACAGACTGAGTTGGTGGTTTGAAATCTACTTCAGACCTGGAACTGCAGATGTGAAAAGAGTAAGAGTGAAACAGGACTGAAAATAGTCTCAAGTTTAGCTACTTCTCATGCTGTTTCCTCTCTCTCTTCCTCTTCCTCTCTCACTTTTCTTGCTTATCTGCCGCAGTATCAGCACAGGGATTTCTGCAATCATTCTTCAATAGAAACATTTCCCCTTTTAGTACTCAGCTGGAGAATGTGTCTGGAAGAAGCTGTGAATTCGAGTAGTAGGAGGGTGGTGAAAGGGAAGGGAAGGCGGACAGGGTTTTGGATTTATGATAGCTGTATCTTTCAGGCGACGCTCTTTATTGGGAGGGATAAAGCAGGTGCCGTGGCTGGCATCTGGGCGGCAGGGGCGGGTGGAGTGGGGGACAGTGGCTTGTGGTGTAGGCGGATGATGCTTTCTCCTCAATCACCACCCAGCAGAATTAATTATAGCCTGGCGTTAACCAATGAGCCTGTAGTCTGCCTAACTGTATGAGGCTAATGTAGTACACAAATTCACACCAGTATTTACCATCAGTGGATTTATTGCATAAATACATGATTGATGAACAATGAGCATTTCACAACTCTCATTTGTTGACAGTTAAGAATGTGTAGATGGAAATGATTGTGTGTGGGTGTGGTTGTTGCTTTCCATCTTATTGTTTTGTGGTTTCTGTTCAGATGAGGGATTGAGGCACTATTTGTGGGTCTGACATTTCCCTCTTTCTGTGTCTGTGGCCTGTCCACTCGCTCTACTGTTAGTGTACTGCTGCACAGCTCTGAAATACACTGGGAGCGACTGCAACACTGCAGTAACTCACTCACTAACGGTGTCGGGACAGCCCCACTGAGAGACTAACTCCTTGCTCACTCTTTCTCTCATTTTCACATTCATGCCATCCCTTTCTATCTATCGTTCCTCAGTTTAATTATGTAATTCACCCTCTCGTTTCATTTCTTTTTTAGAACTTCCTCTCTCACCATTTTGCCCATTGAATGTTTCAGCCTGGGTAGATTTTTGCAGTGACTGGACTTATGCTCTAAGAATGTTCACTTGCCACACGCAGGCAGGCAGGCAGGCTATAGGCCTAGTTGAAAATCCATTTCATGGAATGTTTAATCAGATAAGAGGTATAGATAGAGGAAGCGAAACGCTTATAAGCATCAGTTAGAGATACGTTTTTTGGTGTGAGTGGTTTCCTTTGTTGGGTGGAGGGGGAGGAGAGTGGGTTTCCTGTGTGTTGCTATCTGTCACTGCTTGGAGACGGGTAAAGGTAGTCTGTGCTCTCTGGTGGAGGGGGGCTGGCCTGGTCTGAGGGGGGACGCAGGTAAACATCCAACAGTGGTGGAGGAACAGCTTCTGGGATATCTGGTGGCATACGAGAGGGAGAGGAAGAGCAATTGGGAGCATTGTCTGGCCCCAGATCAACAACCTTGCAAGGAGGCTGATGGTCATGGGTGGGTGCTGTGGCAGTGGTCTCTGAAGACGTCGGTGGAGGAGGAGATGAGGAGTTGTCCGGAAGTTGCACCTCTTCAGTCTGGGTCTTTTCTTTGTTCACCGCAGCAGTCCCATTGCTCGGGTTAACATCATCTGAAACCGTCTCTCTTCCGAATGTACTTCCTGCCGGAATCTCACCCATCAGGAATTCCTTGTCAGTTTCCTGGAGCAGAGACAACCTCATGGAGAGCCGCTGAGACAGGAAGCCAGAGGAGGAGATCCGATTGGAGCCCCTCAGGTGGACGTCACTGCTATCATCATTACCCAGTTCAGACTGGACTCCACCGTCCAGTAACGGAGAGGGGCCGGCCCAGGTTGTATTCTGCAGCTGCATCCTCTGCTGTATGCGCTTCCTCACGAAGATGACCCCGAAACCTACCAGCATCAGAACCAGCGTCCCACCAATCAGCACAGCCACCACTGTGCCATGGTTCCCCGTCTTTTTGCTCTCATCTTTGTTTGCAGTTTTTGTCAGAGGAGGCATTGGTTTCTTTTTTGCCGTGGTGGTGGCAGCGGCGACTTGTTTTTCAGTGAGGACAATTGGTGTGGATTGGCCCGTGGTGCTAGTAACGGCAATACTAGCAGTAACAGAGGCTGCAGTGGTGGCAAGGGTCTTGGCAGGCTGGGTCGACGTCAATGGAGTTGAGACGTGGGTTGAAGATTTGGTCATGGCTGTAGAGGGAGGTAGGGTAGTGGGTGAAGTGGCAACACTAGGCAGCTCAGATGGGCCTGTTGGACCTCTTTCAGTGGGGTGTGAAGGGGTTGATCTCCTGCTTGTGACTGGGGCCTGGGAGGGGGTGCTGGGCGGTTGAGCCTCCCCACCTGTGTTCAAAGTAAATTCCGCTCTAGTCGGTGTCACTCCAAATCCAACACCAGTTGGCGTGGGTCGGTACCTCTCTGTGGAGTCGTTGGACTGCGACGTCGGAAGATTGGATGAAGTAGGCTCTGTTGGTTGATTTGGTGTCGGTGAGGTTGTTTGAGTGGACAACACAGAAGGTCTAGGTGATGCTGTTGAACTTACTTCATCCTTGCTGGAGGGTGTAACTCGCCTTAACAGAGGTTGATTCCACATAGTGGGTGAAGTTTCCTCGGCTCCATCTGCTGTGATCTTCACCGTGGAGTTGTTTTTATATCTGGTTGTTTGGCGGTCCTGAGGTGACTGGGAGTTCCTCTTTGTGCTCGTACTCAAAGGCTGGATTGAAGGCCGATCCGAGCTGAGAATGTATCTGGTCGACACCTGTTCTGAAGTCTGTGGTTCACTCTTCACTGTGAGCTTCAACTCAACTGAAGGTGCTACGGTGCTATGGTGTCCTTCATCCAGTGCATTGTTGAGGTGCTCTTGTGCCATTTCTAAGGGTGAAACTTTATTGTCTGAAGTTGCATTAACCTCACTGCTCCTGAAGTTGGTAGAGTGGTGGTTAGGCTGAAGTGTCACTGTGCCATTCAGTCCCAGTGGCAGCATCCACAGAAATGACACAATAACAATACTCTTTCCCTCCATTGCTGTTTCCTGTTATCCTCTGAATGCTGCTGTGTCCTGATGACTGACTGATGAAAAGAATAAAAGCAACTGTGTCATTACAGTATCAATAACACGCTGTATCATGAGGAAACAAGCAACATTTCAGCATAAAGGGCTACGTGGTGAAATGTGATCGCCACCTTTGTCATTTCCTTCCTCAAACTACAATTCAAAGTAGGCTTAGAAGATGAAGGGTAAATGTGATCTATTAATACGATAGATCAGAATGTTTTCTGGGGAATCTAACAATATTTTCTGGTTTTGTCCCATTTCTTTCTAAGAATTAAGGCCATTAAATGTTTCACATTAGGATGTTTTTGTCCAATCAGTATTGATTAGCTTACATTAGTGATAGTGTTTGTATAATGTGCATTTTATCTCCTGCTTACCAGTAAAACTCCCACCTCCCACAAACAACTCTTTTGAAAGTATGTATTTCAACGGTTTTTGTTCTAAACTGCTTGCACATTCTCTGGCATATCATACATGTCCTCATTAGAGCCACAGATCCCGCAATAACCCATTTATATTTACATTACCCACCCTAAAGTCTGTTGTACTCACCAGAGCCTACACAGGATTTAACCCTAGAATCCTGGCTTTCCTTAACCTTCGACAAGTTCACAAAAAGCAGAATTCTTGTATGAGTTGGTGTGTCTCAGTCACGATAGTTTGGTGTACATGAAGCCCAGCAAGCAGCCGCTGTAGAGGGCTGCGATGACCCAGCCTGGTAGAATACAGAACCTTCTCTTGCCTCACTTGACAGGAAGTGAGAGCTGTGAAACTGAAGTCTGATGACAAATTGCACCCTGTTTTTTTAACAGAGCAAAGTCCACAGTGATGGAAGAAGAGTGGTTTGTGATTTAAACACCAGATGTTTCAATGCAAAGATGTACACATTTAATTTTAATATGCACTCTGAGATAGTTTAGTTTTTGTCATATAGTTTGTTACAGACGGTACTGAATGTTGTATTCTGGGAAGGTTCTGTTGAATAAATAGCTGCCTATCACTCCTGCGGAGGTGGTGTGAAAGTAGTTGGCTACCTTGCTGCTGAAGCATGTTACATGGGAAGCGTTTCAGTTGTCGCTACCACTCATTCAGTTCAATTATACAGTCATGTGTTTGTTTGGTGTATTTGTGCTTTTGGTTTAAAACTCTCAATAGAAATAAGATGCACAGTAAAAAGTAAAACACAGCATGGTTTATTTTGAGTTGAATTGTTGAACATGTCTTTCTTTGCTCTCCTTTCTTTCACACGTCAACAATATCAAGCCTACATTTCTCTTATCAGGTACAGTACCAGTCAAAAGTTTGGACACACCTACTCATTCCAGGGTTTTTCTTTATTTTTACTATTTTCTACATTGTAGAATAATAGTGAAGACATCAAAACTATGAATTAACACATGGAATCATGTAGTAACCAAAAAAGTGTTAAGCAAATCAAAATATATTTTATATTTGAGTTTCTTCAAATAGCCACCCTTTGCCTTGATGACAGCTTTGCACACTCTTGGCATTCTGTCAACCAGCTTCACCTGGAATGCTTTTCCAACAGTCTTGAAGGCTGCTTTTCCTTCTCTCTGCGGTCCGACTCATCCCAAACCATCTCAATTGGGTTGAGGTCGGGGGATTGTGGAGGCCAGGTCATCTGATGCAGCACTCCATCACTCTCCTTCTTGGTACAATAGCCCTTACACAGCCTGCAGGTGTGTTGGGTCATTGCCCTGTTGAAAAACAAACCAGATGGGATGGCTTATCGCTGCAGAATGCTGTGGTAGCCATGCTGGTTAAGTGTGCCTTGAATTCTAAATAAATCAGTGTCACCAGCAAAGCACCCCCACACCATAACACCTCCTCCTCCATGCTTTACGGTGGGAACTACACATGCGGAGATCATCCGTTCACCCACATCGCGTCTCACAAAGACACGGCTGTTGGAACCAAAAATCTCCAATTTGGACTCCAGACCAAAGGACACATTTCCACCGGTCTAATGTCCATTGCTCGTGTTTCTTGGCCCGAGCAGGTCTCTTATTATTGGTGTCCTTTAGTAGTGGTTTCTTTGCAGCAATTCGACCACGAAGGCCTGATTCACACAGTCACATCTGAACAGTTGATGTTGAGATGTGTCTGTTACTTGAACTCTGTGAAGCATTTATTTGGGCTACAATTTCTGAGGCTAGTAACTCTAATGAACTTATCCTCTGCAACAGAGGTAACTCTGGGTCTTCCATTCCTGTGGCATGAGAGCCAGTTTCATCATAGTGCTTGATGGTTCTTGCGACTCTACTTGAAGAAACTTTCAATGTTATTGAAATATTCTGTATTGACTGACCTTCATGTCTTAAACTAATGATGGACTGTCATTTCTCTTTGCTTATTTGAGCTGTTCTTGACATAATGTGGACTTGGTCTTTTACCAAATAGGGCAATCTTCTGTATACCCCCCCCCTACAACTGATTGGCTCAAACGCATTAAGAAGGAAAGACGTGAATGTGCCTCAGGGCCAAAATTGAACAGCAGGGAGTCATATATTTGTATTTGTAATAATTATGGATCCCTTTAGCTACTCTTCGTGGGGTCCAGCAAAATTAAAGCAGTTTATACAATTTTAAAAACATTACAGTACATTCACAGATTTCACAAAACACTTTGTTCCCTCAGGCCCCTACTCCACCACTACCACATATCTACAGTACAATATCCATGTGTATAGTACGTATGTTATTGTGTGTGTGTTTGTATGCATGTGTCTGTGCCTATGTTTGTGTTGCTTCACAGTCCCCGCTGTTCCATAAGGTGTATGAATGAGGGAGCTATATAATGTTTAGTATGAAGTCACCCATGTGTCTTCACAAGAAATCTCCCATCACTTGCTTTACTTTTTCTGTTACCCTCTGCTTTACAGCAGAAAGAGACTGCTATGGGACGTGGCATCAGCAGCACAATCTTGTGTAGAGGACTGAGGGTGTTCTAAATACTGTATATATATATATATATATATATATATATATATATGTGTGTATGTGTATCTATGTATGTATGTATGTATGTATGTATGACCTTCTTTTTTTTTCACTTTGTTTGTGGTTTGTGGTGTGTTCACTTAGATCAGTGATGGCTGCTAACTTCGCTCTTATCTTAAATAGTTCACTTCTGTGTTGGATCAGCATTCTCGTCGCATCTCCTGTTAGTACCTTTTATGTAGGGAAGCTAATGATCCATCATGTATGACATTCCTGGGAGTGTGTAAACTTGTATTTTATTACCATAGCATTTTTGTATGTCCTCTATAGTTATGTACTTAAAAATAAATGTACCAATTCGGCCACTTGGAGGCCACTTGGGTACATTTGGGCAAACTCGTGAGGGACACCCCCTCATTCTTGAAGGGATCAGTCTGAAACTTTGCACATCAACTGTTGCCCTCTTGTAGACAACATCTAAACCTCCAGCTTCCTATCTGAATTTATGGCTTTTCTTTTTCATGTCAAAGATAATGCAACAAAAATAAAAATAGAAATTGTATGTTTATTTTTATTTTGATCTTTTACCAGATCTATTGTGTTATGTTCTCCTACATTAATTTCACATCTCCACAAGTGTTTCCTTTCAAATAGTATCAAGAATATGAATATCCTTGCTTCAGGTCCTGAGCTACAGGCAGTTAGATTTGGGTTTGTCATTTCAGGCGGAAATTGAAAAGAAGGGTCTGATCCTTAAGTGGTTAAGCACCATTATTGCACACAGAGTGAGTCCATACAATTTATAATGTGACTTGTTAAGCAAATGTTTACTCCTGAACATATTTAGGCTTGCCATAACAAATGGGTTGAATACTTATTGACTCAAGACATTTCAGATTTTCATTTGTAATTAATTTGTAACAATTAAAAATGTAACAAACATATTTCCACTTTGACATAATGGGGTATTGTTTGTAGGCCAATGACAAAATAGCTCAATATATTCGATTCTAAATTCAGGCTGTAACACAACAAAATGTGGAAAAGGTGCAACTCAATATTAGGAAGGTGTTCTTAATGTGTTGTAATGTGTCAAAATAAAGCATCTTCAGTCAACCTAATCGAGGGCACAGATTTTTATTAATATTTTAATTAAACAATTGTTTAGTTTTTTAACTGCCCTAGGGGCTATGTTCTTGATAGAAATCAAAATATGACATCCACTTCTGTAATTGACTATATTAATAGAACTTATTAAACTAGTGCCAAGATATTTGTTTTTACATCAATGGAATAATTTCACTTATCGTTGTACTCATGCAACCCCCTGTATTTATTGCAGTCAGTGCTTGACTTGGGCAGGAGCTCACTGGAGCTGAGTACCGGCACTTTAAAAGGTTCTACTGCTTGAGCTCCTGTTCCTCTTATAGAATATTAGATCAAAAGTATTGTGGAGCTCCTGCACCTAAATATAAACAGTACCGGCACCAAAAATGAGTACCGGCACCTATTTCAGTCAAAGTCAAGCACTGATTGCAGTCCACCGTTTTTCTGAAGCTGTTGTCTAAACACCATTGTGTTCTTACTCCATCGATTCGAAACAAGAATGCCATTCATTCACACATGATTACAAAACAGCCATTTATTTGGGTTGGGGCATTTAAACAGAAATTGTATTTTTACAGAAAAGACAAAAGAAGTTAGACTTAGAGAGGAGTGGAAACAAAAGAGTTAGGAGTTCTGTGACTGCTCGACTGACACGTGAAGGTTGAGGAGGAGACTTATTAATGTAGCAAGGAGGCTTGCCAGACCCAATGCCATCTCTGTGCCCAGCCAAGGATGGCAACAAGATATTCAAAGTCTACCCTTGGTATAGTATTTGTGCATGGAATCACTTCAGATGAATAAGAAAAAAACATCAAACAAGACATAGACGTACAAGACCAACGTTCTACAGGAACAGGACCGGATCGTTCAGGTAGACGACAGTTAGACAGGACACCATATAATAACCATTTTGATATTAAATGTCTTGGGGAGAAGTGACCACATTCAATTATAAATGGGAGAACATTTTTGAGTGCTTGTTTGCTGAGAAGGAATCTTTTAGCCAACAGTGTTAATAGAGACGGGGCTTCCATTCTATTACATATTGTAGTTGTGAGTGTACAACCAGTCCAAAACCAGATATCTCAATTTGACGCATGTCTTATGTTCGACAAAATATACTTTCTACATATGCTCAATATCTTTTCTTACACTTAGTTAATCAAATATTCTCAGTACTACTACTGCCATTATGTGATGTTGGCATAGTGTACTGTTAATATGATTGAATGTGGCGGCACGTAGCCTAGCGATTAAGAGCGTTGGGCCAGTAACCGAAAGGTCACTGGTTCTAATCCCAGAGCCGACTGTGAAAAATCTGGCCATGTGCCCTTGAGAAAGGTACTTTAACCTAATTGCTCCTGTAAGTCGCTCTGGATAAGAGCGTCTGCTAAATGACTAAAATGTAAATGATCCACCCATACAAAGATCCTGAACCTTTGCAGTAAGGGTAAATAACTTGGGCAGTTGGCAGTAGTGTGCTGTTCGTAGCACATTATTTCAAATTAATGTCTTGAATGCATTCAGTTGTACAACTGACTAGGTATTCCCCTTTCCCTTCCCGATAGCCTATCACCAATTCAAAAGTTCTCCATAGAAATCAAAATGACATCAGATTAATGCAGTTTACAAAGCAAATATGTAAAAGCTCCTAAAATTGATTACATATAGCTGGAGTACTTAGAAAAAATAACAAATATTCTTGGTCTTGACTTGTTGAGGCACAAGACTGGAGCTGATCTAGCATGTTGATATCTGTGGCTGAGTGAAGTTCAGCTCCAAGCCAGTCATGGCACTCTGAGGCTAGAGGGAGTGCATGCAATGCTCTCCTCACACCACTAGGGGCATGTTCTCTAGATCCTGGGGGACTTCCAGACACGAATCCCTGGAGCTGGAACACTGCATCTGCGTGGCCATTTCTCCAGTTGTTCCCAAATCCCCCGTTTGGCTCCTTACCCCTTCTCTTTCCTGCTCCTCCCTTTCATCCCACTCTTCTTCCCCCTGCTCTTCATCCTCCTCTCCATCCACCTGCACCTCCTCCAACATGACGCTGGTATCGCAGGGCCCCACTATACCCCCCTCGGTGTGCGCCGTGTCGCAGTAGCCTGTGCCACTCACCACGTACATGTTACTGCGGGCGGGGTGAGGGGCACGGGCCTGGCGCCTAAGACGGCACACCTGGCAGGCCAGGACCACAGTAGAGACCAGCAGACACAGGACCAGGACCCCGGCGCAGGCCACTACTATGAGGCCCATCTGGCGCTCAATGAGGCAGCCCGGGGTGGCCTCCGTGGGGGAGCTGGAGGTGTCTGGGGAGGGGTAATGGAGGGTTGTGCCGTTTTCCTCTGGGGTAGTGGAGTTTAGGTCAGGTGGATCTATGGCCACAGTGGTCTGAGGCTGAGTACTGCTGGTGTGTGAAGCTTGTCCAATCAGAAGGAAGAAGAGAAGATGGAGAGAGATTCTGGAGCCTTCCATGTTTCAGGTTCTCTGAAATGGTACTAGAGGAAGAGAATAGCTTTTATTGTTCATGCCAGCAAACAGTCTCTGTATTGTGACTTTTTGTTAATGTTTGAATATACACTATCAGTCAAAAGTTTGGACACACCTACTCATTCAAGGGTTTTTCTTAAAAAAAAAAAAAATGTACATTGTAGAATATTAGTGAAGACATCAAAACTGTGAAATAACACATATGGAATCCTGTAGTAACCAAATAAGTGTTAAACAAATCGAAATATATTTTATATTTGAGATTCTTCAAATAGCCACCCTTTGCCTTGATGACAGCTTTGCACACTCTTGTCATTCTCTCAACCAGCTTCATGAGGTAGTCACCTGGAATGCATTTCAATTAACAGGTGTGCCTTCTTAAAAAGTTAATTTGTGGAATTTCTTTCCTTAATGCGTTTGAGCCAATCAGTTGTGTTGTGACAAGGTAGGGGTGGTATACAGAAGATATTTGTTAAAAAACCAAGTCCATATTATGGCAAAAACGACAGTCCATCATTACTTTAAGACATGAAGGTCAGTCAATACGGAACATGTCAAGACCTTTTGAAAGTTTCTTCAAGTGCAGTCGCAAAAGCCAACAATTGCTATGATGAAACTGGCTCTCATGAGGACCGCCACAGGAATGGAAGACCCAGAGTTACCTCTGCTGCAGAGGATAAGTTCATCAACTGTTCAGAGGGGACTGTGTGAATCAGGCCTTCATGGTCGTATTGCTGCAAAGAAACCACTACTAAAGGACACCAATAAGAAGAAGAGACTTGCTTGGGCCAAGAAACACGAGCAATGGACATTAGACCGGTGGAAATGTGTCCTTTGGTCTGGAATCCAAATTTGAGATTTTTGGTTCCAACCGCCGTGTCTTTGTGAGACGCGGTGTGGGTGAACGGATGATCTCTGCATGTGTATTTCCCACTGTAAAGCATGGAGGAGGAGGTGTTATGGTGTGGGGGTGCTTATCTGGTGACACTGTCTGTGATTTATTTAGAATTCAAGGCACACTTAACCAGCATGGCAACCACAGCATTCTGCAGCGATACGCCATCCCATCTGGTTTGGGCTTAGTGGGGCTATCATTTGTTTTTCAACAGGACAATGACCCAACACACCTGCAGGCTGTGTAAGGGCTATTGTACCAAGAAGGAGAGTGATGGAGTGCTGCATCAGATGACCTGGCCTCCACAATCCCCCGACCTCAACCCAATTGAGATGGTTTGGGATGAGTCGGACGGCAGAGTGAAGGAAAAGCAGCCAACAAGTGCTCAGCATATGTGGGAACTCCTTCAAGACTGTTTGAAAAGCATTCCAGGTGAAGCTGGTTGAGAGAATGCCAAGAGTGTGCAAAGCTGTCATCAAGGCAAAGGGTGGCTATTTGAAGAATCTCAAATATAAAATATATTTTGATTTGTTTAACACTTTTGGTTACTACATGATTCCATATGTTTTATTTCATAGTTTTGATGTCTTCACTATTATTCTACAATGTAAACATTAAGAAAAACCCTTGAATGAGTAGGTGTCCAAACTTTCGACTGGTACTGTAGTTATAGAAATTGTGTGAGTTACATATGCTAGGGGTCTGTGGAGTTATTGCAGGGTGTTTTGTAAAGTTATTTATTTGTGGACACCCCCCCTCCCAATGTTTTTATGAATATCCCTACCAACAACATTTTGAATGACATACCTACAGTAGATAATAGGAGAATATATTATTTCTAATGATGACAACTTTATTTCTCAACTCATAATATTGAGAAAATTACACTCCTTGGAGCTTATTACACTGTCTGACATAGGCTTTGAAAAAGTACCGGTCACGGCAAGTGCTGCTGGTAAGCTTTCTTGTCTTCAACATTTTTGCCAACACATGGCTAACCTTTTGTTTAACCAGATAAACAGTTGCTATGTTAGTTTACACTTCCTCTTCCAATGTGAGGTGGTTACAATAATGGAAAACTACAGTGCGGGAATAAAGTATTTGATCTCCTGCTGATTTTGTACGTTTGCCCACTGACAAAGACATGATCAGTCTATAATTTTAATGGTAGGTTTATTTGAACAGTGAGAGACAGAATAACAACAACAAAGTTTAGAAAAACGCATGTCAAAAATGTTATAAATTGATTTGCATTTTAATGAGAGAAATAAGTATTTAATAACAAGTTAGTTCTATGCAGTACCTTACAGGAACGTATTACGTACAATAAATGTCAGAATAAGGTAGACGTCTTTGTAAAAATGTGTCCAAATCTTCGTTTTCATTGCAATGTCCACTTAAAATAAACAGAATCTTACCACAGAAACACATATTATTTGGCCATTACTTTTTTTGTACAATTTATGTTGGAGATTGTGTGGGCATCACTTACCTGGGCAAGGGCACAGCCGTAGAGTGTGTGTGTGTGTGTGGCAAGGTGAACTGGACTAGGAATATGTCCGTATAAGGAACGGGCGCGGCGTGTGTATGTCTGAGTCAGAGGAGGCACCTGCTGCGACCCAAGCCTCTTGAAATGCACACACCCCCCTCTGAGTCTTTTTCTGACTTGGTTATTTCTGGGCTCCTTGAGTCTCTACTGCTGTAGCACACCGATGTCTGTCACATACTGCAAGAGAAAAGAGACAGAAGGGTGTATGTAAATTAGTATAGGCCTACAATTCAGTCGAAGACTGCCAGCTACCAGTAAATGATACTAATAATACTGCTAGCGATGAACTATTTCCAGGCCTGAGAAGCTGAATTATTTTTTAATTTTTTAATTTAACTGTTATTTTGACAGGGTCATGCTGAGACCAAGGTCTCTATTTCAGCCCTGTAACAAAAAAGAAATGGTGTACAGTACTACAATAAAGAGCATTCACAACAAGTTCATGCACAAATGAAGTGCTTTCAGAATGGGATGAATTTCTGTTTTTATCTGTATGAATCCACCTTGAGACTGTTCTATCTAAACCAGAGACCAGAAAATACCAGTGTTTTTGGATTTATTTAACCGGTAAAGTTATTAATTTTTAGAGGTAGACCTGGCTGGCTGAGAAGTGCACCTTCTACCTACTCCTCTTCCATCAGACCTATCCTCAAGTTCTCCTTCCCTTCTCTTTCCGCAGGTTTAAGACAGGCCAGATCAACGGAGACCTTCTAATCTACCATGTGCTGCTGACCCTGAAGCCTTACTACGCCAAGCCCTACGAGATCGTAGTGGACCTGACCCACGTGGGGCCCAGCAACCGCTTCAAGACAGACTTCTTGTCCAAGTGGTTTGTGGTGTTCCCGGGCTTCGCCTACGAGAACGTGGTGGCGGTCTACGTGTACAACTGCAACACGTGGGTGAGGGAGTACACCAAGTACCACGAGAGGTTGCTGACAGGCCTGAAGGGCAGCAAGCGGGTGCAGTTCATCGACTCGCCGGCGCGGTTGGCGGAGCACGTAGAGGCAGAGCAGCAGAAGCTCCCGGCGGCCACGCTAGCCCTGGAGGAGGACCTCAAGGTGTTCCACAACGCCCTCAAAGTGGCCCACAAGGACACCAAGGTCTCCATCAAGGTCAGTAGCACACTGGTCCGTGTGTAACCCTAGCGTTAACCCTAACTTTCAAACAGCCTACAAGGAAAACTGGGTATGGAGAACAAGGAAGTGTGGAGGGCAGGCGGGAACAGCGAGAATTGTTTACTCAAAGGTCCAATGCAGCTGTTTTTTTCTCTCAATATCAAATAATTTCTGGGTAACAATTAAGTACCTTACTGTGATTGTTTTAAATTAAAATGGTCAAAAAGAGAGAGAAGATATGCTTCTTAGCAAAGGGCAGGTTCTCAAGCAATAATTTTGATAGGACTGTCTGGGAGTGGTCTGAGTGGGGTGGAGAAAACTGAAAATTAGCTGTTGTTGGCAGAGAGGTTTGGAACTATCTTTCTTATTGGTCTATTAACTCATTTACAGCATGGTGATGTCACCTTGGAAGGTCAAAACTCCAGAGCACCAAAACAGGCTGAAATTTCTGGCAATCTTTTCAAACAGCTCTTACACTAAAAGGGCTTCATTGTCATTTTCCCCATTTTACAATATTTTTCCAACCTCATAGTATAGAAATATACAGTATATAAAACAGGAAAATCACGTTTTTGACTTCTCTGGGCCTTAATCAATTTGAATAGATTTGTTTGTTGCCAAACGGGAAAGTGGAAGGTTGAATTTATTGGTTATCGAGTCCAGCTTTGTGTAGCAGCATGAGACTGCTGGTCTGTGTTGTCATTGTTGTCATGTACACACTTGTCTCTCAACAACAACCCTCCCTATTATCCCAGGTGGGCTCCACGGCCGTCCAGGTGACGTCAGCAGAGCGTACCCGTGTCCTGGGTCAGTCGGTGTTCCTCAACGATGTGTACTATGCCTCTGAGATCGAGGAGATCTGCCTGGTGGACGAGAGCCAGTTCACCCTGACCATGGCCAACCAGGGCACGCCCCTCACCTTCATGCACCAGGAGTGTGACGCCATCGTCCAGTCCATCATCCACATCAGGACGCGCTGGGAGCTGTCGCAGCCAGACTCCATCCCCCAGCACACCAAGATCAGGCCCAAAGACGTGCCGGGCACCCTGCTGAACCTCGCCCTGCTCAACCTGGGCAGCTCCGACCCCAGCCTCAGGTCAGACACTCAACATAGCTAGCTTCTAGTGGATTCTGGGAAATGTAGGGGGGAGAGGTCTTGGTGTAGCGTGTTCTCTGAAATATGAGCAGTAGCTAAATAAATATACAACAATTTATTTACAGCAACTTCTTCAACCAACTTCCTGATTTGAAATGGAATATAGTAGCTAACCGTGTCCCTTCCACAGGTCTGCTGCCTACAACCTGCTGTGTGCCTTAACCTGCACCTTCAACCTGAAGATCGAGGGCCAGCTGCTGGAGACCTCAGGCCTGTGTATCCCTGCCAATAACACCCTCTTCATAGTCTCTATCAGCAAGACGCTGGCCGCCAATGAACCACACCTCACCCTGGAGTTCCTGGAGGAGTGCATCTCCGGCTTCAGCAAGTCTAGTGAGTCTACAGCACGAACGCACACAAACACACATACGCACAAATGTGTTGACTGAAATTCATTCCAAAAGATGGCTTCTCACTCTCTCTTTTCTAACTCACACCCACTCGCCCACTCTTTGTTTTACAGACCCACACCGACACACTAACTTTCTCTCAATACACAAACGCAGACACCAACTCATACACACAGACAGGCACAACGATCCACGTCAACATGTCCTGACCAGTTGATGTGAAAGCCATTCGTTTTGGGGGGACTGTGTTTGATTGCCATATCCATCAGTTTGCATTGAGCCATGGCTCTGGAGCCCTTAGCTCTCAGTGCGGGTGTCATGTCATTCATCCACACGCCAACCTCTGCTCCTCCACACAGCAGCAACAACAGAGGAGCTGGTGTTATCTAACCTCTGATTCTGTGTGTGTGTTTAGGTATTGAGCTGAAGCACCTGTGTCTAGAATACATGACCCCCTGGCTGCTCAACCTGGTGAGGTTCTGTAAGCACAATGACGATGCCAAGCGCCAGCGCGTCAGCGCCATCTTGGATAAGCTCATCACCATGACCATCAACGAGAAGCAGATGTACCCCTCTATACAGGCAAAGATCTGGGGCAGCCTCGGCCAGGTGAGTCACCGCGCACACACACACACACACTCGCTCTCACACATTCACATATGCATACACACTAGTTGTTTGACTTTTACATTTACATTTTAGTCAAACACTCATCTTAGAGGGCACATGTTTACTTAATGTACTGTTAAATGTCTCCAAGCCCAATACAAACTGCCCATGTTGGCTTTCTCAGAGATTTAGGCATACAGAGATGGGAGGCAGTCATGTGGAAGTTAGGGACATATTGCATTTTTATAGGCACAAGGAATGGTTTATGACTCCAACATGCCGAATCATAGCCTGTGTTTTTCAATATAAACTTTTTTGAGTTTTTTTTTTATTGAGGCTATCGAAATGACAATACTCTGGGGTTTGAAGTGTTCTTCCTAAATAGCATTAGCTATCTATGTTGTTAAAGTTCCATGGCTTGTCTCAGATGACTGCACTATAGACATGTGAATATAGCTTTTTCCATAGATAATAAACGACACATTCTAAACTCATGGTAGAATTTCTGTCATATTTTTAATACCCAACCCATTCCTTTTATATCCATTCGGGGTGGTGAATACATTTACATTTTAGTCATTTAGCAGACGCTCTTATCCAGAGCGACTTACATCAGCAATTAGGGTTAAGTGCCTTGCTTAAGGGCACATCGACAGATTTTTCACCTAGTCGGCTCGGGGATTAGAACCAGCGACCTTTCGGTTACTGGCACAACGCTCTTACCCACTAAGCTACCTGCCGCCCTGAACAAGTGCACTCTTTGGGGAGAAGGGCAGTTCCGTGTTTCTGACCTTGTGACCTGTCAATTCTACACAATGTATTTATTTCTGAACAGTCCCTAACATTTAGCCCCACTGAATGCAACCCAGGTTGTATGTGACCTGGTGTTCTTGTGACCTCTGCCCTCAGATAACGGACCTGCTGGACGTGGTGTTGGACAGCTTCATCAAGACCAGCGCTACAGGAGGCCTGGGCTCCATCAAGGCTGAGGTCATGGCTGACACGGCTGTGGCTCTGGCCTCAGGGAACGTCAAACTGGTCTCCAGCAAGGTGGGTATCTACACTTTGAGCTAGTTTATGCAGGCTAACACATGCTAACTGGGCCAACAGTTTTCAATGGCAAAATTGCTAACAGTTTCCTGTCAGTTTCCTGTCAGTCTAGATGCACTGGGAACACTCCTCTTTGTCTCTGTCTCATGCTAATACTCCTCTGTGTCAAGCCCTGTGTCCCAACATGGATGACGTCACTGTCCTTGTCCTCAATGAACCCTCTGGTCGGAGACCGTTTTCCTCTCAGAAACTCCACGATGTCACTAACTCAATCACGGCCTAACAATCGCAAGAGGGATTTTATAAATCATAATTTTGGATTAAGCAAATAAATATTTTGGTATTATCAATATTATGATGCAGACAGTTTTACTATGATACGAAGATAGACTCATCGAAATACTTTGTCCCAGACAAAATATATTAAATACTGTTTTTAATCTAAAAAGTCCTCCATACAAAGAACATTTGCATTTAAATAGATTAATACTTACCAATTTAGTTTAGTTACGACTTCTATCCACATCATCCAAACTGACCGACTCATCAACTCTGTCATCTGTGAGCTGTTTATCCCAATTGTCCCTCTTACTGAGATAGAAACACACACACACAAACTCTCACAGCCCAGGCAGACAATAGTAAGCCAGGCCCTCGCTCCTATTATGGAAGACACTCTAAAGCATGGCAGTGAATGGTCGTCATTGTGAAGATGTTTTGCTAAGGAACAGCAGTGCTCTTTTAGTTGAAGTGTCGCAGCAGCCATCTTAGTCATTTACATCTATTTAAGTGACTAATCAATGACTTTAAGCTTCACATTTGATTCATAATTTGCAGTGTGTTCTGATATAGTAATCTTATTGTACACTTAATCCATAAGAGGGTGGACATTGTTTGGTTGGCATGTGCCAGCCCAGCCACTACTGATGTCATGTCAGGCCAGCTATTTGGGACAAAGGGGACTTTGTCTGGTCCACTTGGCCTATTTGTCACCCGAGTTTTGAGCCAATGGTGTTTTATTTACAGATATAATCACTGCCATCTTCTCTCTGCCTCCTATTACGCCAACATCCAAAAATACATCTGAAGTTCTTTTAGGGATACTGCTCGCTTTTAAAATAAAATACAAACAAAAGATGCTGCTCTTGGCAGATATTAATTCTGTTGATGTTAAAGTCATCATTAAGTACAAAATTGTCTGTAAGCACAAACTATATGATGTCATATCACTGACTCTACCTTATAATACCTCATAATGATTGGTTATCTCCACATACCCTCTGACCAGGTGATTGGCCGGATGTGTAAGATCATCGACAAGACGTGCCTGTCTCCCACGCCCACCCTGGAGCAGCACCTGATGTGGGATGACATCGCCATCCTGGCCCGCTACATGCTGATGCTGTCCTTCAACAACTCTCTGGACGTAGCGGCTCACCTGCCGTACCTGTTCCACGTGGTCACTCTGCTGGTGGCCACTGGCCCCCTGTCCCTACGGGCCTCCACACACGGCCTGGTCATCAACATAATCCACTCTCTCTGCACCTGCTCGCAGCTCAACTTCAGAGGTGAGGAAGCACACCTCATCTTCCCTGCAGACTCTATACCATCTGTAGTTAAACGGCATACCCTTCCCTGGTCATTAATGTGTATGGATGCCACTAGGCTCCCTTGCAAGTAAGATATCATTGAGAGACCTAATGTAAACACTGCATGCAGTGAACCATGAAACTGCTTCAATAGAGGTAGATGTCTGTTATTTCTGTTCGTTTAGACCTGTTTGCTGTAGATATCACCGTTCAGGGTTTCTCTTTCAGAAGAGCAACAAGTCATCTTTTCCTCTTGTCATGATCTCTTACAGAGGAGACCAAGCAGGTCCTGAGGCTGAGCCTGACAGAGTTCTCCCTGCCTAAGTTCTACCTGCTGTTTGGCATCAGTAAGGTCAAGTCTGCTGCGGTCATCGCCTTCCGCTCCAGCTACCGCGACCGCTCCTTCTCCCCCGGCTCCTACGAGAGGGAGACCTTCGCCCTCTCCTCCCTGGAGACCGTCACTGAGGCCCTGCTGGAGATCATGGAGGTGAGGGAGACGCGCGCACACACACACACACACACATTACTTTATATATTATACCATATACCGTCCAGACTACAAGCAAAATCCCAATGTTTGACTGAATATGTCCTCTCCTGTAGGCGTGCATGAGGGACATCCCAGCGTGCAAATGGCTGGACCAGTGGACCGAGCTGGCTCAGAAGTATGTTAGATTTCCTTTGAGACACATTCACTTTGACCACTATCAATGAAGTGCATTCGGAAAGTATTCAGACCCCTTCACTTTTTCCACATTTTGTTACGTTACAGCCTTATTCTAAAATGGATTTAAAAAAAGTATTAATCTACACACAATACCCCATAATGACAAAGCAAAGACAGGTTTTTAGAAATGTGTGCAAATGTATAAAAAAATTAAAAAATTTAATATCACATTTACGTACGTAATCAGACCCTTTACTCAGTACTTTGTTGAAGCACATTTGGCAGCGATTACAGCCTCATCTTCTTGGGTATGACGCTATAAGCTTGGCACACCTGTATTTGTGGAGTTTCTCCCATTCTTCTCTGCAGATCCTCTCAAGCTCTGTCAGGCTGGATGGGGAGCGTTGCTGCACAGCTATTTTCAGGTCTCTCCAGAGATGTTTGATCGGGTTCAAGTCCGGGCTCTGGCTGAGCCACTCAAGGACATTCAGAGACTTGTCCCGAAGCCACTCCTGCGTTTTCTTGGCTGTGTGCTTAGGGTTGTTGTCCTGTTGGAAGGTGAACTTTCGCCCCAGTCTGAGATCCTGAGCACTCTGGAGCAGGTTTTCATCAAGGATCACTCTGTACTTTGCTCCATTCATCTTTCCCTCGATCCCGACTAGTCTCCCAGTCCCTGCCGCTGAAAAACATCCCCACAGCATGATGCTGCCGCCACCATGCTTCACCGTAGGGATGGTATTGGCCAGGTGATGAGCGGTGCCTGGTTTCCTCCAGATGTGACGCTTGTCATTCAGGCCACAGAGTTCAATCTTGGTTTCATCAGACCAGAGAATCTTGTTTCTCATGGTCTGAGAGTCCTTTAGGTGCCTTTTGGCAAACTCCAAGCGGGCTGTCATGTGCCTTTTACTGACAAGTGACTTCCGTCTGGCCACTCTACCATAAAGGCCTGATTGGTGGAGTTCTGCAGAGATGGTTGTCCTTCTGGAAGGTTCTCCCATCTCCACAGAGGAACTCTGGAGCTTTGTCAGTGACCATCGGGTTCTTGGTCACCTCCCTGACCAAGGCCCTTTTCCCCCGTTTGCTCAGTTTGGCCAGCTCTAGGAAGAGTCTTGGTGGTTCCAAACTTATTAAATTTAAGAATGATGGAGGCTACTGTGGGGACCTTCAATTCTGCAGAATATTTTTGGTACCCTTCCCCAGATCTGTGCCTCGACACAATTCTGTCTCGGAGCTCTATGGACAATTCCTTTGACATGGCATGGTTTTTTCTCTGACATTCAATGTCAACTGTGGGACCTTATATAGACAGGTGTGTGCCTTTCTAAATCATGTCCAATCAATTGAATTTACCACAGGTGGACTCAAATCAAGTTTTAGAAACATCTCAAGGATGATAAATGGAAACAGGATGCACCTGAGCTCACTTTCGAGTCTCATAGCAAAGGGTCTAAATACTTATGTAAGTAATGTATTTCTGTTTTTTATTTTTAATACATTTGCAAACATTTCTAAAAAACTGTTTTCGCTTTGTCATTATGGGTTATTGTGTGTAGGGGCGGCAGGTAGCTTAGTGGTTAAGAGCGTTGTGCCAGTAACCGAAAGGTCGCTGGTTCTAATCCCCGAGTCGACTAGGTGAAAAATCTGTCGATGTGCCCTTGAGCAAGGCACTTAACCCTACTTGCTCCTGTAAGTCGCTCTGGATAAGAGCGTCTGCTAAATGACTAAAATGTCAATGTAAATGTAGATTGATGAGGATTTTTTTGGGTTGAATCCGTTTTAGAATAAGCCTGTAACGTAACAATGTGGAAAAAGTGAAGGGGTCTGAATACTTTCTGAATGCACTGTATACACACGCTACTGTGCACATCTCCAATGCCACTTATGTCCTCCACCAGGTTTGCGTTCCAGTACAACCCGTCCCTGCAGCCCAGAGCCCTGGTGGTGTTTGGCTGCATCAGTAAGAGGGTGACCCACGGCCAGATCAAACAGATCATCAGGATTCTTAGCAAGGCCAGCCCCCTGCTCAGCATTGACCGGGTGGGTCGACATGCACACACACACACACACACACACATAGAAATGCACACAGGCTGTTGGAGCGCTGAGTTTGAATGAGCATCTCAATCTTCCAGAATTAACACACACACAAACATTGAGGGGTGGTGTTGAGTGTATTTTACCTTTCCTTAGCTCAGTCTGCCAATTTTAGTCTGGCTCAGTCTGTCCAGGCTGGGCTGCCTGTGGGCTCTATCTGCATTATGCAGAGAGCTAAGTGTTTGTGAGTGCACCAACTCACTAATCCAATGGAGTCTAATCCTCTAGCTAACATTATGAATACTATGATGCACTCTCTCCCTCTTCATCTCTCCCCCGCTACACACTATCTCTCTCCCGCTACACACTATCTCTTTCCCTCTTCATCTCTCCCCCGCTACACACTATCTCTCTCCCTCTTCATCTCCCCCGCTACACACTATCTCTCTCCCTCTTCATCTCTCCCCCGCTACACACTATCTCTCTCCCTCTTCATCTCTCCCCCGCTACACACTATCTCTCTCCCTCTTCATCTCTCCCCCGCTACACGCTATCTCTCTCCCTCTTCATCTCTCCCCCGCTACACGCTATCTCTCTCCCTCTTCATCTCTCCCCCGCTACACACTATCTCTCTCCCTCTTCATCTCTCCCCCGCTACACACTATCTCTCTCCCTCTTCATCTCTCCCCCGCTACACACTATCTCTCTCCCTCTTCATCTCTCCCCCGCTACACACTATCTCTCTCCCTCTTCATCTCTCCCCCGCTACACACTATCTCTCTCCCTCTCGCTTTATTTCCTCTCTCTTTCTCTCTTTCATTTGTTCTTTCTTTCTTTTCTTTCTTTCCTGTATCTCTCTCACCCCACCCCCTCTCTCTTTCACTCCAGTGTTCATGCTCTACTAATGCCTCCTCTCCTTCTTCTCTGCCTCCACAGGGGCTTGGAGTGCTGCTTAAAGGGACCTGATAACTACAACAGCCAGGTGCTGATTGAGGCCACAGTCATCGCTCTGACTAAGCTGCAGCCCCTTCTCAACAAGGTACACAAACTGCAAACACAGAACACATGCAATACATAATGTGATCGTCTGCAGTCCACTGCTTGTCAAATTAAAGTTTATTGGTTATGTACACATATTTGCAGATGTTATCACAGGTGCAGCAAAATGCTTGTGTTCTACTTAAGCAATAAGGCCCGAGGGGGTGTGGTATATGGACAATATACCACTGCTAAGGGCTGTTCATAAGCACGACGCAACGCGGAGTGCCTGGATACAGCCCTTAGCAGTGGTATATTAGCCATATACCACAAACCCCCAAGGTGCCTTATTGCTATTATAAACTGGTTACCAATGTAATTAGAGCACTGTTTAGTCATACCTGTGGTATACGGTCTGATATACTATGGCTGTCAGCCAATCAGCATTCAGGGCTCGAACCACCCTGTTTATAATATTCGATAAAGAAGCCAGCTGTAAGTTGTTGGTTCGTGATTTTTAATAACAATTTGGAATCATAGAGAAAGGCTAGATTTCTTCTTTGTTGTCTTAATGTGCTTGATGCTGTTCCCGTATATAATGTGTGTAACCTCATGGTTATACCCTGTGAACATCCAGGACTCCCCCATGCACACGGCAGTGTTCTGGGTGGCTGTAGCTGTGCTGCAGCTGGATGAAGTCAACCTGTACTCTGCTGGGACGGCCCTGCTAGAGCAGAACCTACACACTCTGGACAGCCTGCGAGTCTTCAACGACAAGGTGACAGACAGAAAGACACACACAGACGCTCACTTTCAGTTCAATTACAAAAATGAATGAAACATTCACATATTGACACTATTTATATGCTGAATATGTGTAAAGTAGCCGCTAAATGACCATATTTATTTGTTTCTACATTTCTCCTCCTCCTCCCTCTCCCCCCCATCCTCCAATCAAGAGTCCAGAGGAGGTGTTTATGGAGATCAGGCGTCCTCTGGAGTGGCATTGTAAACAGATGGACCACTTTGTGGGCCTCAACTTCAGCTCCAACTTCAACTTCGCACTGGTGGGACACCTGCTCAAAGGTAAGGGAGAGAGCACAGGGCACTTGACTGCATCTCGGCCCTAGCAACTCCCCTTCCTGTGACAGTACTGCATATCATATAAACTGTGGCTTCTCTGTCAATATCGCTTAAGTAAACATTCAGAAAATGTTTGGGTCTAATCTACCTAGATAAAGGATATACGAAAGACATTGGCCTGACTTGCCGAGCCACTGATGAAAATCTGTCTTCCCCACTCAGTCGGAGACTCAAACAGGCTCTATTGACAATGTGTCCTTGTCCTGCAGTGACAAAGAGCTTGGCAGCAATTGTTGGTGTTTCCACTTGTCTCTGTAGTCTGTACTTGTCACTAGCTGCATTTAATGTTGTGTAGTCTGTAGGCCTTAATGTGTTCTAATGTTAACTGTGTTGAATGAATGTGGCCATGCTAAAATCTACCAAGCTATCAGTGGAGTGGTGTATGGCTATGACTAACGTGAGACTCTGTTTCCCTTCTCCTTTGTGCGTGTGTGTGTGTGTGCGTGCGTGCGTGTGTGTGTGTGTCTATGTGAAGGCTACAGACACCCGTCCCCCACCACGGTGGCTCGGACGGTGCGTATCCTCCACACGCTGCTGGCCCTGGTGGGAAAACACCTCAACTGTGATAAGTTTGAGGTCAACACCCAAAGCGTGGCCTACCTGGCAGGTCAGTTCCAGTCACAGTCCTACACACTGACTCCATTCACCCACACTTTGTGTTGACTCACCAGACCTCCATTTTTTGTCAACTCACTGGACCTGCAATGTGCTTTTTGGATAGCGAGCAGTGCGTTGCTTTAGAAACATGATTTGTAAAACAGATCTGATGGTCTGTCTTGTAGTGCCCCCCATTGTTGGAAAATTCCTTGGTGCCGCTAGGGCAGTTTAGGACTCTGGTGTTAAATTAATTAATTGAGGATTGCAGTTGTTTCCATTGATGTAATGGTTTATTTGTTGAAAGTGTAGTATTGTAATTGTACCTTGTAGTTTATTTGTATTTTTTTTGTTTTATTTGGAATGTTCATTTTAAAATGTTTGTACTCAGGGCACCATTGTGAATGAGACGCTGGTGTCAATTGGGCCACCCTGAATACATAAAAGTACAAATAAAATAAATAACAAAAAACATGTCGAATAAGGAATTGTCGCCTCTATTCATTAATGTTTCTGCAATGATGGGAACATTTCACCCTGCTCTGGTGTGTGTCTGTGTGCAGCCCTGCTCACCGTGTCAGAGGAGGTGCGTAGTCGCTGCAGTCTAAAACACAGGAAGTCTCTGCTGCTGTCTGAGATGGCCATGGAGAACGTTCCCATGGATACCTACTCTCTGCACCACACTGACCCCAGCTGCAGGTGAGGCGCACTCTACATCATACATTTTGAACCGGAATAGGTTTCAACTTTAGCTAAAGACAAATCCCATTTTCCTTTATCCAAAGTTGCATCAGTCATTTTCTGTAATACCTGTTGTTGGTAAATATCTTTACCATCAAGCTTGAAGAGTTATTTCCTTACCTGTGGCCCCCATCTCCTCCCTTCAGGACACTGAGAGAGTGCCAGCTGTGGGCATCCCCAAAGGTGTCAGAGCGCTATCTGAATGCCTACTACCCCACGGTGGGGCAGATCAGCCCCCGTACACGCAAGTCCATGAGCCTGGACATGGGCCAGGCCTCCCATGCCAACACCAAGAAGCTGCTGGGTAACTATAACATTGCTGCTAAACTACACTGCTAATGTTGTCTAAGTGTTCCGCTTAGCATTGTTTTTATACTGCTGCGCCAGGCAGCATTGACTACAGTGTCAGTTGCGTCTCATGTCCGGCAAGAAATACACAGCTGATGTAAGAGTACTGTAAGATGGACATCTCATGTCACCACCTTATCCCCTAGACCCTCTCCTCACCCTCTTCAATCATTAGCTCTACACTGTCTGTCTGTGGTGTATTTCTCCAGGCACCAGGAAGAGTTTTGATCACCTGATATCTGACTCCAAAGCACCAAAGAGACCAGAGATGGAATCTGGCGTCACCACCCCGCCTAAGGTGAGGTGCGTGGTGGAGAACGACTATGAGATAGACAGCCAAAGAATGGGCCACTCCCACCTCCGCAAGGTGTCTGTGACAGAGTCCAACGTTCTATTGGACGAGGAGGTGCTGACCGACCCCAAAGTCCAGGCCCTGCTGCTCACTGTCCTGGTGAGAGGATGAACACACACACAAACTCACACCTGGCAAAATAGGATAAACTTATAAAGCGGGTCATAATATAATCAAAACATATGTAACATACGCACTGGACATACAGTACATGTAGCACATACTTGGTGGACCACTAGTTACTGCTAGGGTCCAATTAGTCATCATGAATGGAATGCACATCGGGAGGCAGCAACAAACAGTGCATTCGGAAAATACCCCTTGGCTTTTTCCACATTTTGTTATGTTACAGCCTTATTCTAAAATGGATTAAATAGTTTTTTCCCCCCTCATCAATCAACAAAATGTGGAAAAGGTCAAGGGGTCTGAATACTTTCCGAATGCACTGTAGCATACAGCTTTCTACTGTATATAACTGGTTCAGTCTGTAAATGTATGCTCTCTGTTTATGTGTCCAAGGCCACCCAGGTCAAGTACACCACAGACGACTTTGACCAGAGGATCCTGTACGAGTATCTAGCTGAAGCTAGCGTCGTCTTCCCAAAGGTCTTTCCCGTCGTGTAAGTAAACATGCCCGAAAATACCAAATACATAGCCTAAGGGCCTGCTTTTCCATAAGCAAATCTAGAGACTGGAGAAAACCTGGGGAAATTATTTGAGTGCTTGAAAGCTGTTTTGGCCCAAGATGGTTGTTTTTTGGGGGGGAGGGAAGACCAATAGGTTTTTTGGAGGGAGGGAAGTCCCAATGATCTTCTGAGGAGAAGAGGCCTGTCCTGCTCCAAATGGATCATGGGAGTTGTAGTGTGGTTTACCTGGCTATATAGATGTACTTTCAATGTGGGCGGCTGTTTGTAGTTATAGTTGAAGTAGCTGTATACAAGCAAAAATTTCACGGGTTCAAAATATAGATTAACTTGAGAACTATCTCGTATGAGGGCTAGTTATTCACCAGTGTGTTTGAGTCCTGTCATGATATATGTTGACAGGGCCACTGGGAAAGTGTGTTGCGTCTGTAATGATTATGGAGCCTACCTACCAAGCTGATGTTTATCTTTGTGTGTCCTCCTCTCCTCAGCCACAACCTTCTGGACTCTAAGATCAACACGCTGCTGTCTATGTGCCAGGATACCAACCTGCTGAACCCAGTGCATGGCATTGTTCAAAGTGTGGTCTACCATGAAGAGTCTCCTCCACAATACCAACCCTCCTATCTACAGAGTATGTACAGTAATCTACAGGCCTGCTCTACCCATCTCTCTCCTCTCTCTCTGTCTCTCAGTTCCCATCTCCTCTACCTCATCTCCCATCATCCATCTCTCTCTGCCCTCTACCTTTCTCTCTTTCTTTCTCTCTCTCTCTCTCTCTCTCGCTCTCTCTCTCTCTCTCTCTCTCTCTGTCTGTCTCTGTCCCCATCTCCTTCGCTACCTCTCTCATTCTTCATCTCTCTCTCTCTCTCTCTCTCTCTGTCTCGCTCTGTCTGTCTCAGTCCCTATCTCCTCCTCTACATCTCATCTCCCATCCTTCATCTCTCTCTGCCCCCTCCCTTTCTATCTCGCCCTCTCCCCTGAATGTTATGGAGTGTTTTCTTCTTTAGCAGTATAACTTTGCCAATGATACCTTTCTCCCTCCATTACTTTCTCTCTCTCTCTCTCTCTCTCTCTCTCTCGCTCTCGCTCTCTCTCTCTCACACACACACATAGGCTTCGGCTTCAACGGACTTTGGAGGTTTGCCGGACCCTTCTCAAAGGTATGATTCATTGCCCTCATATTTTCCTTTCATTCTCCCCAAGGCAGTGCGGCCGTGCTGGAAGAATTCAGCCCCGGTAAGCAATTACAGCCTTGCCAGGGAGCCGGCCGATTGCCCCAAGATTTATTGGACATCCTTCTCTTTCTCTCTCTCTCTCTCTCTCTCTCTCTCTCTCTCTTTCTCTCTCTCTCTCTCAGAAAATGATGTCATGCTTTAGAAGCTTCTGATAGGCTAATTTACATAATTTGAGTCAATTGGAGGTGTACCTGTGGATATATTTCAAGGCCTACCTTCAAACTCAGTGCCTCTTTGCTTGACATCATGGGAAAATCAACAGAAATCAGCCAAGACCTCAGAAAAAAAATGGTAGACCTCCACAAATCTGGTTCATCCTTGGGAGCAATTTCCAAACGCCTGAAGTTACCACGTTCATCTGTACAAACAATAGTACGCAAGTATAAACACCATGGGACCACGCAGCCGTCATACCGCTCAGGAAGGAGACGCGTTCTGTCTCCTAGAGATGAACATACTTTGGTGCGAAAAGTGCAAATCAATCCCAGAACAACAGCAAAGGACCTTGTGAAGATGCTGGAGGAAACCGGTACAAAAGTATCTATATCCACAGTAAAACGAGTCCTAAATCGACATAACCTGAAAGGCCGCTCAGCAAGGAAGAAGCCACTGCTCCAAAACCGCCATAAAAAAGCCAGACTACGGTTTGCAACTGCACATGGGGACAAAGATCGTACTTTTTGGAGAAATGTCCTCTGGTCTGATGAAACAAAAATAGAACTGTTTGGCCATAATGACCATCGTTATGTTTGGAGGAAAAAGGGGGTCGCTGTTTTTTAAATTATATGAGAAAAAACTATTCAATTTTATTTGGAACGGCAAGCCAGACAAAATTAAAAGGGCATATTTATATGATGAATATGAATTCGGAGGACAGAAATTATTAAATATTAAAGCATTAGACCTATCACTAAAAGCTTCAGTCCTACAAAAGTTATACTTAAATCCGAACTGGTTCTCAAGCAAATTAGTAAGATTGTCTCACCCAATGTTCAAGACATGCCCTTTTCCCTTTATTCAGATTATAACAGCTCATTTGCAGTTATTTGAAAAGGAAATCATCTCCCAAATATCACTATTTCTAAAACAAGCCATAGAAAGTTGGTTGCAATTTCAATTTAATCCTCCAGAAACGACAGAACAAATAATGCAACAAATATTGTGGTTGAATTCAAATATACTAATTGACAAAAAACATTTATTTTTTGACAGAATGTTTAAAAAAGGTATAATCTTCGTAAATGATATCATCGGTAGGACTGGTGGAGTTATGTCGCACATGCAGCTAACAAAAACATATGGATGTCTGCTCTACCCAAAATTACAACCAAATAATTGCAGCCTTACCGCAAAAGTGGAAGAGGAAAGTGGAAGGGGGAGAAAGTAAGGAACTTGTCTGTCGGCCTTGCATTAAAGAACATAATTTGGTTAAGGGGAAACTGTGATAAATAAAAAAGTATATCAGTTTCACTTAAGGAACAAAGGATTGACAGCCGTCCCATATAGATTGCAAAATAGTTGGGAAGAGGTCTTTGACGTACCGATCCCATGGCATAGTGTTTATGAACTGACACGCAAAACGACACCGGATTCAAAAATTTGAATCTTTCAATTTCAATTATTATATAAAATTCTTGCTACCAATAGAATGTTATTTATATGGGGGATACAATCTTCCCAGCTCTGCAGATTTTGCTGTGAAGAGACAGAATCATTAGATCATTTGTTTTGGTTCTGTCCATTTGTAGCTTGTTTTTGGACACAGGTCCAGGAATGGCTAAAGGATTGCAATATTTACCTGGAGCTAACCTTGCAGATAGCATTACTGGGTGATCTGAAAAGTCATAGTCAATCGATCAATAATATAATAATACTTTTAGCAAAAATGTTTATTTTTAATTCACAATCTGTAGAAGCAATGAGAATAGAAAGGTTCAGAACTTTTGCAAAACATCACAGTACGGTTGAAATATATATGGCAAATAGAAATCCTATATGGATGGTGTTAAGAGATACAGTGCGGAAAAAAAGTATTTAGTCAGCCACCAATTGTGCAAGTTCCCCCACTTAAAAAGATGAGAGAGGCCTGTAATTTTCATCATAGGTACACGTCAACTATGACAGACAAATTGAGAAAAAAAAATCCCTACGCCGCCAGGGACTCAAATCCTGCAGTGCCAGACGTGTCCCCCTGCTTAAGCCAGTACATGTCCAGGCCTGTCTGAAGTTTGCTAGAGTGCATTTGGATGATCCAGAAGAGGATTGGGAGAATGTCATATGGTCAGATGAAACCAAAATATAACTTTTTGGTAAAAACTCAACTCGTCGTGTTTGGAGGACAAAGAATGCTGAGTTGCATCCAAAGAACACCATACCTACTGTGAAGCATGGGGGTTGGAAACATCATGCTTTGGGGCTGTTTTTCTGCAAAGGGACCAGGACGACTGATCCGTGTAAAGGAAAGAATGAATGGGGCCATGTATCGTGAGATTTTGAGTGAAAACCTCCTTCCATCAGCAAGGGCATTGAAGATGAAACGTGGCTGGGTCTTTCAGCATGACAATGATCCCAAACACACCGCCCGGGCAACGAAGGAGTGGCTTCGTAAGAAGCATTTCAAGGTCCTGGAGTGGCCTAGCCAGTCTCCAGATCTCAACCCCATAGAAAATCTTTGGAGGGAGTTGAAAGTCCGTGTTGCCCAGCGACAGCCCCAAAACATCACTGCTCTAGAGGAGATCTGCATGGAGGAATGGGCCAAAATACCAGCAACAGTGTGTGAAAACCTTGTGAAGACTTACAGAAAACGTTTGACCTGTGTCATTGCCAACAAAGGGTATATAACAAAGTATTGAGAAACTTTAGTTATTGACCAAATACTTATTTTCCACCATAATTTGCAAATAAATTCATTAAAAATCCTACAATGTGATTTTCTGGATTTTTTTCCCCTCATTTTGTCTGTCATAGTTGACGTGTACCTATGATGAAAACTACAGGGCTCTCTCATCTTTTTAAGTGGGAGAACTTGCACAATTGGTGGCTGACTAAATACTTTTTTCCCCCACTGTAGATGGGAGGTATTGAATAGAGTTGAAGGATGGGGCTAATAACAAATAACAACAAATAATAACAAAGATAGCTAATAATGTAAGCATACTGTGTCCATAATAAGTATATAGGTTGTATGTTGGGAGCTTTTGGGAAAGAGCACAGTTAGAAAGATATGGCATATAGAAGCAAATTGGATGGACATCATGAAAATGATCGGAGAGGTTGAGAGTAGAAGAAGTTCAGGAGCAAAAATAAATAAATTATATACAGTGTGGGGAAAAAAGTATGGTATGGTAGGCTTTGTTACTTTGGTCCCAGCTCTCTGCAGGTCATTCACTAGGTCCCCCCGTGTGGTTCTGGGATTTTTGCTCACCGTTCTTGTGATAATTTTGACCCCACGGGGAGAGATCTTGCGTGGAGCCCCAGATCGAGGGAGATTATCAGTGGTCTTGTATGTCTTCCATTTCCTAATAATTGCTCCCACAGTTGATTTCTTCAAACCAAGCTGCTTACCTATTGCAGATTCAGTCTTCCCAGCCTGGTGCAGGTCTACAATTTTGTTTCTGGTGTCCTTTGACAGCTCTTTGGTCTTGGCCATAGTGGAGTTTGGAGTGTGACTGTTTGAGGTTGTGGACAGGTGTCTTTTATACTGATAACAAGTTCAAACAGGTGCCATTAATACAGGTAACGAGTTTTAATGGTAGGTTTATTTGAACAGTGAGAGACAGAATAACAACTAAATAAATCCAGAAGAACACATGTCAAAAATGTTATAAATTGATTTGCATTTTAATGAGGGAAATAAGTATTTGACCCCTCTACAAAACATGACTTAGTACTTGGTGGCAAAACCCTTGTTGGCAATCACAGAGGTCAGACGTTTCTTGTAGTTGGCCACCAGGTTTGCACACATCTCAGGAGGGATTATGTCCCACTCCTCTTTGCAGATCTTCTCCAAGTCATTAAGTTTTCGAGGCTGACGTTTGGCAACTCGAACCTTCAGCTCCCTCCACAGATTTTCTATGGGATTAAGGTCTGGAGACTGGCTAGGCCACTCCAGGACCTTAGTGTGCTTCTTCTTGAGCCACTCCTTTGTTGCCTTGGCCGTGTGTTTTGGGTCATTGTCATGCTGGAATACCCATCCACGACCCATTTTCATTGCCCTGGCTGAGGGAAGGAGGTTCTCAACCAAGATTTGACGGTACGTGGCCCCGTCCATCGTCCCTTTGATGCGGTGAAGCATAATGTTTCCAAAGCATAATGTTTCCACCTCCATGTTTGACGGTGTGGATGGTGTTCTTGGGGTCATAGGCAGCATTCCTCCTCCTCCAAACACGGCGAGTTGAGTTGATGCCAAAGAGCTCGATTTTGGTCTCATCTGACCACAACACTTTCACCCTGTTCTCCTCTGAATCATTCAGATGTTCATTGGCAAACTTCTGACGGGCCTGTATATGTGCTTTCTTGAGCAGGGGGACCTTGCAGCTGCTGCAGGATTTCAGTCCTTCACGGCGTAGTGTGTTACCAATTGTTTTCTTGGTGACTATGGTCCCAGCTGCCTTGAGATCATTGACAAGATCCTCCCGTGTAGTTCTGGGCTGATTCCTCACCGTTCTCATGATCATTGCAACTCCACCAGGTGAGATCTTGCATGGAGCCCCAGGCCGAGGGAGATTGACAGTTATTTTGTGTTTCTTCCATTTGCTAATAATCCCACCAACTGTTGTCACCTTCTCAACAAGCTGCTTGGCGATGGTCTTGTAGCCCATTCCAGCCTTGTGTAGGTCTACAATCTTGTCCCAGACATCCTTGGAGAGCTCTTTGGTCTTGGCCATGGTGGAGAGTTTGGAATCTGATTGATTGATTGCTTCTGTGGACAGGTGTCTTTTATACAGGTAAAAAGCTGAGATTAGGAGCACTCCCTTTAAGAGTGTGCTCCTAATCTCAGCTCGTTACCTGTATAAAAGACACCTGGGAGCCAGAAATCTTTCTTATTGAGAGGGGGTCAAATACTTATTTCCCTCATTAAAATGCAAATCAATTTATAACATTTTTGACATGCGTTTTTCTGGATTTTTTTGTTGTTATTCTGTCTCTCACTGTTCAAATAAACCTACCATTAAAATTATAGACTGATAATTTCTTTGTCAGTGGGCAAACGTACAAAATCAGCAGGGGAGTGCTGTATATATATATATATATATATATATATATATATATATATATATATATATATATATATATATATATATATATAATATAATATAATATAATTATTGTAAAATTAACTGTGTCCATAAGGTGTAGATAGTAAGTATAGACCGGAAGTAGAGGCCTGGGCATTGTTGTTCACTAATTTACTCCAAGTAGGGAAAGGATGGCGGGGTTGAAAAGTAATAAAGGGGAGTATATATATAAAAAACATGGGGGATTGGAAGTGATGCAGACAATACATTGATAGAAGATACAATCTATCTGCAATATTAAGCTGATCCACCCCCCCCCCCAAAAATTTTTTTAAATACAAAATAAAAAAGGGGGTCGCTGTTACGAGAATTTCTATCCCAATGTTTCAAAAATGAACTTATTACTCAGTCTGTATCCCAGAGGTTGTAAATCTCTAATAATCAGACCAAGCAGCCCAGCATACAATCATCAGGCATTATTCATGAGAACGTTCTAAAACAAAATGGTCATACAATATTTTTATATGCACACGTCAGAGGAAAAATCCCACCCCTCTTTAGGCGGGCTGTAGTTTTCCACTGGAAAACTGCTCTCCTGACCATCAGGTCACACACACACACACACACACACACATACACACACACACAATATCCTGCAAGCCTTTCACTCCCCTTTCCTTGTGTGTTTTGGGATTAGTCATACATTATTAGTTTAGATGAGGGTGTGACATTGTAGTCATATCTCACTCACACATTCCTTTATCAGTCGCTTGCAAGCCGAAGAACACCATCTCATACGTGAAGCACGGGTGTGGCAGCATCATGCTGTGGGGGTGCTTTGCTGCAGGAGGGACTGGTGCACTTCACAAAATAGATGGCATCATGAGGAAGGACAATTATGTGGATATATTGAAGCAACATCTCAAAACATCAGTCAGGAAGTTAAAGCTTGGTCGCAAATGGGTCTTCCAAATAGACAACGACCCCAAGCATACTTCCAAAGTTGTGGCAAAATGGCTTAAGAACAACAAAGTCAAGGTATTGGAGTGGCCATCGCAAAGCCCTGACCTCAATCCTATAGAACATTTGTGGGCAGAACTGAAAAAGCGTGTGTGAGCTAGGAGGCCTACAAACCTGACTCAGTTACACCAGCTCTGTCAGGAGGAATGGGCCAAAATTCACCCAACTTATTGTGGGAAGCTTGTGGAAGGCTACCCAAAAACGTTTGACCCAAGTTAAACAATTTAAAGGCAATGCTACCAAATACTAATTGAGTGTATGTAAACTTCTGACCCACTGGGAATGTGATGAAATAAATACAAGCTGAAATAAATCATTCTCTCTTCTGACGTTTCACATTCTTAAAATCAAGTGGTGATCCTAACTGACCTAAGACAGGGAATTTTTACTAGGATTAAATATCAGGATTGATGAAAAACTGAGTTTAAATGTATTTGGCTAAGGTGTATGTAAACTTCCGACTTCAACTGTATATATGAATACATGTTGATTGTAAATCACTTTGGATCAAAACGTCTGCTAAATGACTGTGTATTATATCTAATGTGTATTATATAAAATGCAGAACTGTTCGGTCACTGCCTATTTTTACTCCTCAGAGGGCATAATACTATGGCTGGGAATTGCCAGGGACTTCACGATACGATATTATCACGATACTTAGGTGCCGATATGATATGTATTGTGATTTTCACTATTCTATATGTATTGTGATTCTCACTATTCTATATGTATTGTGATTCTCACTATTCTATATGTATTGTGATTCTCACTATTCTATATGTATTGTGATTCAATACTGTGATTTTATTGCGATTCGATGTTCCTAACATACAGTATTGCTCACCATATGTCTGCTGCAGAAATATCCCGATATGTAGCTGTATCGATCCCCCCCTTCCCCATCACTACAGAATACGTGTCCCTTTGAAGCTTGTAGGTGCTCTTAGACTCTCTGTTTTCACTGTGTACCCATTATCCCTCGCTTCAACAAACAAAAGGTGCCATTTGCCATCTGTTTGTTTGGGGGAATGTCAGTCAGGAAACAATGTATTAAAGCCTTGCCAAAGGCTGAGGATCAATGTCTCCTGTGATTTAGCTCAAGGAGATATTAAACTGTTAGACTGTGATATTTGTTGGCCCATGTTCCCCTCACACTCTCTCTCTTTCTTGTTTTTATTTTGTTCTCTATTCCACCGCCCTATACCCACCCCCCTATACCCACCCCCCTATACCCACCCCCCTATACCCACCGCCCTATACCCACCCCCCTATACCCACCCCCCTATACCCACCGCCCTATACCCACCGCCCTATACCCACCGCCCTATACCCACCGCCCTATACCCACCCCCCTATATCCACCGCCCTATACCCACCGCCCTACCTGACATCTCCTTTTCTGCCTCTTTCTCCCTTTCTACCTCTATTCCCTCCTCCTCCTCTCTCCATCCCATGTCTAACCATCAGCAAACTCAGATCCCAGACTACGCTGAGCTGATTGTGAAGTTCCTGGAGGCCTTGATTGACCGCTACCTGCCTGGTACAGAGGAGGAGAGGAGCGAGGAGCAGCTCCGTACCCCCACCTCCCCCTACCCCCCTGTCACCCAGAGCCAGCTCAGCATCACCGCTAACCTCAACCTCTCCAACTCCATGACCTCCCTGGCCACCTCGCAGCACTCCCCAGGTTAGCATAGTATACACGCGTGGACACAATCTTTATTGATCCACCCTGGGAGTAGCACATGGTCAACTGCAGACCAGTGCCCCTAGAGCACACACAGACACACACACCCCATTTATACATACAGGCCGACACACAAATACACCACTAACATCCTACTTATGATACAGGTTGAGTCCTACCGATGTAAGGTGTTGTGTTAAGTATCTAGAGGCAAGCGAAGTGTCTGTGGGTGCTGTTGCTGTGGGTTATTTCTAGGTCTACCGCTTGCATTCTCTGTGTCGAATCTGTCACTTGTGCTGATATCTCTTCTCACAATATGATGATGCTGCTGTGCACTAAAGATATCACATGTTGCAAGATGTCAGAAAAGCACTGCAAGATTTTAACTATTGCCAAAAACAACTAAATGACTTGGACAAATGCTGAAATATAGTGTTTGAAATATGCAGGGGGAGGAAAGGCAGGGGTACCTAGTTAACACCATCAAACATCTCAGACATTTTGTTTCTATGTTGCATGTGTCTACTGTCTGTCGTGCTTTCTTTCTTGCTCTCAGCAATGAACTCTAATCCCCTCGCTCTCTTTCTGGGTCTGGTCTGTGTGTAACATCCCCATCATGCTCTACTCGCTGTGGTGTGGTGGTGTAGTCTATAGACGGTCCCCAACTCTGTCCCATCCCAAGCCGTCGGACGAGACGACGCCAACGAAAACATCTGGTACAAATCACAACCATAGAGCCTCCCTGGGCCGCTAACGCTAGCCCCAGCCCGAGCCTATAGTTTGCATACTGTGGTAACTCTCATCACTTGACCATTTCTGTCTGCTGTTCTCACTATGCTAGCTGCTAGCTTTTAGAATCACCTAGCTAATACCAGTGTTTTTGTTATTACTTCTAGAATAAATTGATTGTATTATTAGTGCTATGTATCAGTACTATATTGCTGAAGTAGATGTAATATATTGTTAGCCTTTCCACAGAAAAATATACATTTCATTCTTAGTAGCCTTTCATACAGTTATTCATGCCATTAAAACACCACCAGGTATTGTCTTTGCGTTACTCTGTTTCTGGTTTCTTTTCAACTGTCTGTATCTGAAAACCATTTAATCTGAAAACCACCTCATTGAAGTGTCTTAATTCCTTCATGTCAATGCTAAAGATCCATCTTGCCGTCTGTTGTTAATTTTTTCATTCAGTGTATTTGACTCATTCTCTTCCTGTTTTTGTTCTGTTACCCTTGTTTTAATGTGTTTCTCAACTTTCTCCTCAGTTGCTGTGGTCATTCATTCTTGTTTCTCTCCCTCTGTCTCTTTCTTTCTCTCTCTCTGTAAAGCCTCTCTGCCTTTCTCTAAGTCAGCTGTTTTTGCGCCACACCTCCTCCTCCCAGGTACTCTTCCTCTTTGACCTTGTGACCCCAAAGGTCAAGCAACCTCATCCCCCTCAGTAAAAAACACCAAAATAACTAATCCAATGTGAAAGTGAGTGTGAGAAACCCACTAACTGTATCCAGTGCCAGAATAGCAACTTAAAATCTGCCACCCACTGCCACACAAAGAGTAATCAGTTAGTAATATTGTTGTTTGTGCTGGTGTAGTTGTAAGAAACTAATAAGGGGCTGGGGGCAGAATCCCTATTCAATAATAAAAGGCTGTTTTAGAGGGTAACTTGTGCTCTCTGTCTGACAATGTAGTGGAGCCTGGAGATGTTGAGTTCATTCAGGGTGAGAATATGCCTTTAGTTTTATACCAAAGCTATGGCACAGCGCCATCTGCTGTTCAACAGTGGTATTGAATCTGAGTCACTGAGAATGACTCTCTCCCCTCCCTTCTCGTCTTCCCTCTCTATTCTCTTCTTCCCTCTGTCCAGGCGTGGATAAGGAGAATGTGCAGCTCTCCCCCAGCGCGGCGCTCTCCACCAGTGGACGGATCCGCCATGGCTCTGCTAGTCAGGTGCAGAAACAGCGCAGCGCGGGCAGCTTCAAAAGGCCTAGCATCAAGAAGATAGTATGAGACAAAGAGATAGAAAGAGATGGAGAGAACAATAGCCATCCAAAGGCCCCTCCTTGCCCACCGTGCCACACACCTTGCTGCACTCCTCTTTTTACCCTTCATTTTGTTCTGTGATGGATGGTCAAGTCAACCTGAGGATCAGGGTTGTATTGGAGAAGTAGCTGCGTTTGTCTCTGTGTTCCTTTGGTTGTCAGGCATCTGGAGTATTGCAACATGAGAGATGACTTCGGATGGATTAAGTTGTTATTTCCATTCAGAAATGTGGTCCAGGATTTTTTAAATTTATTTTTGGCCATTAAAAGGACTGAAACTGTCAAGGTGACTGAAATAAGATGAACGAAATAAGCCATTCAGTAATCATCTTGATTTTTTTTTTGCTCTTTGTCTGTTGAATTCTCAAAGAATCCAGATATCAGTTACATATATAACGTATTCAGTGTAAGAACTGGACAACATGATGTTTGGTGACTGCTGCATTGGTGACATAGGAAGATGACTGGGCGAATCAATGTGGTCCACCCGGCATAGATGTTGGACCATTATGACATCGTGCCCAGGAGGGAAAGAACGGAGGGATTTTTAACCTGTATAATGAAGGACAGGCTCTTGCCTCAGCTTCAACCCCACAGTCTACTCCAAACCAACCCTACTACCGCCTTCACACCGCCTCCTCACAGCAAGGCTGCAACAGCCAGTCGCCACTTCCATCTATGCCGGGTGAACCAAATGGCCAAACAACAGATGGATAGTCATGTTGTTAGCAAAACCTTCAAACCACAGTCTTAAAACCTGGATTTGGATGCACATTGTCATTTTGATTCTTCCCAGTTGTGTACATATTTATGTATATAGATGTATAGAAAGGATATATAACTATTCCTAATAATAATAATAATAATAATTGGGTTGTTGTTTTATCCATGGTGTGCCTTCGTCAGGGTTTTCCGATGTGTATAATTGTGTCAAATAAAGTGGAAAATAACAGTTACTAATTATATAGAGACTTATGTTCACTCTACGTGAATGCTCTTTAGAGCTGCATTGTTAACTGTATGTCATGATCGTCAAGTATACAATCACCAATAATACCCTGCTGCCTGAAAGTATTTAACCTGTACAGATAGACAGTCTTTACTAAATATTGAAGCTATTCTTTTTTAAACATTTGCCATGCATGAATATGAATTTCAAGACACTAGATAGAACTGCGCAAACTTGTAAATATTGAAAGCCTTTATTTTATTGATTTTTATAATTGTTTCTCTATATTGCATTTGGATTGGTTTACAGTTCCAACCGTGACTAGGAAAATTAAGTAATATGCCCCAAAAATGCCAAAACCCATCAGTAATAGCAACTACGTGGATACTTAAATTGACATGATATAGATCCAAATATTGCTATTGATCACACCTGTCTAAGATGATGTGTGATACTGAATTGATCATATTGAAGTTCTGGTTTGATAAGATGTCAATACATTCTCCTGATTTCCTGTTCACACACAGAGGTGTCTCTTTCTCTAGTTGAATGAAGTCTACCTATGAATGACGTCCTATGTCCAAATGAAAGGTGAGGGAAATGAGGGCGGCCATGACTTTGTTGTATGAAGGAGTCATTCACTCCCTTCCCCTTGCTCTTGATCCTAACCTTTCCATTTGTGCATATCAGTAAGGTTAGAAGCTATATGGTGGAAGCCCCACCATTACACTGTTATACCATCAAGATTCCTGACCCTTGGGATCTGCAGACATGAACGGGTTGGGGAGGGGGAGGGAACGGCTGTTACTTAACAGTCATTGGGACAGGACCTCAATCCCAGACGCCCTTGCAGCAGATCCAGGGGCACTGCACCAAAGACTAGCTTGCACTATGGGAAAGGTTAATGATGATATCCATTCATTCAAAACATGTTTTTAGAAATGATGCTTTTAATGATTACTTTTGTGTGTGTGTGAGAGAGAGAATGTTGTTTTCCTTGGAGGATCTTTAGTATTTGGTTTTCCACTCCACTACATGTTGTGTTTAAATGTCATTGTGACAAATTAATGTCCCAACATGGCACTCTGCAGCTTCCACAGCATCATCCTCTCACAGGAAAGGGCCCAATCCTAATTTGAGATTAGTGCACGCAAATCTTCCATACATATCAATGCAAGGTGCTTTAGACGAAAGTGCCAGTTGGCTTTCTTCTAGGTTGTTTTACCTCTAATACCTGAGTCCCTGTATACCACTCCAGAAAGGCACTTAACCCTAATTGCTTCTGTAAGTCGCTCTGGATAAGAGCGTCTGCTAAATGACTAAAATGTAAATGTATACCTGAGTCCCTGTGTACCACTGCAGAAAAGATTGGACACAGTTAAATGTATGTGTGCATCGTTCTAATTTAAGTTATTGATCCATACATTTGGCAAAATTTGTTTCCAGCCTTTTCTGTGGAATAGCATTAGTTGTACTTGTGTTGGTATTTTTGGATATATCAAATTTCCCCTGAATATATTTATGAAGGAAGCAAGTGTAGTTTACTATCATGGAAACCGTTTCAATTGAATAAAGGAGTGAATGAGGAAAGGAAAGGAAGAGACAGGTCTTCAAGTGTTATTGACTATATTTGTAAAGGGAAAACTGAAATATATATCAGAACTTAACAAGGGTACCAAACGCTATTTACACAATTAGATATCAAGGAAACCAAATATATATATATATATATATAGATACATACATACATACATACAGTGGGGGGGAAGTATTTAGTCAGCCACCAATTGTGCAAGTTCTCCCACTTAAAAAGATGAGAGGCCTGTAATTTTCATCATAGGTACACGTCAACTATGACAGACAAAATGAGGGAAAAAAACCAGATAATCACATTGTAGGATTTTTAATGAATTTATTTGCAAATTATGGTGGAAAATAAGTATTTGGTCAATAACTAAAGTTTCTCAATACTTTGTTATATACCCTTTGTTGGCAATGACACAGGTCAAACGTTTTCTGTAAGTCTTCACAAGGTTTTCACACACTGTTGCTGGTATTTTGGCCCATTCCTCCATGCAGATCTCCTCTAGAGCAGTGATGTTTTGGGGCTGTCGCTGGGCAACACAGACTTTCAACTCCCTCCAAAGATTTTCTATGGGGTTGAGATCTGGAGACTGGCTAGGCCACTCCAGGACCTTGAAATGCTTCTTACGAAGCCACTCCTTCGTTGCCCGGGCGGTGTGTTTGGGATCATTGTCATGCTGAAAGACCCAGCCACGTTTCATCTTCAATGCCCTTGCTGATGGAAGGAGGTTTTCACTCAAAATCTCACGATACATGGCCCCATTCATTCTTTCCTTTACACGGATCAGTCGTCCTGGTCCCTTTGCAGAAAAACAGCCCCAAAGCATGATGTTTCCACCCCCATGCTTCACAGTAGGTATGGTGTTCTTTGGATGCAACTCAGCATTCTTTGTCCTCCAAACACGACGAGTTGAGTTTTTACCAAAAAGTTCTATTTTGGTTTCATCTGACCATATGACATTCTCCCAATCCTCTTCTGGATCATCCAAATGCACTCTAGCAAACTTCAGACGGGCCTGGACATGTACTGGCTTAAGCAGGGGGACACGTCTGGCACTGCAGGATTTGAGTCCCTGGCGGCGTAGTGTGTTACTAATGGTAGGCTTTGTTACTTTGGTGTCCCAGCTCTCTGCAGGGCATTCACTAGGTCCCCCCGTGTGGTTCTGGGATTTTTGCTCACCGTTCTTGTGATCATTTTGACCCCACGGGGTGAGATCTTGCATGGAGCCCCAGATCGAGGGAGATTATCAGTGGTCTTGTATGTCTTCCATTTCCTAATAATTGCTCCCACAGTTGATTTCTTCAAACCAAGCTGCTTACCTATTGCAGATTCAGTCTTCCCAGCCTGGTGCAGGTCTACAATTTTGTTTCTGGTGTCCTTTGACAGCTCTTTGGTCTTGGCCATAGTGGAGTTTGGAGTGTGACTGTTTGAGGTTGTGGACAGGTGTCTTTTATACTGATAACAAGTTCAAACAGGTGCCATTAATACAGGTAACGAGTGGAGGACAGAGGAGCCTCTTAAAGAAGAAGTTACAGGTCTGTGAGAGCCAGAAATCTTGCTTGTTTTTAGGTGACCAAATACTTATTTTCCACCATAATTTGCAAATAAATTCATTAAAAATCCTACAATGTGATTTTCTGGATTTTTCTTTTCTCAATTTGTCTGTCATAGTTGAGGTGTACCTATGATGAAAATTACAGGCCTCTCTCATCTTTTTAAGTGGGAGAACTTGCACAATTGGTGGCTGACTAAATACTTTTTTCCCCACTGTATATAAAATATTGTTTTTGAATCCCTGTGACCACTAAGATTAGACAACTGTCAGGGCAAATAGCTTGGGTGAGTTCAACAGAGTAACCGTCAGAAGAACATGTCAGTTTTCCGTAGTCGCCTCCAGGATCTAGGATGGGCCCTTGGTGTCCATCGGGATGACAAGGACATATATTGCGAGTAACCATAGACTCTTAAATGAGTGGTTGACATGCACTATTCTGATTCACAGTCAAGGGTTTTGTGAAGTTGAATATCCTCAAATGTGGCATGTTTTATTTGATGTGCAAATATTTTGTCACTGGAGTGTTGGTCCAATTTTATTTTTTTACGCTGTATGTTCACCTATTTTGCGTACAATTTGAAAAAGGTATATTTACTACACTAAATACATGTGATGATAATATTGTTTTTCTTTTTTGTAAAGCAGTAAGTTGCTGTAATGTGTATAACATATACATTTAATTATTACAGTGTTAATAATAAAAGTTTTTCGTTCCACTTAAAAGCCACGATTTGTTAACGCCATCTGAAGTTATTGGTAGTAGTTCTTTTTTTTTTTTTTTTTTTTTTTACATTTTATTTAACAGTAAGATGTAAAACACAAAAAAAACAGAACAGCCAGAGGGATTACACAAAGAAATGAGAGAGAAAAAAT